TTCGGCAACAAAACAACAACAAAATCAAAAATTTTTTTTTTTTTCCTCCCCAAAATAGGGGTGCGCCTTATACACAGGTGCGCCTTATTATACACGGAGATTTACGGGTATTGAATTGTTACATCTACCCAATACTTATGTATGGTAGTCAAACATGGACTTTAGCTTCTGATACTAAAAGGCGTTTGGAAAGTTGCGAAATGTGGTTTTTAAGAAGAATGATGAAAATCCCCTGGACTATTTGAGGAAGTTCTTACACGAGCTGGAGTGCAAAGGAAAATGATACGTGAGATGTTGATTAGGCAGTTGAAGTTCATGGGTCACATTACACGTAAAGAAGGCCTAGAGAATCTTGCTTTGACAGGGAAAATTGTGGGAAGGAGTAGGGGAAGGAGGATACTTTGGATGGACAGTCTGCGGAAATTGTTGGAAGAGAGAGGAGTGACAAAACTGGGAGTGGTACTAATACAGAAGGCTAGGAGCCGAGGGTTGTGAAACAGCATGATCGCCAAAGTCAAACGATATGGCACTTAGAGAGAGAGAGAGAGACCCCTACATGGTAACGTTATTATCTCACTTTTCTCTCACAGTGGAGATCTCCGAGAGACAAGGGGGTATTTCTCGATTGGCCAACGGGTTCGCTGTGTGCAGACCTAATACCTGAACAGTACACATATTAATGATTTGTATCCACCAAGTTTGTTGTCAGCGAATTATGGCCTTCTGCACATGGAAACTGACGAGTGACTCCCTTTAATGTGTTTTATATCACAGACCCGACCGCTATAGTGCTGCTCATACAACCTCTAGTTCCGCTCTTTTTATTAATGCCTTTTATATCATAGACCCTACCCCTCGTGCCGCCAATATGACCCCCCCCCCCCCCCTCCTCCTAAAAAAAATTAAAAAAAAAAAAAAATTAAAGTGCTCACAAAACCCCTCCCCCTTTTGATTATTCTCCACTTAATATTTTGTCCAGAAAAAAAATTTAGCGCTCATTACCCTTCTCGGGCTTAGCCGCTTCACTCCCTTGCAATGTCCCACTCTCACCTCTGGCTCAAAGTTGGCAACCCTAAGAACCCCCCCCCCCCCCTAAAAAAAAGCTTGTACAGCTTAGCACTAGCAGCAGAGTGTATGCATGAACTGTACGTGACATATCCTCGGACTCGCCCACGCCCCCAACCTCTAGTGCCGCTCTTCGTAGTATGCTTTCCGACAAAAACCTACTTGGCAGCTCTGGAAGCCAGACTATACACCCCCGGGGTGGGGGGGGGGGGGGGGAGGGGAGGGTACTCACATATTAAGACATACAGGGATGTATAGACTATGTGCCGCTCTAAATTGTAATGGTAACTTTTTCACAAAAAATCCCTAAAACAAACGTGGGTCCCACTTTTAACAAAAAATACCATTAAAAATTGGTTCCTTTTTTCAAAGTTCAGGTGCAAACACCTGAAAATTATGATACATGGGTCTTTTTTCGAGATAAAGACCCAAACTGACCCCTCTTAATGATTGAATGGTTTCGAGGCTTGAGCGGCACACCCCGTCCAAACCAAATCTGAGTATTCCCCCCCCCCCCCCCCCCACCACCCGGGGGACTACACTCAACAGCATTCTTCTCACTCTCAGTTTCATATTCAAGGGTAAAGGTAAAAATTGACAATTGGTAGTTAGATCTATAAGAATTTCCCGTACTTACCAGATGGAAATTAGGGCCTATATCATCGGCTCGTTCGTCCGCATGCACAAGCTTGTGTGGGGTGCGGATCGGAGCGAATGGTGGTTTCCCGTTTCACGAAAGTGTCCACAGCTTGGGCAGCTTAATTCGATGATGGAAATCAAGATATGTCATTGGTGAGAAATTAGCAGAAAATACGACGCAATGAATGACTGCGATATTGCCTTCGGTTTTCCGTAATGCCACTCTCGATCGCGCGGGCGGCCAATATAATATTAGGCGGCAACTGAGCTGAAAGTTAGTTATTTCTAGCTCTATATAGATCTATAGCTCTTATCTGGCCAGTCTACTATAGAATGCCCATGCTAACTCATTGTGTTGTTCGTTATTTTAAAATATCTTCCTTTTCTTCTTCTTTTTCTTCTTCTCAATTTTAGTGTTGTATTTCCTGTATATTTAAAAAGGCAATTAGTGATAATTTATGGTCCAATATCTATAATGTAAAATATTTGATTATACATTTATATCATATCCATAATCCAAGTCTGTAAGCTAAAGCCTAAATACAATAGTGAGTTTTCAAGGCGCACTCAACATCACGCATGTTACTATTCCTAATGTGTGCGAAGTTAAATTTATGTGTGATGACGTACGTGCATTTGGAAGGTTTGAAAGGTTTGTAGGGGGGGGGGGCACTTTGCCCCCAATTTTAAGGTATGGTAAGGTAAGGTATTTATTCATGAACATATCGCAGCCAATGACTGAAAATTAAAATATTTGTAAAAAACACATCATATTTACTCTTCATTATTTAACAATATTTTTGGGACCCCAAAAAAGATTGGCTTTCCGGTAGCCAATGACGAAAGTTCTTCAAAAGCTTAGTGGCAAAGTCCCGACAACATTTGCAAGCGCTGAGAGCACGTTGATTAGACTCGTACCCATTCGCGTACAAAGGTATGTTGGAGGAATCCCCCACCTCAATTTTTGTTTAAATAAAAATAAATAAATAAAAAAGTAAAAAATAAAAATAAAAATTTTGCTAATAGGTTACCAAAAAAAGGTGACCATACCCCCCCCCCCCCCAACGAAAGAAGATATCGTTCGGCCAAATTTTCTGGACAAAAAAAAGGGGGGAAAACTACCCCAGACAACTACCCCCTGTACGACAACCATCCTCTACGACAACTACCCCGGACAACTTTCCTAGGGAGTAGTTGTCTGGGGTTTCTCGTCCGGGGTTGTTGTCCGGGGATAGGGTGGTTGTCTGGAGGTAGTTGTCCGGGGGTAGTTGTCCTAGAAGGTAGTTGTCTTAGATGGTGGTTATCCTAGAGGTGGTTTTCCGGGGTGGATGTCCAGGGGTAGGTGTCCGGATACGGCGAGAAGTGTCCTATTTCCACATCTGGTAATTCCTTTTTTTTTTTACTTTCACCATACAATGTGCTCCTAATTTAAAACCCTTTCTTTAATTTTACCTATAGCTCGCTCGCTATGCTCGCTCGTATTTAAAGTTAATATAATTATGTTTCTTATAAAAGGTCTTTTCAGTCTTTCATGATTAGATTGTGCTTAAAACTCCATAAGGGTTGGTTTCTTTTGTCATCTCTTTATAATATGTAATTTTTCGCCCTGCGACGTCACAAATCTTCTTCTTTTTTTTTTAGCTCGCCAGCTTCGATCGCTCACAATGAATATTCAGACCATCAAAACCAGTATGCTCAAACAGTATTTTTTACCATGTAAGAGAAACAAAACTTTGAAAGGAAGACACTCCGCCGCTCCTGCATTGATATATTATAAAAACAAGTTCAATTGATCTCAAAATGTTTCATGCTTTCTCGTTAAATGTTGTCAGATTCCTCTTATAATATCATACGAACCACTACCTAAAGAACAAATATATACTTTGATCTGAAATATTAATATATTTATCGCACCTTCGCACGCAATAGGTCGAACGATATAATCAGATTCCTCTTATAATACCGTACGAACCACTCTACCTAAAGAACAAATATATACTTTGATCTGAAAGATTTTTAGATTTATCACACGCTATTTATAAAGGGCAATACAAGATTTTTGTTTAAGGCCAATATCCCTTTTGCACTGCCAACCTCAAATTATGTAGAACTTTGCAGGAATTATGAATATGTCATGTATGTCCTATCTGTGAAATTTAAACGTTAGCAGTGTCCTCATATTCAAATTATGCAAGGAAACCCGTTTACTTGCCAGACTTCACTGTCAGACACTATTGAGTGACTGACTGGCTTTTTTTTCTTCTTTGGTAACAACATACATGAAAAGAGTTGTAAAGGGTACATTGTCTACATCAATAACCCACTTCTTGTGATGGCCAAGATTAAACTGATTAAATCTTTGCGCAGCATAAAACGTATGACCACTCGGTACAATAATCTGAAAATCAAGACTATTACTTTTGGGCTCTATAACCCTAAAGTCTATTTGACAACTAATAGTCGTTATTTTCCCACTTGAAGACATTTTCAAGCCCCACCTTATAGGGAAGTTCTAAATTAGTATTATCTTTCAAATGCAGTTGGAATTTAACTTTTTCATTTTTTGGCCTGCAAATGGGACATAGCTAGTACCTTAGGGAAGTTCTAATTTAGTATTATCTTTCAAATTCCGGAATTTAACCTTTTCATTTTTGTTGCCTGCAAATGGGACATATACCTTTTAATTAAAGACCGTCAATACTACTATGCCAGAAGGGATTAGACCACCCAGCCAGGTCACTGACAGGTGGCTAACTCAGCTCTTAACTAACAGAAGAAAAAGAGGATCATGGGGGACCAACATGCACCGATTGGGGAAGTGTTCTATAAAGAGGGAGCAAGTACTAGCTTCAAGTAGGACAGTGGGGCTTTAAAAGTTATAAAACATTCTGTAATTTACCTCGCAAATAATACACGGGGGCTCGGAGCGAATTTGCCCCCGAAATGCCAAAAAGAGCCCACGAAAGTGGAGGGGGGGGGGGGGTAAGAGCACTTTTTTTTTTTTTTAATGCTCCCTAATATTTGAAAATCGCGCCGGCCGCAAATTCGCTCATTGGGGGGGGGGGGGGGGGGGGGGGGGGGGGTTTGGGAGTGCGCACTAACTTTTTTTTTGGGGGGGGGGGGCACGTCCCTGTTTGCCAGTACATTTTTGCCAAATTTGGGGCTGATTTCAACCGGGTATCCGTGCCTGGTTATTTTTATGCAAGTAAGCTTGAAAGTAGCCCCCGAAATTTTTTTCCTCGCAATGCGGGCTAATCACGTCTGACTGACCAGTGGGCTAATCCGTCTAGCGCCAACTAACGACCGGGCACGAGCAAGCAAGAAGATGGACGCATACATGGAAGATGAACCCGTCGGTAAATATACATTTATTTAATGCACTGGATGTCTTGAAGTTAAATTTGTGTTTCGAAATACTAGCTAGGTTACATTTGCCGATGATATTTCCCTATGTGAATGATTAGTACTGTTAATTAATTTGGTTATGGGCCTTTTTTATGATGATAAAGTTAAGACGTTCAATGTCATGGTCCCTTTCGTACGTTTTCATGTGTTGTCTGTTCATGAGCGGATTTGTAAATTTGTTTCGGTTATACGCGTACGCCTATGCGGCAACTAACCCCTGGCGCTGGCTTAGGACAATTAACCCAAGACAATAACGTTTCTATTTCAAAATTCGAGAAATGGGCCCCCTGTAACTTACCCGTCTTGTAATCGATTACAAATCATCTTAGACTTCTAACTTCAGTCTGACTTCAGCCAACATTTTCATGACGGACAGCAATAAAAAGGAATTAGGAGGAGGGGGGGGGGGGGGGGAGGCACGTAGCCACAGGGGCGGGGGGGGGCGTCACACATAGGAGCATCACTATCCTGACTGTGTAGTAAAACAGGCAACACTGGCACCAGCACATTAATGCAACACTTTTGAAAGCCTGCGGTATGACACTTTCAAATGAAATAGGCTTGAGTCGGTATGGTCGATCACACCGGGACCCGACCGTTGCCGTCGGGTCCCGGTTTCGTTTTTTGAGAACCGACGCTCCGAAAAAAAATAACGAAATATGTAAGAAATTGTAGTTTTGCACACCACTAAAATCAATCCACCTTAAAACTTAAGTATTTAATTGTTACCAATCATATTCTAGCTCATCCTGAATCGATCCGAACTGCTGATATAAATATGGGTTGCAAGGCAGTTTGCCCCATGGGTTTGTTGTTGCCAGCTGCTAGCTAGCTACTGTACTGGACGGGTCTCTCGGCAGGATTAATAAATCAGGTTGAAAGAAACATTGATGTTTGAATAATAAAACGGCTTTCTAAAAAGTACTTCTTTTGAACATACTGATCGAATAATTTTTAAAAGACAAAATAGATATTTTTTCTTTGATTTTAAATACCGCATGCATCTTTTAAAAGCTGAAAATTACTTGGTAATCACAAGAAGTTTCGATACGGATAGCTGTTGCAAGGCAAGTTCAGACTAGTCTCGGAAAAATGCGCAGTGCTCCACGTTAGCTGTAATGCGTGCCAGAACGAACCCAAACAAAGACGTGATCGTAACGAGAAAAAAAAATCATTAAAAACTACGAGAGCACAATTGGAAAGACAACTACTCAAAATTATCGTAAGCAGATACATATAACTTGGAGGAAGAAAACAATAGTTATCCAAGAAAAGCCACATAAATAGTGATATTTAAGGAGTTACTATAGGTACAATCATTATCGGAAGGGCCTGCTGCAATATCCGAATTACACCTGTTTAAATTGAACACGAGGCTATACGAGGCAAATACCGCCCTCTACGGTAAAAAGCAGTATAACAAAGGATTCAAGTAATTGCAGCAGGCCCCTTGCGATAAAAATGTACCTAGTTACTCCTCGATTATCACAATTTCTGTGGCATTTCTTGGGCGATTATTGAATTCTTTGTCCAGGTTATCTATCTGATTATGGTAATTTTGAGCAGTAGTTGTCTTTCCAATTGTGCTCTCGTAGTTTTTAATGATTTTTTTTCTCAGTTACGATCACGTCTTTGTTTGGGTTCATTCTGGTACGCATTACAGCTAATTACGAGGAGCACTGCGCATTTTTCCGAGACTAGTCTGAACTTGCTTTGCAACAGCTATCCGTATCGAAACTCTTGATTACCAAGTAATTTTCAGCTTTTAAAAAAAAGCATGCGATGTTTAAAATAAGAGATAAATATTTATTTTGTCTTTAAAATATTATATGATCGGTATATTGTACAGAAGAAATTTTTAGAAAGCCGTTTTATTATTCTAACATTCATATTTTTTGACCAGATTTATTCAACCTGCATGAATCAAAATGGCGGCTCGAATGTTGTCTTTCTATTTCTGCCCCAGTTTTTTTACTTTTAGAGGTACGAAAATGGCACTAAACATCGCCAATCATGGATGAAAATAATGTCAAATGGAAGAATATACCGATCTGAGCCGAGGTATGCATGTGTTGATTTATTTGATTGATAAAAAAGGTCACTTTTAAGGGACATACTGATTTTATGCGCTTTTTATAGAGGCAAGTGACAAATCCTGCGAGCTGATTTCGGGACACCGGGTCCCGATCGGTACAAGGCCGTCGGGACCCGGTTTATGAAAATCCCGACATGACTCAGGCCTACTTTCAAATGTCCTACTAATTAATTAAATGGGATATACAGTGTAACCCATCACAAATACATAAAGAATGGAACTTACAAGTTTCGTTGGTGTAAATTTCCTTGGTTTCCAGACATCTGGCCTACTTGTTTGCTTATAGCCCAATCGTCTTCAGCTAACGTGCGCCATTTTCAGATTTAATGACGTTTTTGTCTCGCCTGCGTAGCAAAAAGCGAGACATAGGCGCCGCTTTTCCGGTGACGGCGACGGCGGCGTCAACATCAAAAACTTAACCTAAGGTTAAGTTTTTGAATTTTTGATATAATTTTTAAAGTATAAGTTCTTAGGCAATGAAACTTTGACTATAGGGTAACCAAGTATCCCCAATCATGTGAGTAGAATTTCAGATCACAAAATCAAGGTCAAAGGTCATTTCAGGTCAACAGACTTGGACTATGTTGTAGCATCATCATCGAAAACTTAACCTAAGGTTAAGTTTTTGAATTTTTTATATAATTTTGAAAGTATAAGTTCTTAGTCAATGAACCTTGGACTATAGGGTTATCAAGTCTCCCCAATCATGTGAGTAGAATTTCAGGTCACTAAGTTAAGGTCAAAGGTCATTTAAGGTCAACAAACTTAGACTTTGTTGTGGCATCAACATCAAGATTTTCAAAATGCTTCTTCTTCGTTATTTTTCAACCAATTTTGATTCTGATTGTTTCATATGATAGGGCTAGGAGGGGGATTTAAAATTTCTACTCAGAATCGAGAAATTCATTATCTATGCTAATTTATGCAAATTTATTCGAAATCACATAAAAGGCTTCTTCTCCTTCATTTCTCGACCGATTTTGATTTGGTTTGCTTTATATCGTAGAGCTAACTTTGGTTCACTACACTTCTACACAGAGTTTTGATATTGTGCTCCATTAATTAATTATGGTAATTGATGCAAATTTATTCCAAAAATAACAAAAATTGCTTCTTTTCCCTCATTTCTTGACCGATTTTGATTTGGTTTGCCTTATCTGGTAGAGCTAAATTTGGAACACTAAACTTCTACACAGAATTGTGAGATTTTGCTCCATTGATTAGTTATTGTACTTTATGCAAATGAAATGAAATTATGTCCCTTCCAGGGCATCAAATTTTATTTTTTGACCAGTTCAAAAGTGTACCACATAAAATTTACGATATTTGTTGTTGCGAGATGCGGATGAGCGCTACGCCATTGACGTTCTGGTTTATCATATTGAATTGCGTTATGCAGGCGAGACCACCGAGAGCGTTTCCCTTGTTTTTTTTTAAGACCAGTCTCGCCCTCTACGCCCGAATTGAAATTCGTTGATATGGACGCGATCGGTTGTGTACACAGCACAGCATTAGGCTATTGCGTACGAGCGTTTTTAGAGTTTGGTATTAAATACATATACATTTCATCCCAACTAAGCCAACAGGGGTGGCGGAGCATTACTATATAATTCCAAAGTATAATATTCAATTTAGCAATTGTGGGGTCTTAATAATAATAACGATACTAATAATAGGTATTTCTATAGTCTATTTAGAAATTCGTACGAAATAAGAGGCTAGCTAGGTGCTTTAAACCTGCGATGAAGCAATAAATAAAAACGTCTGCGAGATAAGACAACTACCCGTCAGATATTGCGCAAGATAGCGTCACATATGGTTTCACCAAATTTCAGACAACTCGCCGCGGTATAATAGTAGGTATTTCTAATAATAGGTATTTCTATAGTCTATCTAGAAATTCGTACGAAATAAGAGGCTAGCTAGGTGCTTTAAACCTGCGATAAAACAATAAATAAAAACGTCTGCGAGATAAGACAACTACCCGTCAGATATTGCGCAAGATAGCGTCACATATGGTTTCACCAAATTCCAGACAACTCGCCACAAATACAACTCGCCGCGTCCCTGAACAACTCGACACAATACCCTGGACATCTCGCCACAATACCCTGGACAACCTGCTACGGTCGAGTTGTCCAGGGTAGTGTGGCGAGATATCCAGGGTATTGTGTCGAGTTGTCCAGGAGCGATTTGTATTTGTGACGACTTGTTGGATGCATGTAGAATTGTATGGTAAGCGCAACGTGCACAGTTTTAATGTCGTCGCAATCGAGGAGGGAATCATGCAGCCGTCTCTGTAAAAGAAGGAGAAAACAGTTCTTTAAAAGTGAGTTAAAAACAAATTCTTGCTATACTAACATTAAATTAAGATATTTTAATATCATAAAATGTAAGACAAGTATACATAACCTATGTTACATGTATGTTGTATTTGTCTTACATTTTATGATATTAAAAGTGGAAAAAATCCACCCGCGCATACCACACACATGCAGTGCTAGAGGTCCATACGCATGAGCATGGACTCTCTATGCTTTGCTGGAGTGGGGGGCGGGGCCCCCCAAAAAAAAGAAAATTAAAAAAGGAAAAATATTTAACTAAAAGATAAATTTAAAGAGAGGGGGGCGGGCACACATAGGAGCATCACTATCCTGGCTGTGTAGTAAAAGCTGTGCTTTTGATTCTCAACATTTCAAACACCACTGTACAAAACTCAACTGATTTTACTCAAAATCGGTACTTTAGTGACAATTGATGACACCTAAATAGCAGTAAACTACATTTTTTTAACTTACTGATGTTAAAAAGAATAATTTTTAAAAATCAAATTGTAAGTCTAGTGTCAAACTTTGCTTACAGCTACATCGACATGATTGTGTACAGTCTATGCGATATTGTGTGGTGTGTATATTTGTGTATACTTCTAGGTCCCTGCCTCACAGCATGTATGCAGTGCTAGAGGTCAATACGTTTTATCATTGACTCTCTATGCTTTGCTGGAGTGGGGGCAGGGGGCACCCCCCCCCTCCCCCCCAAAAAAAAATTATACTTCAGTGAAAGAAGCCCCGCTACCGTGCTGTCCGTTTTGAAAATGCATCGGATGGGGCCTTGTTCACGAGTATATAGTATAGTCGTGATACAGGCCCCATGTCCGTGTTGTAGAACATGCAACGCATATCACGAGTATATATAGCGAGTTGAATAGGAGACTCGTATAGTATACTCGTGATACAGACCCTGCGGCTGTGTTAAAGTGCGCGCGATGCCGTTGCGCGGGGCCTCTATAACGAGTATAAGTATAGTCGTGATACAGGCCCCGCTGCTGTATTGAAGTGCGCGCGATGCCGTTGTGCGGGGCCTCGATCACGAGTATATATAGTGAGTTGGCTGAAGTTAAAAGTCTAGTAAAATTATAATCGATTCAAAACAATTGCGGGGCCTATATCACGAGTATGCCCAAGGATCATCTTCGTCAATGTGGACAGATGTGTCTGCACAAATAAAGATCGTCCACATTTCTGATTTCCGATCCGCGTGTTGGCGATGTAAAAAAAACGTTTTCTGCAATGATTTTCTTGATCCAATGATGCATTTTACATTGACGTTGTAACTTGTACAGAGACTTTCACGTTATGAGCGATAAATCCTCTGCAAGACGGACAACCCATAACTTGGGGTATTTATTACGCGGAATTCTTTTTTTTTACATCGAAACCCGCAGAGCGCGGAAGAAAAAAAAACGTCCACGAAAAATGCAGATCATCCTTATTTTTTAGGACGCATTTTGTCCGCGTAGATCTATATGAGGATATTCTCGGAGCACCCCCCCCCCCCTACTGATTTAAGGTTTTATTTTTCATACTTCACTAAGACTAAGTTAAACTCCATTTTTTCTTTGCTTTGCTTAATTGCTTGTCTTTTTAACCTTCATTTTTTTTTCTATTGTATTTCGTCTGACTTTCCTTTCCCTATTCAACTTTTCTTCTCTCCCCTTTTCTCTATGTTTTTTTTTCTTCTTACCCTTCTGTTTCACTCTCTGTTCCTTCTATATTTCACGGTTTTTCCATTCCTTTTTAATTCTTGTTGATGCGGGTCTTCATATTTCTACTTTGCGTTTTTTCTTTGCTTCTTTTGGTCCCCTTTCTTCTTTTTCCATTACCCACATTGTTCATGATTTTTAGTTTTCATCTTTCCCTTGTCGATTTACCTCTTTTTTCTTCTGTCCTACTGCCCTCCCCCCCCCCCCATTATCCTTGCCAAATTGTCATTATGGATGTCTATTTCACATGTTTGTTTTATTGTTACATATATTGTAGTGCATAAGAAATAATGATAATGAAGTAAATGAACCCAAATCATTTTTCTATTATAAATGTAATCTTTTGTTTTGATATGCCTTATACTGTATACAATTAATGCAGATTCCTTATTTCCTTATCATATTCAAGATACAAAAGGTTTTTCCAGAAAGGTGATGTAATTAAGATTGTATTGGAGTTAGTTTAATATTTAATCTTAAAGGCATCGTTTAACAATGTTAAATCAGAGATGCACGGCCCTACGTGTTGTCAGTGTCTGTGATATGGTGTAATATTGAAGCCCTAAAAAAAATTGCACTTCAAAATAATCACGAAGTGCCTCAAAAAATTAAAAATCTTTGAGTGACCGATTTTACCATACTCATTTCCCCCAATATACTGTAGTGTTATAAAAAACTGTTAGGAAAACGAAAAAATGAAATCATAAATATCTTGACAATCAGACAGGCGATTGTCTTGTAAAAGTCATGGGATTCCTCACTGACCTAAAGGTTCATAATTATGATTGCAGCATGAGCTAAATCCAGGATTTTTCTGAATTTGAGGCAATGTTACCAATTCGCCTGTGAGTCTGGGAGTGTACTCGAGTACCTCATTACACGGTTATGCACAGCCTTAATCCAAGGTTAAAATTTTTTTTCCTGCCACCCGCCCTCTCTACAGACGAGGCTGTTTGCCTCTGGTACTCTGACATCGGGCAGCGGATCCCTGCACTACGTCAGATGCTAGGGCAGATGGGATACCCGAGCGCTACCCGTACACTCCTGGGATGGCTCCACAGCTACTTTGAGCAGTGCGACAACTTTCCCCCCGGCAAATTCCCCAATCAGGATTACGTCAAGATGCTCGTCCAGGAGTTTGTCTTCTATAGAGCTGTGGAGAAGAATCTACAGGTGAGCTGCCGTAGAGCAATCTAGCCCATAGCCCCATAGTAGTTCAGAGCTTTGTAAAGGTTTAAAGCCCCACTGCACTACTTATAGCTACTTGCGCTCTCTATATAGCAAACAATGCCTAATCGGTGCCTGTTGGTCCCCCATGATCCTCTTTTTCTTATGATAATTGAGAGCTGATTTGATGAGATAACCACCTGTCAGTGACCTTGCAGGGAGGTCTAATCCCCCCTGGCCAAACTAGTACAGACGGGCTTTAAATAAATTGGCTTTTCCGTCTCCAATCGGCACCAATTATATGTATTTTCCACTCTTTCATGGTTTTAAAGATGTATCAATATTAATAATATAATAATAACAGTGGCTACTGGTATAGCGCACTGGTTCGCCTTTCGGTGCTCATGGCGCTTAGAGAAAAATAATTGTAGCAAACATAAGAAAGAAAAGAAATTTAAGAAAATTACAAAGAATTGCTAATTTCTACATGAAAATGGTGATTATCAATTTCTTTCACTCTGTGTTTCCTAACTATAGAGACTCCAAGGATGTTTTATATATTTTTGAATGACTTACTCTTGTCAATAAATGGAACAAATTAATTGCAACAGAAATGGATTCCAATTTCCCAGTGATTTTTGCACTCTCTGCTCATGTACAATATAAAGTCGGAGCATCTCTATTCATTCTTTTATTGGTTTTGGGGCGATTCCCAGCTATTTTGACCCGTTTGTTACAGACCATATCAGAGATATCTGATAGCCCTACAGGAGCTTGAACATGCTTGTAATTGTTCACAATTCCATGATATGACTCATTAATACTTGGTAACGTACAGTACATTGGACATACCTTGTACTTGCCATTTAGGGGTGTTTATCTGATTAAACTTGTTCTCAATGGGGTGGAGTTTCAAGGGCTTCCTAGAACTGTAGTACATTTGTACATGTAATATTTAACTTTTATGCATTACTGGGACACATTTTTTATACATGTACTGTACATAGGATCTGAAGGGGGGGGGGGGTAGTCATCAGAGGCCAACTAACTTGTCGGGATGGAGTTTTGAATATTGGGTGTCATACATTTTAGACCATGATATAATATGCCCCTTTCTGCGCTTTTTTTCCTTGATAGAAAATGACATCGATCCAAGAGCTCCAACTCCTTGAAGAACTCTGCCGCTACTTGCAGGACAACTCCAAACTGGCCACCCTCCACAACATCTTTGACGGTCTCTTCGGTAACAGCGGCCATCCGCTGAAGGAAGTTGATGAGCAGAGACGCTTGGCCATGACGCGGCTGGTCTCCATGGCGATTAGTATCGGCTGCAAGGCCGTCCTCGATTGTGTAGCTGTTTGGATGTATAACCAGGTTTGTGAACAATTCGTTTCTTCTTCTAGGGATCCAAGCTTGAAACTCTGGTTCACTACTATAGGGACGAATCACAAGTTGGGGGACCTATTGGTAGCAAAATAGCCAATACTCTTTCATCAAATGTAGAGTCTTTCTCTGTTACTTGAGTGTTTGCATCAGTGACCTCTATACTAGTTTATTTTCATAGCTCATTGCTCTAATATTTGTAATAATGCATACCGGTATCCTTTATTTACCATATCAAATATATTGTAGTTGATTCAAATTGACTCTTCAATATGGCATATATTATTGGGATTGTTGACTCAATTTTTGCAGTGATGTCATTTTGGTAGGGGGGGGGGGGTCTTATTTTAGTTAAACTATAAGGATCAGAAATTTGCTTGTAATTGGGCATTAAGAAGGGTTCTGGATAGATTTAAAGCTAGATCTACAAGTACGTAGAACTGTGTCCATAGTAACTTTGACTCGTCGTAGAAATTGATCTCATGCAGTTGGTACTAGAGGATGTATTATTTCAACATAATATATATTTTTCTTCATTTTTCATGAAGTGAGGACAGGAAAGAAAAAATCAATTTCAGGGGCCAGGCTCAACCAGCACTTGTGCTATTGTTAGGTCCTGTTTACGAGCAGCTTTGTCATATGTTTAAATTCTTTAACATTTCTTTACATATTACAGGGCTCCGCAGATCCACATTTATCTTTTGGAAGGGGTCCAGATTAGATTTTTTAGAGTCTTTATGCATGAGCCCTTTGCTTAAATGTTGAAATTTGGGGTCCCGGACTTAGATTTTAAGTGCCCATGTTATAGTTGGTACACATTATATATTCTCATTGTGAAATTAATTTAATCAATCAATGAATCAATATTGTCTGTATCACAGGATTGTTCATCACATAGTATCAACCTAGTGGATTCCATCATGACGGATTTCTGTGACCTGGTCACGGGTGTACAGGGGACCATCCAGAGGGTTGCCCAGACCTCACCTACGTTCACCCATCACCTCCTAACCTCTCTCATGTCACACTACAACACCTATCAAAGTGAGTTCAGTCATAGATGGGTTCTTCTTCTTCCCCTTCTCTCTCTCTTTGCATTTTACTGTACTTCATTCTTTCTCTTTAAAACAAAATTAACAACAAAATTTGTACAGTGAAATGTGCTTGAACCTGTGTAGGGACTGGGAGTTGTAATGAATGGAGATCACGTCCAAGAGGCCCCTTGAAAGTCATCCGTGGCACTGCACGTCTTTTGTTCCCCCTACCGTAATCCCCTTAATCCCCCTCCAAGACCGCACTGCTCCCTGGTAGCACTAAGTTCTCCCTATCCATCCAAAGCCCAGCCCAGCGAGCATGGCGGCTTATGCGTTGCCGGCCCATACTTGGGGTAAAAAGTGGTGATGAATAGACAACTTCTAATCCTCTTCCAACAATTGTGCAAACATATAACACAATTTCATTTAGTTCTTTTGGGAGATAAACCTTTGGACTACCTTCCTAGCTATGTACATAATGTCAATAATTAAATTCGAAAATTATGATGATGAGAACCTGACATTCGCTCTACCTCACGATTTCCTTGGCCGATTTCGCTGGTTCAAATGGCTTTGTCTTCAGTAAAGTTATTCGAGCACGAAAAAAGCATTTGATAACCAATAGAAAGTTGCATTGGTCAATTGTTGTGGATTCTGTATTTTATATGTTATAGCGATATACATCTTCACTGAACATGACATCATTTTTGTGGTGTCACGCATGACTTCTAAGCTCGATGCCTGCATATTTTTACGATCGAGTGTTAAGAAAACTTAGGGAAGCAGACAAACTTAATATATCGTAATATTTGGAAAGCCAGAGGGGATCTGTGCTTTGGTAAGGACAGCCGTTGGTAGATTTGATGGCTGGAGAGGGTTATATTTGTTGTTGTTAAGCCAAATAAATCCTGAATATCTTTCCCTCTGGAAATTCTTTTGAGACGGTATCTCCATTCATTACAACTCCCTGATAGGAAGAACACCCATCTATAAAAGACTATATTTTTTTTCCCCTTGAAGAGTGTTTCTCATATAAACCTGTACTAAAGTAACATGTACCTATATATGTCATTCTTATTGATATCATTCTCTGAATTGTCAGCAGGTTGAATTTGATTTTGATTTATACAGTCAAACCTGCTTTAGTGACCACCTGTCTACAAAGACCATCTGTCTACACCAAGCACATTTTTTGTTTCCCTTGAAAATGGTTTCTCATTGAAACATGTACTAAAGGAACCTGTCTACAAAGGCCACTTTTTGTGTTTACCTTGGGGGTGGTCGCTTTAGACAGGTTTCACTGTATATCACTGTAAGATATTTTTGTTTTGTCTATGATGGCTTTTCATCCATGGTCTAACTAGGTACATCACAGCCAATCAAACTCATCCCCCCTGCCCAGTTGGATGTGATTACTGATTGGATCATTGAACACCCGACCGTGTGTCTCCGCCACGCCCTCACAGGCAAGCCCCCATCCCGCATTCCATCCTTCTACATCCACGCCTCCTACAAGGCGTCGTCCCACGACCCCTCCAGCTCCGGTCCCGTCCCAGGCCTGCTCTGGCAGAGCATCCTCTCCCCTCTCATCCTGGATGCTAACCGATCCCAGATACAGAGGGCGCTCAATAAACGCTTCTCCCTGCACGACTACTCCCTGCTCTTCTCCAAGCTCCATCTGGGCATCCTGCAAGCCTTCGTGACGACGTCGACGTCAGATGCGAAGTCGACTTCCTCCAAGGGGAAATCATCGAGGGCTGTTGCCCTGACTCTTACAGACATTGAGAGCGTGGTCATGTTGACTGTCCACACCATCCAGGATAATAAGATCAGTGGGGATGCTGTCAAGACAGCGGTAGAAAGGATAGCACAATTGCTTCAGGTATCCATGGCAACGGGAATGCTGAATACAACTAAAGGTTTGTGTGATACGACTTCAAAGCTGACAGATTGCACCAATTTCATTGTTTTTTTCTATTTAAAAAGTCCATTGAATATTCCAAAACGCTTTGTGTATTTTGATAATGTGAAACCTGAAGAGATACCAGTAAGATGTTTTCATTGTACTATAATTGTGTATAATGAGACTGTTTTTAATCATTTTTACCAGAATGCTGATTTCATAAATGTCATATGACTTTGTGTCCTCTTGTCAAAATAAGGTGGTGTACTTGTACCAGTACCTTTGTCTCTTTTGCTCTTTGTCTATCCCTATTTTTATATTGCCCTCTTTTCTCAAAATGGCCAAAGTGGAGTTACTGACCCCTCAAATTGTCCCAGGAGGATATTTTGTAGAACCCATTTCTCATATTCCTTTCTATCCCTTTTTCCGTTTCAGAGAAAGTCATTCCACTCTGCAAGGAGCTGCCTTCCAACGATCTCCTGACACTTATCCTCCAAGAGAAACTCCCGTCATGACAGCTGTCCGGCCTCCAAGTATTATCTGAACTGAATTTACACTGGTAATGCAAGTCCTCATTGAACATTTAGAGAATCTTTATGCAGGAGCCCAGTGTTGAAATTTCGTCTATGTGTCCCAGGTACCTGTCGGTGTCAAGTTCTGGGGAATGCAATTGGGTTGATGTTGCAAGAGGGCATTACAGAGAGGAAAGTACGTTATTTTGGTCATGTAATCAGCAAAGAGGGCAGTACAGTCAAACCTGCTTTAGTGACCACCTGTTTAGAAAGACCACCTGTCTAGAAAGACCACATTTAAAAAAAATGAACATGGTTTCTCATTGAAACCTGTACTAAAGGAACCTGTACATAAAGACCACCTGCCTATAAAGACCCCTTTTCTTGTCTCCCTTGGGTGGTCTTTGTAGACAGGTTTCACTGTATTTGAAGGGAAATCATCCAAGGGGGGCCATAGAAGGATGGTGCGGAAGAGGATGTGCGATATCAGCTTGGACAGGTGACATCAAGGCATGGACAAGAGGTAGGATGGCATGATGGACTCTCACCAAGACCAACAGCAGGACCTTGTTTCATAAAACTTGATATCAATAACAAGTTAGAAGCTACTGTTATAAGCTACTAAATCATGGCATCTGATTGGCTGAGAGCAAATTTGTCATAGAAATTTAGCATTTGCTATAGATAACAAGTTTTATGAAACAGGCCCCAGTTCCATTGGGAAGGTGACCACAGCCATTCCATCACATGGAGTTGGACTGTACAGGAGAAGTGACGAGACTATTAAGAGATAATGCTACGCAGCGTGGATGTAAAATGGTGGACTCGCATCAAGACCATAGTAGCACTTTGTTTGAGCCAATACCTGACCACAAAAGAAGAAGAGATACTTCATCATAAAGAAGGACTGATCGTGTAAAGTGGAACCACTTGATGTTGATGCCAAACCGTGGACTCGCATCAAGACTACGTCATTGTTGGCCATTATTTCATTCTTGTAAAACAGGTTTTGTTTTTCGTAAATAAAAGTTCATTCAAGACATTTATGATGTTTGCCCGTTAATTACTGTCTCAATCTTCACTCTTGGTTTCTTCCAATGTGTTCCATTGTATGTGATGAAGAGTCTGTTTTTAAAGTCTACATTCTCTCATTCATTGCTATCCCTTCTTCTTCCTCTTATGGGGTCACTAGTCCGGTCCAGTGCTCCACTTATATCCTCTCTCTCTCCTTAGTCACTTGCTCTATCTTTAACTTCACTCTACATCTGGTGTTTCACAAAGACTAAGATCGACTTTAAGTTGGACCTAACTATGGCAGGCCGTTCATGCCACTGTTTGCTCTCACCACTTACTGGCATTGGTCTCTCAAAGGACGTAAAAATCATGGTCACAAATCTACAGAATTCATATTTTTGGATAATTCATGATGGTAGGAAAAAATATTATATAAAGATCATAATGGTGAGAGCAAACAATGGCATGAACGGCCTGCCATATTTAAGCTCAACTTAAAGTCAATTTTAGTCGTATATGAAACACTCCCCTGTACTACTATAGCTGTCTCTTTCCCTCTTCTCGCCCCCTGCTATCCAATTCACTCAATGTCTCTCATTCAGTACTCTCTTTCTCTCTCTCTCTCTTGCTCCATCTTCTATCTTAGTCAACATCTCCCCATATATCTCTCAAATCCCTTTTATCCCCCTCTTTTCTACCTTCCTTTAAGAAAGCATGGTAATGAGTTCTGTTTTGGAATGTGAGTATAAAATGAGAAAGAGAAAAAGAAAAAAAAGGACAAATAAATCAATGAATAATTCTGTCTTCTATTTTGGTTACCCAAGTTTTCTTAGTGGCTTTCAGGCGCATAAAATGTTCACAAATTTTGCAAGTGTTTCTGATTCCTAAAAGTTTCATGCCACAAGATAATGGTATCCCAACTGACATAACACGAATGTACAGTTTTTGCGACTTGTGATAGATTCTTAAATACACATGGTGAAAGTTTCATGTCCCATGTTGCATAGCTTCTAGTTTCGCAGTAATCTTGATCAAGAAAGAGGTAGAGTGGTTCTCAAAATCCTTCCCATCACCTCCTAACCAGGGAAAAAAATACACGGGGGCTCAGGGCGAATTAGCCCCCGAAAGTCATAAAAGAGCCCCCCAGAATTGCATAGAGTTCAATGCAAAACAAATAAAGAGTTATTTTCATGCCAGCAAGCTTGAAAAGTAGCCCCCAAAATGTTTAAAGTATTTTTTCCCTGCTCCTAACCGTCTGAAGTCTAGTGTACTGTGTGTATGGGATAGCCCCCTTACACAGGATTGGTGTGATGATATGAAAGAAAGGTAGCAACATGTCCGTAAGTCTAAAGTGGATGCTAGTGTTGAACCTTATTCATTAGCATGTCCGAGAGTAGGAGTGATGTGTCTGAGATAGTGTGAGCGCAAATGTGGAGAGTGTTATAGAGAATGGTGATTGATGGGATTTAGCAGAACAGGTGGCAATCATATTTTTTGAATCATTACTGTTTCCAAATCCATCAACCTTTTCTGCTCTCATAATCAAAAACCTTTAACTCTTCATTCTCTACTCGTAATAAAATACTACACAAAATACTTGAATTGCTGAATTTGATACTGATTTTATAAAATATCCATGTACATTTTTCAAAATACATGATGTACTCTTAACATTTACCTCTTTCATATGACATAGAAAAATATTACAGTGGAACGTCGTTATAAAGAATACTGTAATAAGAAACTCTATTAAAACAAATAATTTGGCTGTCTCTTTTCTTTGTCTTCTGCTGTTACTAAACCTTGATATAACAAGGTTGCAAGACAACAGGGTAATATCTTTGATTTTCTTACAACAAAGCTCAACTTAAGTAACAGACATTGTAGAGTGCTAAAATTGTTATGACTGCCCCAGAGTTTAGCTTGGAGGCCAGACAAAGAGTACTCGACCACATCATTGGAGTAGGCTGTCTCGCTAGAAAGGTTTGGCCTTACATGCTGCCCATAGTTAGCTTGGAGATGACAAAGAGTCCATCAGATCAGGCTGACCAGGTAGCAGTAAGGCTCGAACTCTCTAGATGCCTCAGAGTTTAGCTTGAATATTAAACAAAAGGTCCATTGGATTTAGGCCAACATGCTAGTTATGGTTGGACTTCCTTGCTACTCAAAAGTTTCACTTGAATATTTAACAAAAGGACTATTAGATTGGGCTGACTAACTAAGGCTTGAATATTCTCGCTGCCCCATGGTTTTAGTTTTGAAGGTCCATTGGATTTAGGTCGACATGCTAGTTATGCTTAGACTTCCTTGCTACCCCAGAGATTCACTTGAAGATTAAACAAAAAGACTATTGGATTGGCTCACAAAATAGTAGGGCTTGAATATTCTCGCTGCCCCATGGTTTTAGTTTGGAGATTAAATAGTCTTGGACTGCAGCTCTGGATCGGGATGACTTGCTAGTAAGGCTTGACCTTTCTGGCTACCCTACAGTTTAGCTTGAAGATCAGACAGAGTCCACTGGAGTTGGGGCCGACCTGCTACTAGTACGGTTTGAACTTCCTAGCTGCTCTCATTTGTGTTATCCTCTGCTTGTCTTCCTCAAACTTCATCCTCAGCTCAGCTATATCTGTAAAGGTAAATGGTACAGGAAAGGTCATAAATGGTACGGGAAAGGTCATAAAGGGTATGGGAAAGGTCATAAATGGTACAGGAAAGGTCATAAATGGTACAGGAAAGGTCATAAATGGTACAGGAAAGGTCATAAATGGTACAGGAAAGGTCATAAATGGTACAGGAAAGGTCATAAATGGTACAGGAAAGGTCATAAATGGTACAGGAAAGGTCACAAATTGTACGGGAAAGGTCACAAATGGTACGGGAAAGGTCATAAATGGTACGGGAAAGGTCATAAAGGGTACAGGAAAGGTCATAAATGGTACAGGAAAGGTCATAAATGGTACAGGAAAGGTCATAAAGGGTACAGGAAAGGTCATAAGGGTATGGGAAAGGTCATAAATGGTACAGGAAAGGTCATAAATGGTACGGGAAAGGTCATAAATGGTACGGGAAAGGTCATAAATGGTACGGGGAAAGGTCATAGATGGTACGGGAAAGGTCATAAATGGTAAGGGAAAGGTCATAAATGGTACAGGAAAGGTCATAAATGGTACAGGAAAGGTCATAAATAGTACAGGAAAGGTCATAAATGGTACAGGAAAGGTCATAAATGGTACCGGAAAAGGTTATATCAGTATTGTATCATATTTTAAGGTGAAAGTCATCATGTGTACAGAAAAATGACTGGAAGCAACTGGTGCTTGTCCACATGGGGCATAAAATAGTTTCCCTTATTGTCAAGATCTTGAGATGCATCAATTAGGGTAGATCTTTCCAATTTTTAGCATGCTCTCAAGCACCTGGATTTAGAGAAATCATGTGTTAAGCTTTCATACCAGATTTTCAATCACGAAGATGTGTTATGGCAAATTCCTTCTATCATTTATATCTCACAAATGAAATAGTTAAATGTGAATTTTCAAATATCATGTTAACATTTGGAAATTTTGAAAGGAGAACAGCATATTTTATGCGATTAACAGATTTTTCCAGCTAGACATTTAATGGCAACCTACATGTACAGTGTCCTCTCATTGCTTTCAAAGCAAATGGAGGCAGACTGATAAGCAATTTGGTCTTGGACCTAGCTGATGCGATATGAAAAGATATTTTTGCCATTTTTGCTATATCTCTGGGTCCATGTACTCCGAGATATCGACAAACCGCCTCTACTTACGTTCTCTCTTTGATTCTCTACTCTGGAAGGTGTAAAAGTTCATCAGCTCCTTCTCCTCTCTCTTCTTCTTCTCCTTCGCCTGGAGTCTCTTCTGCTTTCGTTCTGACCTTGCCACGACTGGCTTGGTGCTCTTCCTGGTGACAGTGACCCAGCCGTCGTCATCGGGCACCCCTTCCTCCACCTTGGCCTGCTCCTTCTCCTGTTATTAACAACAACAAATTGGCAACATTAGTGTACAGGGGGCCTCAATAAACTATCTCATATGATCAATCTATATTTCTCAAGAAGATGCAGAGAAAAATGAATGAGGTTTTGAAAGAAACATTGTGGAAGTACTTTCTAGCCCTGATACAGATTGCCCAAGCATTCTGAAAGGCAGTAGGAAACTATCAACGGTTTTGTACAGCTTTGCAAGTTTTCATCTATTGCAAGGAAAACACGCATGATTTAATGGTATGAATGCTTATAATGTACAGATTGACACAGATTAAGATCGAAACCAATGGTCTTAATTTGGAATATAGTTCTGATGAAATGCATATTTTCTACATATCCTTTTACAACCTTCACAATTGCGAATTTGCATTTCTCACTCTTTGCAATATTCTTTTTTATTTTCTTTCCTTCTCTCTATTACAGCGCAAAGGTACATATTTGCGACGCACGCTATATAAGTATGGTATATTATTACTATTCTTGGGCTCACAACAAAATGAGCCAATAAAAAAATTTGACTCTACCTCGTGTTTCCTCTTGTCAAACTCTATCATGAAGTCATCTGCCTTCTTCTGGAGCTGCTTAGGATCTTCCCATCTCGCTTCATATTCTGAACACCATTCTACATAAGCAAGAAGGAAAAACATTAAACCACCAAAAAAAAAGAAACTCAAGGATAAGTAAATTAAGAAACGAAAAGTTTGATTCCAAAAGGAGCTAAATCCATTTGTGTAACTTCAGAGAAAAAAAAATTGTTTACCAGATTTTGTACATGCGTCTATGGAAAGTAATATTAGAAGGTGAATTTTTTCATAATTGCTCTCAAAATTTAAGCAAGTAATTTTGTTGAAAGACGGGTACTTAAAGTGCGGGTTCATAGAAAATCATAAATATGGCAAATATCGTATTACAAGAAACTGGTAAGCTAACAGATGGCCATCATGCAAGTTTTAGGTCAACTACATATTCGGTGATTTATAAAATTACAAATAAAACAACCTCCATATCAACTGGGATATGTGAGAGATTCGCCGGAAAAATAACAATGTTTTAATGCCGTCACAATATGAACCAACCTGCCCAAGCAGACGACATCCCATAAAGAATGAACATAATTGCAATGCTTTTATTCCTTTAATTATAATGAGTTTAGTGTATACAAATGTGATGGAATTTTACACCATTCACAAAGGGATATGACCCCCATTCTAATAACTAAATTATGTTGTTTGTAAATACACAGGATAGGGGTTAATGAACCATCAAAGAAACCACACCTTCAAATTAAAAAACCTCCGGAATGATAGCATAGACGTCATTTGTTCCCTCTTGAAACGCCGAACATGCCGCGGTGTATGCAGCTGAAAATACAATGGCGTCTTATTTTGTTTACAAGCGACGGATTCCCTTTTTTTTTTGTCCTTGCATTTTTCATCAAAATAATACAGTGCACGGGGTTTAGAGTGAGGCAATAGATTAAACATTTCGCCTGAGGGTATTGAAGTAAGAGAAATAACTGAAGAAAAGATGACAAAACAGGCACTGAAATTGTGTGAGATGTCATGGGACATCGTCTGCTTGTGTACATCATGTTCAACATGTGACGTCATAACTCAGCAGCGACCGGAGAGCTTCAGTTTCAGGCGCTATGTCGGGGCTGTATCTAAGCGTTTTCTAATTGTTAATAATCATTACTTTGAATGTTTCCAAGCATTGGCTTTTGATAACCTTGGCCAATCAAAGTGTCACCTTTGCAATAATGACATTTAAGTTAATTTTTTAAATCAATGAACCTTCTCTTTAAGTGAATAATGTTCTGATATCACTAACTCAATTTTCATCAAAAGTGCATCTAGCTCATTTTGGAATTAAGCTCTTCAAATGTGGATGCAGTTATAAAAATCTGGTGAACAAGCACAAGACCTTACTGAAGAATGAAATGTCTAAAGGCGAGACACAATAATATTATTGTCTGCACTCTGCACACAGCCAGAAGGGTGTTAACTCAGTATTTTGTACACATAGTTAATGCCCTTCTGGCTCTCAACAGACGATACATTTACAGAGAGTTCAGTGACTTCAATGAATTCATTTATCACTGAATTGACAAGAATAACAGGAGAAAGAGAGAGAAAGAGTTAAGAGAAAGAATGGGGGAAGAGAGAGTGAGAGGGAAGAGAGAATGAGAGGGAAGAGAGAGGGAAGAGGGAAGAGGGAAGAGAGAAAGAGAGAGAGAGAGGGAACAAACACTTGATATGATTTGTTTTACTTTTCATGTCTTGTATACATTACACAAAATTATTTTGTGACATCTCCCCTTCAACTTGGCACCAAATCATCCTTATATGTGCTTCAACAAAACATACATAAGTATCAATTAGGAAAATTATTTTAAAAACCTCACACTGTTAGAATAAAGACAAAACTTTCAACATTACTCATTTATAGGGGTGCTTGTTAAATAGTAACTAGAATTCCTTACTTCTATATCCAGTAACCAGTCCACCAGAATCCCCTTCAGGTGATAATATAAATGGTTCTTTATACTTCTGCTTCATGGCCCGGACAACTGATGAATCATCCTTGAAGACAATGTAAGCTATTTTAAAACCCTGTGAAAGGAAAACGAGTAAACAAATTGAAAAGGACTGTTGTATGTATGTTGCATGTATTTTATAGACAAATAAGACATAGCCCTATATGGTTTAAGTATAATATAAATAAGTGAATGTGTATACTCTATTTATTTAATTCTATTTAATCACTTAACAAGTGGACTGTAAAAAAAGTCTTGAAAACTGTTTTTGAATATGAAAAATTAAAATCAAATAAAGAAGAACCTTACATTGTTTACTGGTACAGGTTATGCTGATAGACTCGACTACGAATGAAAACAATAAACTTGAAATATTCTCTCTGAAGTCTCTTTCATGAAAAAATTATACATTGTTTTCAACAGAGAAGGAGAAAGAGGGGGAGGGGGGGGGGGGAGGAGGAACAGATGGATTGGGATTAAGAGATGAAGAGAGAGATGGAGAGAAAGGGCGAAGAGGAAATGGAAAGAGAGGGAGGGAGAGAGAGAGAGAGAGAGGGAGGGAGGGAGAGAGAGAGAGAGAGAGGGAGGGAGGGAGGGAGAGAGAGGGAGGGAAGGAGAGCGAGAGAGAGGGAGGGAAGGAGAGAGAGAGAGAGAGGGGGGAAGGGTGAGAAACATCTTCAGTATACTCACCCTTGTTTTTCTAATAGGGTAGATTTCTTCTAGCATGGCATCAAGTTCCTTGCCAGCTTTAGCTTGTAATATCACAGACTCCACGCCCCCACACCCACCGAACAACCGCTGTAGACATTCCTGTTAAAAATAAAAACATAAAAAAATCATTTTGAAATAAATCATAGAGCTTTCTTGCTCATCACACATACAGTGGATTATCCTTGTGGTTAGGAAATAAAATAAATGAATGAATATCAAGTGATCAATCAGTCACACACAGTATATGAGTGAAGGAATTAATAAATCTGTTGCTTTCTCAAAATGATGACACAGTACCAGTGAATAAAAAGAATAGACGGGGGATTCCATTTGAATGATATAAAACATTGCATGATGCATTTCATGAGAAATATACATGTAGGTACAGCTGTACATCATATATGATCCAAACCTATTGTCAGCAAGAATATATAGATATAAACTTACTTCTTGCAATACTTTGGACTATTTTTTTCAGCATTAGTTAAATATTTTAAAAACTTAAATAGTATATTTCATAGGCATTAAGAGCTTTGTTAAAAATAACTTTATTATTATCATTCTTCCACACACTAAGTCTTACCTCATTACAATATGGAGGAACATTGACAACAAAGAGAGTCCTGTCTGTAGGTTTAGTGTCTTCACTTTCTTTCACAGAATGTTCCTTATAATAGAGCATATGACCTGCTGAACTCTTCTCACTGAATTTCACAGGGACGACTGCAAGGGAAAAGACAAATTAAAGGGGAATTAACATCAAAATAGAGTAAAACCGCCAAACTTTGGACATTGCCAAACTTCGGACAAAAATTACTTCAACGGCTCGAACGCAAAATATGAGCCTAGCTCAGTCGGGTAACTTGCATGCATTTGATACTACTACTAACCTACATCGTTAGTACAGAAAGTTAGGGCAGGTTGCCGTCTGCAAAACTCACAAAAAACATCGAATTCAGAGACAGATTTCAGGTTACCTGGATTTTTACAGTTCCTTAACAGGGGAGTTAAGGTATAGAGCCTCCAATATATCGATTAAAAACAAATCCTTGGCATATTTCAGGTGGTTTCTGCCAAAATTATGGGAGCTTATGAGATACTTTTTCACTCTATCGCGAAATTTTTCTAATGGCGGCCGTTACCACGGACCTAGGGGTACTATACAGGTACCCCTACCAGAAGATGGCGCTCTTCCAAACTTCGGACAGGCAACATTGAGTGTCATTTTGACTACGAAAAATAGCACTTTCGTAAGATTTTAGCACCAAAATATTGTGTGAGTGTTGTGAAAAACACCTTTCTGATAGTTCTACCTAAAATAAATCTACCCAAAACGAGAAAATAATATTTTTTTCATGAAATCAACGCAGTCAAACTTAATTACCCCGTCGAACGATTTTTGATCCGGTTTCCAAACCTCCGATGAATGCGCACTTTAGCGCGCACGCTATACTAATTTTCTTTTCATGACATACATAAACAGTATTTGCACAATAATAGTATATTTGATCTTTCACTAATTAAAAAAAGAATTTAATGTTTTCCCCCGTTTTGTCTTAAGTGTCCGAAGTTTGGCGGTCTTACTCTACATGTTAATTTCAGTTTGTAGGCCATTTAAAACAATTTAATATCCTAAATATATAAAACATCATACATTTGACGAAAGGGAGGACGTAACTCTTCTTCAGAATCATTTGTCTTTCGCGGCTCTGAGAATTTTCAGAACGTCGCCATTGTGTCTGCGCTCGGCCCGTTCTGTGACATATCGCATGGATTTGACCGCTATTGCGTACGTAAAATGAATGATCACTGCAGATCGCATCGTTTTCCTGTCATACTCGTACTTTTTGTCCAGATATTTCTCCTCCTGCAGAGCTGCTATCATATCGTTCTTCAATTTTTGTTGTTCGATGATCAGAACCGGAGCTACGAGTAGACGAGCAACCGCAGATTGACTAAATATTCAAAGCATCGGATTTTAACGAAGGAAAAAATTATATATATCTCTCTTGATAGAATATTTAGTTATTTACCAGCATAGGCTTATATGAAATATCTAGGTGATTTGATTACCGAAACGATGTTTTTTAACTCCAAAACTTTCACAATAGATTTCTAGATCTAGGGTCTAGACTAGACTTCTATGTGCCAAGACCAGAGGAAATTGGGCGCAACACTTTCGCGCATAATGGCAATGGTTCACTGGGCTGCGCTGCTTGCTGAGCATCTTGCTGCTAGCCGATGCGCGATGTGGGTGAAAAAAAGTACCGAGTTGTCATACAACCCTCCATTACTGTGGGGGGGGGGGGGGACCAAAAATGGGTGGGTTTTTTAACATTAAACCATCTTTATTTCGCTATTCGTTGACCTAGGGTGATCATCTTGGTATCATTTTAGCTGTATTTTTCATACTCTTGCGATTTGTACTATTTCTAAAGAGATTCAATGAATCTTATTTTTTGCTCACCTACCAATGCATAGCAATGGCAATGCAATGCAAAGCAAATGTGAAAATAGAATTCCGAATTCTGTCATAACTCATAAACTCATTGATCACGGTGCACGGACTGCAAACAAAAAAAATGTACCCTATTCCTGCAAAATTTCTGAAAGAATTAATGATGTATATCCCCCCGTAAAACTGTAACTGAAAACTACAAATGTTTGCGTATATGTATGTAGTCATGAATGTGAAAATTACCTCTGAAACCGCCGACCTCGTGAGGAACAGTGTGGGCTGACATCTTGAAATTAAAAAACAGACAGCGATTACGATTGAGATATAGCGCCAGCTTGCGTTCGCAATTCGAGGGGTCCAAAGCTAAATTTATATGTAAATTGTTAATTAAAAAGGAATAATTAAATGGCCATATAATCATTTGTAATTAAAACAGTTCGAGCTTTAGCTGGCATTTGCCCATCTTGGAATGGCAGGACATACTAGAAATAATTCAAAAGTTGCAAGAAATAATGATCCTTCGTACATGAAGAAATGTTATCATTTCATTTCATTATTTATTAAAATCTATATCGTTTTAATTATTACCATTATAATTAGATTTCTTGTGACCCAAACTGATAATGTATGCTATGAAATATTCAAATGAACTGAATATCATACTGAAACTGAAAAAATAACCACCACTGCTGAATTTGTTTGACCATTTAATGTATGATGAAGGGTGTCTGGTGCCCCTTTCAGAATATATAGCATCACTTCGAAGGTCCCTTTTAATAGCTTGACCAATGCTACTGTCTATGACCAATTATAACACTGATCTCAACGAGAAAAAAAGGAGAGAAAAAACCCTCTGTAGATCAGTGTCATAATAAGGTTCCTGATCAACTTCGTTAATTTGTCCGCCTTTGTTACAATTGTGTTTATTTTAACCAGTTGCTGTTCATAAGGTCCGGAAAGACCTTTTGCATGCTGTTATACAAAGAGTACCAACACTTTAAAATGGGGGTGCCTTAATTAATTGGAACAGGTTTTAAATCAATTCTAAACAATTTTGTGGACACGGTGGTCTGAGTCAGAATAACTTGCTGATGAGTATTGTCGTTCTGTTCTAAAAAAAATCATAATGACGTAATTGCTGCATAGTGAGTTAGCTGCTGGGTCATAATTGGAATTAGACTTTTAATTGCTAACTAATAAGAAAATCTTTAGCAATTGATGATGTAAAACCAGAATGGGCCTCAGTTTTGTGATTTCTTAAGAATTAGCGATATATACAATGTCAACAATTATCAGGATTGTTAACACTCTCGAAAGGTCAGCATGTTGAGTAAAAAATTCTGGGATGATTTCTTTTTTTCTAGATTGTATGCCAGAAATCACATATTTTTGAAAATAATTTCTCCCAATCACAATACAAGTCGCATTTTGAAGGCCCTACATTGTAGTCAATTTCTTACAAAATGGTAAAACACGAATAGTAACTTTCTGTTTACAGGCCTTCATATGGTCTGAAAAACTAACTATATATTTACATGTAAAGTTTGCTGCCAATTCAACAGTCTCTGAACAACAGTCAGCAACCAACGTATGCTCAATGTAGGTTTTACATCTAAAATTCATCTTTGCTTAAAGGCCCACTGCACTACTTGTAGCTACTTGCGCCCTCTATATAACAAACAATGCCTAATCGGTGACCATTGGTCCCCCATGATCCTCTTTTTCTTATGTTAACTGAGAGCTCAGTTGATGAGATAACCACCCGTCCAGTGACCTTGCAGGGCGGTCTAATCCCTCCTATAAACTATGGCAGATAAGCTTTAATTTGAACCATGCATTTTAAACTTTTTTTTTAGTAAATGAAGGGACATGCTTTAAATTAGAGAAAGTTTTTTTAATTGTTATTTAAATCTAGCTCCCCAGTCAACATCCCCTAGAGATACTGCCGTCAGCCCAGAGGCGGCCCTCCGGGGGGGGGGGGGGGGGGCGCCCCTGCCCCAACTTTTTCAAGCACCCAAAAAGTGCCCCTTTTTACATAGGAAAAGTGCCCCTTTAACTTTTTAAGATGTCCCCCTTTGACATAGGAATAGTGCCCCTATTAATTTATAAAAGTGCCCCTTCCCATCTTCAACTCTGATAAGTGCCCCTTTTATTTGGACACGTGCCCATTTTCCTTCGAGAAGTTCCCATTTTCCTTTGCAAAAAGTGTCCTTTTTAATCTCTGGTAAGTGCCCCTAGTTAGGTACGAGAAGTGCCTCTTTTCACTTTTGATAAGTGCCCCCTTCACCTCTGATAATTGTCCTATTTAAATCTGAGAGGTACGCGCTTCGTTTACTTTGACAAGTGTCCTTTTTCCTTTGTGAGAAGTGCCCCTTCCCCTTTTAATAACTACCCCCATTTCAACTCGGATAAGCGCACCTTATATTTTCTCATGTGCCCTTTTTCCTATTTTATATCTTATAAATGCCCCTATCAAAATCTGATGGGGGCCCCTTTTCCGTCGACAAATGCGCATTTCTTATTCTCATCCCTGGTGAGTGCCTCTTTTTGAGGGTGTAAGAAGTGCCCACAATTTTCACCTCTGATAATTACTCTTTGTGCACATGCTCCTTCTTTCCTGATAAGTGTCCCCTTTTCCTCTCATCATTACGCGCCCTAGCTAATTTCAAAGCGACTAAGAGCAATTCCCCCCTAAAGGTCGCTCACTACGCTCGCACACATCTATAGATGATATACTTATGTTACTTATCAAAGGTCTTTTCAGTCTTCTGTTATGAGAATGTGCTTATAACCCCATGAGGATATTGTTTTTATGTCTTTATAAGATGCAATTCTTCGCACTGCGACCTCACTCACACATCTTAAACATTTTCCTCGCTCGCAAACAAATGTTTAGACAATCAAACCCAACTACAAAGCAAGCTTAAGCAAGATCTTGTATGGTGTATACAGTGAAACAAATTTTGAAATCATCCAGGTTAATTGTAATCACAATTGTAGAAGTATATATACCAATGTCTAAAAAATTGTATATTTTCGCTTTGAGATTTCCTTTGTAGGTGCCCTTTCCCCCCACAAAGTGCCCTTTTTTCTTGGTCCCCCCCCCGCACTTTGGAAGTCGCTCGGCCGCCCCAGCGTCAGCCCCATCCTATTTCCATTTGCAAGAAGCCCCTCGTTGTAACAAATGGCAGATGAATAATCGTAGAATCTTTGTCTATTTTTAAATTGAATCTTGCATGCATACCCTATAAATTGGCAGATGCAGGTCTCCAGTTCGGTGGTGTCTTTTGTAATCACAATCACCCGAAATGGGAGGAAACAATATTTTTCCTTTTCGGAACTGTGCCACCTTTTACAAAATTCCAGACCCGTCGCTGTTTATGGCCGGGGTTAAAGCCCAAGTCCACTCCAAAAATAACTTACTTTCAATAGAAGCAGAAAAATCAGACTAACCAATCAAAAAAATTCTGAGCAAAATCAGATAATTAATAAGAAAGTTATGAATTTTTAATGACGTTAAAAACTTTGAAAATCACTAGACTCATGAGTCTGTGACATAATGTCCTCACTATCCTATATTGATGATATTAAATTTCCTATGTTCTCCTTAAGAATCTTATTTCTTCACACCAGCATCCAAGTTAGATTAATAGTAATATGTTTTTGTGTGGATGGCTGGATGCACTAACATAGAGTATTTTTTTCCACTTAAATCATAAAAAATATGAATTTTGATAAACTATTTATATAAAAAATCAATAATTATGAATATGCAATATTCAGAAAATAGTGTAAATTCTTCAAAGTTCATAAAAGATTTTGTGAAATGTCATGCACGCAATATGATACAAATCATATAACCTGGGCAAAGGCATGGGGAAATCAAGTTTTGGGGAATAAAAAGGGAAATTAATGGGATTAAACCATACAGAGCAATTGATAAATAGTGAGGACATGACGTCACAAACTGATAACCATATTGGCAGTTTGTGTTGTGATTCTCAGTCTTCCAAGTCCCTGGTTTTACATACTTTTTCAAAAATTCATAACTTTCTTATTTTAATATTGGTTAGGTCTATCCGATTTTGTTCAAGTTTTTTTGATTGGTTTGTCTGATTTTTCCACTTTTATTATTGAAAGTAAGTTATTTTTCGAGTGGACTTGGCCTTTAAGTCTTTTCTCTGTTATTATAATGTAGGCTATGTTGTCTTGGGAAAAGGGAGATTAAGTAGAATAGACAAAAAGCAGTGCCACCTGCTACTTGTCTGCGATTCACTAATTGGACTGCGCACGCGCACCATACAAATTAAAATCTATACCCACCTGCAACACAACATGTACTGCATGCATCGCATGAATTGAAACCATAGACGCTATCTTCACAGTAACGGGAATTCTCGCGAGCGAAATTGAATGATGGCGGGGTGTAAATTCCTCGTTTCTCGTGCAACCGTACCCGTTTGGATGATATAAATTTGGATTATAGTGTAAATTTTGTCAAAGAAAACTCCTGGTAAGTATAATGCTGCATGTTTGTTTCAAAAGGGGGTAACATGTTGTGTTTGTAAGTAACATTGATCGAGAATTTTCAAAATGATTGGTTTTCCAGTCGAGTGATACAGCGGCGTGCGTGTTGTGTTATGTGTGATACAGTGGGCCGTAGCTTGTGGCTGCAGTTGCATCTGCGCTGCGGACTGTTCCTAACCGACGGCCGACTAGACTCTATACCGGTTTTTATGTGAAAGTTTGATCAGGGAGAAGTGCAAGTGTCTCCCTGGTTTGATCGACAAATGAAATTGCCTTGCAAAATACACGTCATGAATGCCATGATTGTTGTTTGTATTGTCTCTACTATCTATTTACTCAATCTGCGAAGGATACACTCCGCGCGCAGTTCTCCAAACCTGGAGGAAACCAAGAAAGAAGAAGAAGAAGATGTGATTGTCATGCTTGATTAGCTCTCTTAATTTCATAAATCTGTTTCAAAACCAATTTGATATCAGATCAGGATGAAGTGCGCAAATATCCATCTTAAGAAAGAGGGGAAAGAGTTCCATATTTACCCCCGCCCTGCTAAATAAATACGAAAACAAAATTTCTTGTATTGTCTTATTATTACTTACTTTACTTTACTTACTTTAATCCATTACACTTTCTTGCTATATCTCATTGTCTAACTCTAGCCCTAACCCTAACCCTAGTTTCCCATGTGTCATATATTATATTATCATCAAGTATATCACTCTGAAACATATCTATATATTTTTTCTCCAATTTTAGTGGGGCCGGCCCTGGGGTTACATACAGTGTATAGAACTCTTTCCAAAAGAGGATATTGTAATTTGTATGTGTATAATCCATAATCTAAATCTCTTATAACCAGATAACAATTTAGGGTCTGCAGATGATTGCACCCTTGTTTCTGTATACATTTGTTACTTGACCATGATTTAAAATTGCAAACTTTTCCTGTAAGAGTTTGATTTACTTTGTCATAATTTAAATCTTGATACTCTGATACTGATAGAACAGGTTCTAGATGATATCTAGATCTTGCTGCATCTGTTTTTCTTTTCACTTTATATCTGCTTGTATTACGCGGAACTACAGTCTTAATCATATTCCCATTTCTTTTTAAAAGAAGTTTTTATCAAAATCATCAAACTTTTAAAAATATGTATTTATTGGAAGTCTGAAACTACAATTATAAACTTGAATAGAATTCAATAGATTAATAAATCAAAAGAAGAACCATACCATAGAAAATAAGCTGAGAAAGTAGTGTTTGATACAAATGACAATGTTTTCTACGTACAAGTACCTGTACATGTACCCTCAACTATTTCACAATATTACACAACAGTGATTGAGGAAGTAGTATACTTTTTACATGATGGAATGAGTTCAACAGCTGACTGCATCTTTTTTTGTTCTGAATACATGTAGATCTCGTACCAGAACCAAACTGCACTCTTAAGATTGGACTTCCCCCTTAAAAAGGAATTAAATCTGGATTTAAATCTTAATACATGTATTACAATGGATTAGGATCTGCAGCTGACTGCACCCTTTATAGCTGCATTTTTTAAACCAAATTGTGAGTGAACTTCCTGATTACATGTAGGAAGAAGCTTGGGTTGTAAACAGGTTCTGCAGTTGACTGCCTGACTGTATTGTTAGCTACTTCTTTTTTATGATCAAACAAACTTCTTGAATAAGAGGAGCATTGCAATGGATCTAATGATCTGTAATATTACAATGGAACAACAGGTTGTGACTGCAGCTGACTGCCTCCTCTTTCTTGTACAACAAATCTACCCTTATCAAACCAAACTGCAACTGAACCCCTTAAAGAAAAAGAAACTTTGATCTGCTTGTACATACATGTTAATCTTTAAAAACATTACAATGGAACAGGTTCTGCAGCTGAGTGCATCCTAGCTTGTTCTTACTACAGTGTACTGATTGTAAGTGTTGTTGTTTTAATTGAACGGATGCAGTAAGTGTGATTAGCTGTCAACCTGAACTGTGACTGATGCAATTAAATGAACAACTCAACTGTGAAGTATAACCATAGAGGAAGTGGGTTTGGGTCAAGAAACTTGGAACTATGAATACAATGTGTTTACTTTGCCTTATGAAGCATAGAGTTTTTAAACACAAATTCTCTGTGGATATTTTACTAAGAAGTGGACTGACAAACAGATGAATGTTGAAGCACCATGAATCTCTGCCCCTCCCCCATAAAAGATATTTCTTAAATTTGATAGGGTTGGGTGACTGGGTCCTTCAAGCATTGACATCAAGTACATCATGTTTGTTAACTTTGTTCACTCTAGCGTGTGTGAAAAAATAAGCATTAATAAGTCTAATTGGCCGACCAACAGGTACATGTTGATCTGTCAAGTGGAAAGGGTCTGTTATCAAGAGTCAAACAATTTTACTGGAATGAGGGGAAAAGAAGTACCGGTAGCTCAATTAAATCACAGAGGATGCATTCTTACTCATTGTAAAAAGTTAACACAAGAATCTTTCTTTCAGTCTATCATTGAAAACAACTTATTTTGAAGACTCATGAAAGTGGTGAAATTTTCTTGATTCACATTAGTGCTTTGTAAGGTGCATTGATGGGCACCAACACGAACAGTGTAGCTTAATCATGTCCATCGTATAAGGATGCAATGTGATGTGCATGTTTAAGTGTACATGAATGAGTGTTTATTATTGTAATATGATTCCCGGCAGGAGTTCAAAGGCTTGCCCCTAGCCTGACCTTGATCACCCAATGATCTTCAGAGCTCCCATTCGCTGTTTGTCGTCAGCCGTCTCCAATGCGAAAACTAGGCGTGGGGTCCTTAAGAAACTGGAAAGCAGCTATAACATTACAAAATGTATGGAAGATACATTGTAGTAGGCCTACTCTTGTTCACATCAAATAACAATGAAACTCGTGAAAAGACTGCTTTAGGGAGACAAGAAAAGTGGTCTTTATTATAGGCAGGTGCCCTTTATGAGAACTTGTGAAGTACCGGTACAGGTTCTTCTAACACTTGTTTGAAAATTTCAATCACAAGTTCTGTTTAGTGGGAACAGAATAGTTGTTTTTACAGACATGTGGTATTTCTATACAGGCGGTTGCTAAAGCGCTTGTGACTGTTTATGTCATGCTTCAAAGTTCAATCTAGTTTTCCTCCAGATTTACAAAGAAAACAAAATCTCCATTAGTGAAAAGGACTATCTTAGGGGGTTAAACATACAGTTACATATCCAGAAATATTTTTGTGAGAGGGGTATGGGCAAAATGTGTGGGGTTTTCAAAACCCAATTTCAATTTGCCACCATGATATGGAGGCTGAACTGTCTATTTTTAGTGAAATGTGATTCATATTCATTTAAAGAGGCTCAAAGTGAAGTTTGAAAAAACCACCTGTATGACTATTTAAAAAAGTTAACACATACCGTATTATTAGAAGTAAAAACAAAAGCATTTATTTATGAAAATAAGGAAGTGAGGAGGACTAGAGTTTTAAAAACAATATTTGCTTGAACTTTTTGTAGTTATACATGTTGTAAAGAAGAATTTAAAGAAGGAATATTAATTATTCAAATGTGTTTTAATTTTCCAGATTTTTCCCCAGGTATGGAGACCTAGAGAGGAATCATGCCTGGACGGTCAACATCCTCTCGTGCCAGTCGGTCAGTGCGGTCATCTAGACCCTCCACAGCATCGTCCAAGAGACCACACAAGAGACCGCCCCTCCCGATGCCGGTCAACAACAAAACCTGGCCCAAATCATTTGGCTTCACAATCGGGGGTGACGCCCCTACCTATATTCTCTCCGTGGAGCCGAACAGCCATGCCCATGCGGCCGGGCTCCAACCTGGAGACCAACTTGTGGAACTCAATAACCAAAGCATCCTCCACTTGGGTGCAGAGTCCATCATGACACTCGCCAGACGATGTCCGGAAGTGCCTCCGAGCATCGTCGTCGTGTCCTGCGTGAAGACGTGTGAACTCTACCGCGATCGCAATGGCCACTTTGGCTTGACTCTCATTGGAGGCGGTCCCGTGTACGTGGAGGTCGTCGAGCGCGGTGGTCCCGCGATGAACTGTGGGTTGAAAGCAGGAGACATGGTGTTAGAAATCAACGGACTTCCCATCAAGCATTCTGATGATGCTAAGTTGTTTGTAAGGGGAGCGGCCAGATTGAAGATGGTCATCATTCCTGGTGCGGGACACCAATCAGTCAAGAAGATTGCCCAAAGGTTTGAAGCTCATGCTCAGGACAGGAAAAATAAAGCAGATGGATTCTTCAGAAAGGTAAGTTCAACCATATACTTTTTAGTCAGTCACTGGCCTTGGGACTCAAGACAAGCAGGACTCTAGTGCTTGTATAGGCCTCCATATTTTTTTTTTTTACAGATTTGAACAAGGGCATGCATGTACATGTACATGTACAGTATGTGACATGCAAAATAACCGCAAGCTCAATTCCAAACTCCCAAATTTGTTATCTGAACAATTGCCCAGTGGCCCTAGAAATGTTTATTGTTTCAAAATCCTCTTGTAAAGATTTTTATGGATCGACCCATGTCATATCTTTCAGTTGCACTGTCATTGTGCATTTAAGATGTACACAGTAGAGGGTCAAAAAGAGTAACGCTGTAAACTAATTACTTTTACCATGAAATGGAGCTAGTCGGTAACCTTCGTCTTCATTGTATCAAATCGACTCATGCATAATTCAACGCATTTGCTCAAGTCCGGTGATATGAATTGGATGACTAATGTTCCTAGAAACTAGAAAGGCAACTAATTAGTTCTCTGCAATTGGTCTATAAATGGGAACGACAAGTAAACGGAAGTATGTAACATGTAAATGATATGGGTGCATCATAACAGGTTGAACGCATTTGAAGGAAAACAAAATGTCAACTATCCCTAATTCAAAATCTCTTATAAATGTTATTCCACTGAAAATGTTGTACACTTTAAGTCTGTTTTATCAAATGTTTGTGAAAATTTGTGATCCATCTTTCAAGACTGTTTGAAGTTAAATAAATGTGGAAATTGATGGGGGGAAAAAATGATCACATTTTGCATTGAGAGCAAATTACTTTATACTGTAACTAGTACATACATGTAATGCATGTACAGGAGTTTGCCGGAGGGGAAAGAAGTAGTTGCTATGATTTTACAGGTAATATCGTTTGCTTGAGGTCCTACATTTTGAATTACATTTCTTTTTAAATAAAATATATGGAGAAAAGACAGAAAAAGGTTTTCAAGCACTTGCAGTATCTTAGGCTGGTAGTGTGCATGTAAATTTGTACATACATGTACAGTGTAAATAAGAAATTAGTATTCCATTCATTTGCAAACTAATTGTTTTTTTAAGCAGCAATATATATGGACATATATCTGTCCATACAACTTTTTTCAAAGCAAGCTTATTAGACTCAAATATGATTGCTTGATGAGACCTTGATGGCTTTAATTGATTGCATGCACGATATGCTCTACATGATGCAATGCTCTGCATCGGTTCCCAGTTATCACTTTCCACTGTCCACAAGCCCTAAAGCGGTTAGGAAGAAAGGCTTTTAAATGTGATTGCCAATGTGCGAGTGTGTGTGTACGTGCATGTGCCTGAGTTTGGCAGACAAGCTGAGATGATGAACAGCGCACACACGTTGCCATAGCTACGGCTTCCTACTAGGCTGTCGCTATGGCAACCATTGTAAGCTATACTGGTGCTGTATGCTGCGGGATTGCCTGTGTGGTTCTAACGGACATGGAGGGCATTTTGTTCAGATCTTGTTTGCTATTGTTGAACTAAGTAATTGACACACTCAGTAGTTTAAATGGATTAATTGATATTAAGTTCACACCCTCTGCATTGAAAAGCCTTTGGGAATTATGCAACAATCATTTCAATTAATAGATTGGCATGAATACATGTAAAGAAAAAATTATATGTACATATTTATTTGAAATCAATCAGGCTTTTGTGTACCACTCTAAAGAATTATTCTGCTTTATTCTTTCCCATTGCTCATGCATCTCTCCCTTCCTCTTTCTCTTTCTCTCTATCTCCCTCTCCTTCTCTCTATCTTCCTCTCATTTTGAAAGTTTTCCTTTGACCCTACCCTAATTTTCATGATTGCCTTTTTTCTTTAACTCCCTTTCCTCCCATTCCTGTGTTATTTATCTCTCGCTTCCTTCTACTTCACTGAAGTTCACTCCTTTTCCCCTTATTGTATTTCCCCTTATTATATTTCCCCTTTTTTTTTGGCTTTATCTTTTTTTTAATCTTTAATAATTTATCTGTTTTTACTGCCTGCCTGCCTGTGTCATATTTTCCACTCTCTCTCTCTCTCTCTCTCTCTCTCTCTCTCTCTTCCTCTCCCCTCTCCCTCTCTCTCCCTCTCCTCTCTCTCCCTCTCCTCTCTCTCCCTCCCCCTCTCTCTCTCTTCTTATCTCTCTCTCACTCTCCCTCTCTCACTCTCCCTCAGTCTTTCTCTCTCTGTATGTCTCTCTTTTTCTCTCTGCCTCTCTCTCTCTCTCTCTCTCTCTCTCTCTCAAATCTTGTCGTTTATTATCTAGCAGTCAGTGATACAAACATACAGTTCTGTACAATACTGAAAACAGTTCAATGCAATACAATTTCTTGCGTAGAGCTGCATCATGTGTACACAAATGATGTTGGCGAATTTCATTAGGCAATTAAAGAATCAAGTTAGTTTCTAGGTGGAGTCTCTCACTGTACATTATTGATGGAGATGGCCATTGTCTCTGCTCATGATATCATCCTCGGAAGACAAAAGCCCCACGAATGATTCACCTACCGCATCAAAACACACCTACATTTAAATGCAACTCCCTAGAACCAGGATCAATAATTCTGAATTTGATTGTCAAAGGGAATGGCCATCACTCATAAAGGTTTGATTGTTACGGGGAATGGATGAAAAGGCTCATTTCTATAGGCGCACTCCAATGGAGCATGCTTAGTAAGGAGTCCGCTGGGGTGCTGTAATCGATTGTGTCACCAAAGCTCAACCAATTTGCCTTTGTGCACCACTTTTTGAATAAAACAACTCTTTAAAGATTGGGATGGGTGATGTATATGGATGAAAGAGGATTTGGGGGGGGGGGGGGGGGTGTGCTATGAGTTGAATGGATTTGCTTGTAATGACAGATAATTCTATGAAATGTAATACCTGGTGCCTGTTAGTTGTAAACATGGTACCTGTTACGAGCTTGAATCTTGAGTTGTGAGAGACTTTTACATCATATAATAGTTTTGTTTGTTTGGAATTTGTTCAAGCATACATGTAGGTAGTCCAGACTCATAAATGAGATGCTTTGATGAACACTTTCAGCTTTTCAAATAAATGTCAGACAAATAAGTATGTACATGTACACTGTTTGTACTGTAGATGCTCTAGATCTGTCTGCTTTACTTTTTATGATGAAACTAGATTTCTACAATTAAATGTAATATAGACTGACTACATTAGAGTACAGTACCATTTTTTTTTTAGTTTGTGCCAATTTAAGAATATACATGTATATTTTTTTCATAGAGTTTTTTAACCAGCTATATTTGAGCTCTACATTTTTTTTTTCTTGAGAGATCAAATTAGGAAAATTCCTGTAATTTATAGGGCTCAGTTTCCTTCAATCCCATATAATATCTGTTTCCCTTTCACACGCAATGTTGTACACAAAATATTATAAGGAGACATTACTGACCTCCCTAAAAAAGAATGCATGTAATTCTAGGGGAATCCTTCTTTCATCAATGTATTTATTTATTTGTTTAAATAATTGTTATGTTCTACTGTTACCTCTGTTCATAGCTTGATGCAGTGTTTTACAATGACCAATTGAAGAAGGAGACATTACTGGCCTTACTCAAGCGATATGCAAAGGATAAGAAAGTGGATGCCTTTGGTAGAGCACTGGCAGGTCTTCTGGATACACCTACAGAGAAGAAACTCTTTGAAGATATCAGGTATATTTGATTTTGGGGTTACTTAGAAAAAGTTTGCCATTCACCCATTTAAGCTAGTTGTGAAACATTGAATAATTTTTTTAAGAATGGGCTGGTAAGAGAGAAAAGAAGAGCGAGAGAAGGGAGAAAGCATGGGGTGGGGGTACAGCTTGGGTGTAATGCATAAAATAGTCAGATATACTAAATTATTTTCCTTATTCATTCACCCACCATCACTGTTTTAGGATGCGATGTATCCTCAAAATTGTTAAGGTGATAAAGCCCCTCTAAAGTGTTAGGAGCCCAGGGAAATAAATAAATGGGGGCTCAGGGCGAATTTGCCCCCCAAATGCCAAAAAGTGCCCCAAAAATTGTAGGAGCCCCTAATTTGCCAAAAATTTAATAGCAAAATATCACTAAAATTGTATCATAATATGAAAGGGAATAATATCATTTGAGACACACTTCTGCAAAGATTCCTCCCCCCAATAAAATGTGTTTGAAGACAAATATTGATAAAAGAATACGTAATTTGGGTTTTCTGTTGTGTGCAGAAAACTCAAACTCATTTGTTTTGAAAATCCTTGCAGAAATGTGTCTTAAATAACATCCTCTTTCACATTATAATACAATTCAGGTGAAATTTTGCCATCATATTTTTGAGGCTCCCAACACTAGAGGGGCTTTACATGTCTTTGTCACTTTGCATAATATGTTGTTCATCTCTAACAAGGTAACTCTTTTATTTCCCCAGGATCTTTGTTCCGCCCAAACACAGAGATAGATTTGATTTTCTGGTGACCAAGGATGAACCTGCAAGAGGAAAGAGGTACAAAATCAGTCTTTGTTTTTAAGAAAGAATTTGAAAAAAATGAATACATGTATATATACATGTACATGTTTTGCCTACCATTACTTATGTAAATGTGTATACATGTATGTGTGCAGTCATTTCATTTGTAATCTTTGCTTCTATGAAATTTAAAAATGAGAAATTGACTCCATGTTCATTTAACATGTACATGTCTCTTGCTATCCGTAGCACTTCAGATTTTTAACTATGACATATCTTATGATTTTATTTTAATTTTAGGATTGTGACAGTTAACCGAGCTGGAGGTTCTTTTGGTTTTGTATTAGCTGGTGATATCCCTGTCATCATAGAGACCATAGATAGAGGTAAGTCGTAGATCTATGTTTATGTATCATCAGTGTTTTCAAATCACTGTGGTACATGTATGGTGGATTTTTATGATTTCATAATTTTAATTTTTCTAATGGGATATGCATGATAGTTTGTTTGACAAGTAAAATGTTATTGTTGAATATTCTTCTTCTTCATCTACATTTAATTGGTTTTATTATTAGTATAATTCTGATTATTATTATTAGTAGGAGTACATTTAATTAGAAGTAGTATTTTTCTTCTTTTTCTTCTTCTTCTTCTTCTTCTTCTTCTTCTTCTTCTTCTTCTTCTTCTTCTTCTTCTTCTTCTTCTTCTTCTTCTTCTTTCTTCTTCTTCTTCTTCTCTTCTTCTTCTTCTTCTTCTTCTTCTTCTCCTCCTCCTCCTCCTCCTCCTCCTCCTCCTCCTCCTCCTCCTCCTCCTCCTCCTCCTCCTCCTCCTCCTCCTCCTCCTCCTCCTCCTCCTCCTCCTCCTCCTCCTCCTCCTCCTCCTCCTCCTCCTCCTCCTCCTCCTCCTCCTCCTCCTCCTCCTCCTCCTCCTCCTTCTTCTTCTAGTGTTATCATCAGTGACAGCTTCATTATTATTTTTCTGTCGTTATTTTGTTACAAATATTTTGTTACTGGACATTTGTTTTTCCTTTGATTTCCATTCATAGGTGGAGCAGCCGAGAGGGCCGGGCTGCGGACAGGGGACAGGATCATGAGACTCAACGGTCTCAACGTCCGGAAGAAGACCCACGATGAACTGGTAGAGCTCCTCAAGGGGAGCGGATCTACACCCACCCTGGTGGTTGAAACCGGTCCCATTATTCCATCCTCTGGTAAGTGAACCACTCCTTAGGTACCTCTTAGGTGTCTTTGATCGATCCTTAACCTTTTGGATGTAATTTGATTTTGATATATAACAAGGTTTCCATGGATGTCAGCCTAAATTGACTCGATCTAAATTCTAATATTTTGATTTAATGTGGTTGCGATTTAAATTGGTATAGAACAAATTTTCCATGGACCCCAGTCTGAGTTACATGTACATTGCAGAAGTCTATGATTTCAATGAAAGTAAACAAATTCCCTAGTTTACCTCCAGAAATATGTTGTACTACTGTATGAGTAATCATTGTACAAATATTGAATGATTCGGAGCTTAATACAACAAAATCAACAAACTGAACACATTAACAAATTCATAATTTTCCCTGAGTGACAGTTATATTTCATCAAGGCTGTTAAAATATAATTGCACAAGGGAAATTCAGAATTTGGATGTGAATGTATGTTAATATATTGAACAACAAAATGCATTCAATATAAATTAAGGGTATTTATGATTTCATGCATTGCTTTTTTTGTGAGTTAACATCTCTGTCTCAGTATACAATGTATGTTTTAACATCATTTACTATACTCTACGTGTACATATGCTGTATATGGTGTGTGTAATTACCAATTTGCTAGGCATTGTTGGCTTTGGTATCAGCAGCTGCTGTATTCAGTTCAGGGTTCCTTTGACTTCTGTAAGCCTCCATTATTGGTTGAGTTGCTGGATATAAATATTTGATTAGTGGGAGCCACCCTTGGTTCTGCCACAGCTGTCTCAAGTACTAACAATATTTGGGAATCCAGATTTGATATGACTTCCAAGATTTTATTTCAAACTACTATGTGTATACATGTAGGCAGGCATGTCGCTGGGGGGGGGGGGGGGGGGGGGGGTTAAACCCCCCTTTGAGGTTTTTTTATGTGTGTATTTTTTAACAAACCCCCCAATCAATTTTCAAATAGTCCACCAGACTGCTCTGCTTTACCTGCTCAATGGCCAAACAAAATAAATGTTTTTGGTATTACAGTCAAACCTGCTTTATAAACCACCTGTCTATAAAGACCACATTTTTTGTTTCCCTTGAAAATGGTTTCTCATTGAAACATGGACTAAAGGAACATGTCTACAAAGACCACTTTTTATGTTTCCCTTGGGTGGTCACTATAGACAGGTTTGACTGTACCACCCTGATTCTTTCTGCTATAATATTGTGCTTTCCTCTTTGTTGTTGTAATTGTAGCTAACTCGATGGCGAGTGCCAGCATGGTGTCCAGCAGTGTCCTGAGCACGACACAGACCAGTGATGTCACATCCATCGCAGGATGGTTATCGGAATCAGGGACCAGTCGAGCCACGACAACCGTCTACGATGGTGACAGTATTATCGGCCTCAAGCCCTTGTCCAAGATGGATCTGTACTCACTCGGAAGAACGTTCAAGGAAATGGTAAGAAACAATGGGGACTAGTGTTCCAGCTGAGAGGATATTTATCCTAATCAATCATTAAAGGTATAGACTAGTTTTGAAAATGCCCCCACCCCCCTCGCAAAAAATGAAATGAAAGCTCTCATGACCAATCATGTAAAAATATATGGTTTGACTAATATGTCATGATACAAATTTTGATAGGAGCAGGATATGTTACCTTGTATCATTGATAAATCTACACATCTAGAGTTAACACCCTTCTGGATCCAAACAGGTGATACAAATTTTGACGGAAGGCGGAATATGACTCTTTAGACATTTCTAGAGAAATTGTCTATTACTTATCACCTTATTAAACGATTTTGTAGAATGCAGGGTTTCCGGCTATCCTTGATATCAGAGAAAAAAAAGGGAAACAACTTCCTTTTTCTAACTTTATTAGGGGGAAAATAAGGAATTTTCTGATAGATTTATCATAGCTTTCATCCCTATGTTTGACTTGATTTCTATCTCTCTACCAATGTTTTTTTTTTGTTGATCAAATGTAGATGGAACATCATCTAACACCTGATGAGAGGAAAGTGATCAAGAAATGCCTCAGAGACTACCATCATACAAGGTAAGATTAGACAGTTAAATGGTTTTATTTACTTCCTAAACTAACTATATTCTTAACTTCAACACTGGACCAAGCACTTTTTACTAATCTTAACCCTCTTCCTAAACCCAATTGTAACAGTATCCCCCACCCATTGTCTTGGATGAATATAGTCCTAGAGCAAAAGTCGCCAAGAGAAAATGATCAGATTTATATCCACCTAATGTGTTTCTCTTCCTGATTGTGTAATAGGATATTGATAGATTGTCTGATGCTCGAGTGGAACGTTTTATCAATCTTTATGTCGTACAAATTCTAGATAGCAATCCTAAAAGTCTTTTAATGTTGATTTTTATTTTCTTTAAGGAAAATTGATGGTTTGATCATAGCGATTGTCCTTATCATGGACACTAATGCTAAGTGTTTGTGAACATTTATCTTTGATGAATTGACCATTGAGATTGTCCTGATCAAAAGTTGACTTTTCATTTCTTACAGAAACATTGATGGGTTGATTGTAGAGATCTTCCCGATCTTGGACACCAATGCTAGGAGTTTGTTTATGTTCTTACTTTTCTTTTTCTTTTAGAAACATCGATGGGTTGATCGTAGAGATCTTCCCGATCTTGGACACCAATGCTAAGAATTTGTTTATGTTCTTACTTTTCTTTTCTTTTAGAAACATTGATGGGTTGATCGTAGAGATCTTCCCAATCTTGGACACGAACGCCAAGAGGACGATCTGGCCTTACATCATCCACATCCTCCCCGATGAGGTCCAGGAGAAGTGCAAGAAGAAGGTCATCTATCTCATCGATAGACATGCTGCAGGTATGCATCATCATGTCATCAAGTTTGATTTAGTGTCTAAAGGCTCGTTCAGATACGATATGGTAAACCACTACAAAAACGCTGCGGTTTTCTAAGTGTAAATGAACCCTTACAAAAAAAATGTTCAATGGTATACCAATGGTATACCATTCAGAATTACCACTGAAAAATACCATACAGATACCATTCACAAACACCATTTAAGTACCATTCGGATACCATTGAGATTACGCTCACAACGTACCATTGGGCACCATTCATCTACCAGTAAAATACCATTCAACCTAATAATAATTTTTTGGACGCTCATTTGCATAATCACCAATGGTAGATCAATGGTACCATTTACACCATTGAAATTTGAATCATACTTTCGCTAATTGCCAATATTTAGGGTTGTGTCAATTTGTGATCCATTCATATTGTGGCATAAAATTGTCATGATTGGGGACTATTTATGAAATTCAGGAACATTTTATTTGGAAGCAAGTTTCTGGTTTTAGAGTATACACTGTACTCATGTTGCTAGTAATTTACAGCCCAATCCTTGGATTATTTGTAATGATACAAGTAATAATATGTTCATTTATATAGCGCTCTTACACAATTGGTTTCACAGCGCTTACAGAAAAAGCAGTGGTATGAAATCCTGTGTGGTTAGTGAGAGATAGATGAGAATTAATTGTAGTATGAATAACATAGGGTTAAGTGCAGTGCACGGTTGCTGAATGACTATAATATATTTATACAATGCCTCAGGTAATATATTTATATAGTCATATATTATACCTGATTATTTTTTATAAATTGTATATATTTTTCACACTCTTTATTTCGATTATTGATATTTCTTGGTATATCTTGCTCTGTCTATACCATCCACATTCTCCCTTATTTTTCTCTTTCTATCTCTCTTGTGCTCTCTTTCTCTCTTTCTCTCCCTCTCTCTCTCCCTCCCTCCCTCCCTCCCTCCCTCTCTCCCTCCCTCTCCCTCTCTCTCTCTCTTTCTCTCTCTCTCTCTCTCTCTCTCTCTCTCTATCTTTGTTTCTTTGTCTCTCTCTTTTGCTGGTAACTAAGAAAAATTAGAACACATTTTTATTTGTCATTTTGTTTTTAGATGCTGTTTACAAGCCGAAGGGTAGTCCCCTGCACCCTGATGAAGAGGTCCCATTCAGGGCCAAGTCAAGGAACCATAGTAGGGCTGCAAGCTATGACATCACACCCTCGTATGGTGATGTGGTGTTTGGCGCCCCCGGCGAGTTTGAACCAGGTAAGGAAGCCTCCCCCTCCCCCACCACCACCACCACCACATCAAATGTTTCATTCGCCCCTTTGCCTAACCCATCAAAGATGACTTAATTTTGCGTAGCAAATACCCTCCCCTAGATACGACTAAAATCAGCAGTGCCAAGTCCGATTTTTTTCTTCTAATGTTGAATCTCAAAAAGATTTTGAAGGGGATCACTAAAAAGACTTTAAATAGTTTTTGTTTAAAAGAGAAGAATTTGAAGCTCCTTACCCTAAAAAGCCTGTAGTTTCATCGCTTTTGACACTGTCGAAAACAGACTGAAAAAAAAAATCCTATCCCTTAAAGAGGCCTTGACTGGAGTGATATCCTGCAGTATATATTATAAGGTGTTAAAATCTCCCATATAGCAGCACTCAATAACTATACAAATATACATCGACATGTACTAACATGTAGATCGATCTAGACAGTTGCCACACCTTAAGGATGAGTTGCAGATCGGGCATTATTGCAAGAAGAAACTGAAGCTTGTTCACTATTAAAAGGAAAATGCTCCAAGATTACTCTTTATTATCTTGTTCAAGAAGGCAAAGTAATATAATTCTATGCATTCTTGAAAAAATTGATACTGACTCTCATGAAGAATTTGATTGTCATCAATGAAAATTGATTTCAAATTACTTACAAGAATCTAATTTTAATTAAATGATTTGCCATTCTAACAAGTACATGTATTATTATGAAGCAGCTAAAAGAAATTTAGAATCTGTGAAATAACTCAATTTATTTGGATAGTATACTTAGCATTTACAGTAACTTGTTTTTGGATGTTTTAAACTTGACATATATTAGCTTATTAGACACAATAATAGTGCGAGAAGTAAATCTGTATAAATCTATAATCACAAAAATTTACATGGTTTCCATATATTGTATAATCATAAGTAAAAGCAGTTAAATTGAGGATTATTTGCAACTGTAACCTTTTTTTAGAATATTTATTCACTGATTTAATGCTATTATATCTTACTTAATAATGATAATTTCATATGCTAGTTGAAAAGTTGCAGATAGTTCATTTTGTTTTTGCATGAGCATGCTGTGTGTGGGTGGGTATGCACTTAGATTGTCTGCACAACCTTGTCCGCTTGTAGTGCCATCTTGTTTTTACATACCCTACTCTTTTCTGCTTCTTTTTTCGGCTTCCATCTCTCTCTCTCTCTCTCTCTCTCTCTCTCCGCCCTGCTTTGTGGTGTGTCTCCATTGTTTTTGCTGCTCCCGGCTCTTGTTTTTCTCCTGTGTGCTCGTTATGAACCCCTTCCTAAACTCCCGCCTCTAGGAGAAGCAGCTTACATGTTTCAGCAGGAGCGGCGGAGAAGGATGCGCCGGCATCGCTCACTCGGCCATCTTGGTTGTAAGTAGTCCTTCCATTCTGTACGGTTGTTTAAATTTGGTATCCATATGTATGCAAGTTGGGTTGTAACAATTGACTGATCATTTAACCTATAATGAAAAGCAAACTATTCACAATTTGGCTGTTTAATGTAACTGATTTATGAAAAGAAAGGACAAAGCACTTCAACTAGTGATGAAGATCTATGCAACTATTACTGAGGGACTTGTGAAGTTATTATGGAGAGTACTCATTGTGATGCTTCACAAAGCATCATTATCTAAATTTATCTTTATTAAAAAGAAAAATGCTTTTGAAACAAATAATATGAGAGCTACATTTTCACAAATGGATAAATCATATTGTGCTTGTGATGTTGTGGCAGTTCACTTCCATAGTTGGAGGGAAATGGGTATGTACTTGGTGCGTAAAGTTTGGGCTTCTAAGATAAGACTGCCTTTAAACGCCTTTTTTATGAAAGGGAAAACCAGATCATGTAATCAAGTATTGATGAGCTGTGAGAAACGCTAAAAGTTGTTAACTATTTGATTTAATTAATTTGATTTCATACAATACAAGGAAAGCTTTCATCAGCCATACAGTACTGTGAAAGCTACTTTCTTTGACTCAATTAATATGATATCACAAATATGGGTAGGGATACACTTATATAACTCAATCTCAGAGTCTACGTTTAGGTCAGTCAGGAATCCCATGATTTTTACAAGCCGATCACCTGTCTGATTATCAAGATATTTATGATTGGAAATCAAAATTTCATATCTCATTTTCCTGACAGTTTTTATAACACTACAGTCTATTGGGAATTGAGTATGGTAAAATCTGTCACTCAAAGATTTTTACTTTTTTGAGGCACTAAACTTGATCATTTGAAGCTCAATCTTTTTAGGACTTCAATATTACACCATATGACAGACACTGATAACACAAAGGGCCATGCATCACAGATTTAACATTGTTAAATGATACCTTTAACATTTTGTCATATGGCTTATGTTATAGATGGCATAAATTATTCTTATCGTCTTTTAGATTCCGGTGAGCCTCAGTTGATCAGCAAACGATGGATGGATCCTTCTTACGATGGGAATTACCCACCTGCTATGGTCAGCTCAGGTAAGAGAGTTACCACTTTCATCCAGAATATAATGATATGCAAATTTATGCAGAAATGATACTGATTTTCTAACTAAAAAACAAAAACACATTATTAACAGGAAATACCTAACATGAGATTATGCAACTAATTATTTTGTCAATTCTGCTTATGTGCAATTTAATTCCTATGAAAACGTTCATTCGCCATTGATTATAACATAAGAATCATGACATCTAACTTATTTGTTTTTATTGTGACTTACATATATCTTCCTGTGTTACCCAATAACACAAACCTGTTTTCAAACGTTATCAGTTAAGCTCAGTGGTCTCCTGCATGTAAGTGTGCCCTAAATTATCCCTTTCATAACTTTTCCTTCCGGCAATAGATACAATTACAACCATGTGATTTGTAACCCAGCTTCAGTTTAGCAAGAGCAAATATAATTTAGTCCAAAGCGATTTTGTGTTACATCTCCCAAATACCCACCCTCTCTTTGCAATATCGCTATACATGTGCATTGTCTTTAGTCCTTTTATAAACATGCACATTTATCATTTGATTTTGTATATTGGCTAGAATAGAACTAAATAGTATGACAAATATATGTTGCAACACAATAAAATAAACAAAAAAGAATTGTATCAATTTGACCAGAATTTCGTCCTTTTCCCATAAGCCCCGAGGAGACCGCATATTGTATACGTAGCAGGTATTATGACAGGTTTATATAATCAATATAATCTTTTTCTTTTTCTCTTACTTTATGTAGTTTTGTTTGAATCATTACTGTACTCTTATCTTCTTTACTTTGGTTCTAACTCTAATTTTATGGTCACTTCACACCTTACAGTTCAACTACAAACAGATTTGGGAAAGGAATTACCTAGAGATACATGACATGAAAAAAGCAATTGAAATCCTGAATATTCATATGAATACTACATGTATATATTTTTACACATATATTTGAATATTGTGTATTGTGAGCATTCAATTTTGTAAGAAAATGGCTAAATCGCCTCCAAATCAGGGATATGTTTGATTATGAACCACAGACGTATCCTACATTAGCAACCTCTCAAATCTGGTTTTACAATTTATTTGGAATGTAAGGTGTTCAGTGGCCTTTATATTACACTCTTTTTGTCTTTTTCATGGATCATGTATGAATTTTACTGATGTTCATTTGTGACTTGGGTTTTATTGATTTGAAACTGTTCCACTTTTTCTTCTCAATATATGGTTATATTGGGATTTTATTTATTCTGGTTGTGGAACTTGCATGTGACTCTCATAAAAACACTGTACACTCTTTTATTAAAAATAATTTATTATTGTATTTACTATTTTCTGTGATAGGACATTCAGAAGTATTATTCTTTTTTTTTAGTATTTTTGATAGCTTATATTTATTTTTTTTATATTCAGTTTTGACATGATTTCACTACATGTTTTATTAATGTTGTAGTTATTCTACAGGTCATGATACATGTACAAGTTATAGATTAGTGCATGGGTGCATCCAAATGTATATTTGGACATGTCTCTATATAACCACCAACATGTCGCAGATGGACGCACGACCAGCGGATTTACATACAGAGTTATAGAAGTTTGCATCGTAAAGTTTGACGATCCTGTGATGACATCAGACTCACATACATTTAGAAAATCCTTCTGCTGGGCTTACAATGTAGATTAGTTCATTTTAACACTGAATAGATTACAATCAAAGCTGTAATTATTGTTAACTAAAGAAACCCCTTACATTCTATACTGGTGACTTGTACTGTCTCCTTTATGAAAAAATGTATGTTTTAGAACCTGTGTAGAAAGAGGAGTGTCTGTACTACAGTGGCCATATTTTGTAGTTTACTGCAGTTGACCTGTTAATAAAGATGTTACTGTAATGGTACATACAGTACATGTAAATGAATTTTATAACTTATAATGAAACCAACAAATGCATTTGTTCTGTAAAATTCAACTTGCATCAATTACAATAGTTTCAGCTGTACATTATATCCCTAACTAGCGTTATTGTTAAGCGTTATTATCCCCCATATTTTTGCACTTATATACAATACTTCAAAATGCATGGTGTGATAAAAAGATAGATACAATGCTTATTTCTAACATAACCCTTCTAAAACAAAATACCAGCAAGACTTTTTCACCCCAGCATCCCTCCCAATTTTTGCTTTGCTTCCTCCTCTAACAATGCATGAACAGTTGATGATTACGAGATGCTGAGACAGCGGAGTAGGGGGTCAGTGGATGGTTCGATGATGGGAGACGATAGGGGGACGTTCCCACGGAGGATGCGGCAGCGGCATCGGAGCCAGCCGGACCTCCGCAGGTTCATCGACGAAAATGACGATGACGATTCGGACATATTCCCCATACCACGGAGAATGGATAGAAGATTTGGTAAAAGACGAATTAATATTTTTCCACATCTTCCTCTTTAATAGTGCCAGCATGTATCATAGAATGTTCAATGATCGTTAATATATTTGAACCGTTAACATGTATTTGGTCATATACAGTGATATAAGAGTAGGATTTCTTTAGAAGTAGATATATATATATATATATATATATATATATATATATGTCTGTATTATAATTATAAGCATATAATGATCATTCTCTGCATGTACTGTATCAATGTTTGAGTCAAACTTCCTTCTCTACATTTACAATCTCAAGGGACCCTTATAACATCAATAATAAAACTGGATTTATGTAGCGCATAAAACAAAGTATCACCTTTAAGAGCTTTACAGATATTAGTATTTCATCACTCATAAGATTCATTCATGTACAATGTGTGCACCATCTCCACTCCCTAGGAAGTACTCCTACCGTATAGTCACTATGTTGGCATATGGCAATTGCTTTACACAAAATATCTACAGGATCAACTTTTTATGTCATCAACATTCAGTATTACAGAGTATACTCTATTAAAGACACAATTATCGCAATATTCATAATGTTATCATAGTTTCACAAAGTAATGAAAAACTAATCCTTCAAAAATATATAACTACATTAAAAGACAATGTAGTATAATGTTCAAGAGGATTTAAGAGGAAAGTAAGTATGATAAATCAAAGATGTAATATCCACAGGGACTTAATTCAGTAGCCAATAAATGTTAATCTTTTCTTATTTCAACAATTCGTTTAGTGTCAGAGCGAACTCGCCATGCCATTTATCTACCTGAGAGTGATATAGGTAACCTCATAAATCATCAATATCTTTTCCTAAATCATGAAATCATCAACATTTTATATTCCTGAATCACTTGTATCTATCCCTACACCATACCCATCATACCCTTGATTATGTTCATGTTGACATTCCCTTTTTGGCTGTCTGTTTCACATTGGTCTCTTTTCTAAAAGGTTTGGTGTATTTATCAACTGACACTATTGTACATTTAGGCTGTAAATATTCAGACTTGCATTCGAACCTGTATGTCACCTGCATTCAGACATGTATTTGAACCTGCATTCAAATCTGCATTCATATCTGTATTCACATTTGCATTCAGAATTGTATTCAAACCTTGGTTTACATCTCCTTTCAAACATGCATTTAAAACATGCATTCAAACTTGCATTCACATCTTCATTGAAGACATGCAATAAAACCTGTATTCACTTCTGCATTCAGACTTACATTAACACTTGCATTCAGATCTGCATTTAAGAGTGACATTTTAGTCGAGACTTCTTTTCAAGGCCAAGGATAGGGCATATATTTATATATATATATATATATATCTAAAAGTATGAATATAATGATGTACATGTACATGAATAGGAAACAAAAGAAATTTCAGTCTGAACTACATTAATAAAGTCATCCTCCAACCCTTGTCACAACTAGAAGCATTCAAGTTTGGTTTATATTTCATGCACAGTGCAACTTATATGAAGTTTGAAGTTTATTATAAAAAAAAAAAAGTACATCAATTTAACAATCAAATGTGAATGTTAAACATTGAAAGGATAAATAGTAGTATGTTGACAATGATACATGGATATTTCTGCTAATTTCTTCTAGACTGCATCTTTTTTATGCATGAAATTTTTTTATGGCATGTTCTTGGAAATGCTCTATGATTTCATTTCCAGTCAGAGAGCATGCTTAGATTTTGTGTTGTTCATTTTTCTTTGAATTTCTTTCTCCCCCCCCCCCCCATTTCCCTTCAAACATGTACATGTCTTAAAATGAACTGTTTACCACTTTTGTTTGGGTTCTGTCGATGCAGATTAAATGATCAGAATATTGTCTCATAATCTGTCAATATTTACTTCTGAAGAGATATTAAACAAACAAATTTGTATACTATGATTACAATTTACTTGTGGGTTCATTCATTGATGCACTTTGAAGGGTAATGATGATACATGTAAGTCCTACTTGATTCTTAAATGTTTTATTTTTATTCTCTTCATGTACAGTACATGTATTTGGACCACAGTGTTTGAAAACAATATACAATTATTAAATACAGTATAAGCTCACATGTGTCATTTCCAATAGATAAGAACAATTTCAAGAGAAAGCATTTCTTCAATAGAATTGCGATAGGAAGATGTAATGTTATTTGTGACACTTAACTGTACATTTATGAGATGGAATACTAAGTTATTTAATTAGCTTGGGAATCATCTACTTTATACTTTCATTTATCACTGACTCTATCTTTATACATGTACATGTTGTGCATAGTGTATGCTCTATGGCATGGTATTCTTCTTGACACTTCTTGCTTACTGTAATCTCATATCCCACCTTTCTATATTCAAATGCTACATAACTGTAAGGTGTATACATCAGTGATTATTCCTCATGTACAAGACCTTGTGCCCATTTGACTTGATTTAATACAAACCTTGTCATGTAGCAGGTTATCAAAGTACATTGTAGTCTATACATGTACATGCAGACTCCAAAGTGTATAAAGTTGTTTGATATAATTTTGTAAGTACATTCGCATGTATTTCTTATATCTTTTCCAATTGGCCTATATGCACTTAACTTTTGATTGATTATAACATGTACAGTATAAATGAAATCTGTCTGTGCAATTTTATTTTAAAATACTTAAATGTAGTAACCATTCTAAAGTGTAGGTCATGTGTCCCTCTTTGAGTTGAAACTTGTTTTAAATTTGTTGTTTTACACTGATTAATAGTAAAGAACACTTCATGTGTGTAATCGTTTTTAGACTCTAACTGAAATACGATAGATACATGTGACACTTCAATGTTAATTCAAATACATGAGCACTTGTCTAATTTAATTCTAGATTTCTTTCTTGGACTATATTAACAGATAGTCTGCTTGAAATATCCCCCCCCCCCTCCCCCGCTAACAAATTGCATGACATTTTGCCTACTTACACCCTGCATTTCCCCTCCCTCAATCTCTAACCTCACCCAGAAGATTTTGATGATGACGACGATCTGGTGCCGGATGAGCGCTTGTTTTATCCTCGCAACAGATCCTCTTCTCACCAACAGCGCCCTCTAGGGGAACAGTTCAACACCTTTCACTCTCTCCCCTCCGGCCGTAGACGATCCCAGCTCTCTCAGGAGACTTTTTTATCTAATGCGGGGGGCTTTGAGCACAGGGAAATGGGTTCATTCGTGAGGAACCCATTGGCAGGTTAGTTGTGTTCGTTTTCTTATACAAATGGTTTTGAGTATAAGTTTAGTAAATAAGAGTGATGGGAACCGTTACCCGATACAGTATATATAAGTGATTTTAGTTATCTTACGCAATAGGTTTTAAGTAAAGAGGGAAATGGGTTCATTCGTGAGGAACCCATTGGCAGGTTAGTTGTATTTGTTTTCTTATATGAAGGGTTTTGAGTATAAGTATAGTAAATAGGAGTAAGTAAGGGGAACCGTTACCTGATACAGTACATTTAAGTGATTTCAGTTATCTTGTGCAATAGGTTTAAATATATAGAGGGAAATGGATTTATTAATGAGGAACCCATTAGTAGGCTTGTTGTATTTACTTTCTTATATAAAGGGTTTTTAGTAATGGTATAAGGTTTGAAAGTAAGGGTAACCGTTACCTGATACAGTACATATAAGTGATTTTAGTTATCATAAATGTATGTAATAGGTTTTAAGTATAGAAGGAAATGGGTTTATTCATGAGGAACCCATTGGTAGGTTAGTTGTATTTGTTTTCTTATACGTAGGGTTTTTAGTACTGGTATAAGGTTAGTAAGGGAAACCAAATGATACAGTACATACATGTACATGTATAAAGGGATGTTAGTTCTCTTAAAATGCAAACATGGTTTATTATAGAGGGATCCCATTGGCAGGTTTGTGGTACTTGTTTTTTGTACAAGGGGTTTTTAAGTACTGGTACAAGTTTAAGTAAAAGAAATGTTAGCTGGTAAGTTAGATTACATAGATGGATCTTATGCATAAGATTTTTTTAAAGACAATGGTTTCAATTGTCAGGAATCCATTGGCAGATTAATGATTTTAAGTTTCTTATACTTGTACAAGGAGTTTTTAGTATGGGTGTAGGGTTGATCCACTTATATTTAACTAAGAGGAACCTTTTAGTGATCTCTTTATCTTATGCATCAAGTTTTTCTAGGGGAAGGAAATGGGTTATATAAAGAAAGAAGGTTTCATTTTATCAGAAAAGTTTTTGAAGTGTAATGGTACAGTCTTTATTTTCTTATATGCACATTATATTAACCTTGAAGGCAAGGGCACGGATATATGTACATAATCAGATTTTAAAATGTAGATTGAAGCATTTTGATGTGCCGAATTTGCTTCATTTGGAGAATTTTTGTGAAATTATTAATATAGCAATGATTATTTTGTCTGATTGAATACTTTTTAATAAACTTATTGAATATTGAGATGTTTTAGAATTGAAAAGTTAGTTCATCATTATCCTGTTTTACCAAAGTGGAATATATTGTTTTAAAACTGAAGTATATGTCAGTTATATATAATTGCATTGACTTATACAATTGACTTGGTTGTTTCTTTCATTTTGCTTGTCAACTGAGTTACACAGTATGTATTACACTAATTGCATGCCGCATTGCATTTCCCCTACCACATTCCAAGATATATTCTTATGTTGCATTTCAAATTACATGTATAATTATAATTCATTTTCAAAAAGTGTGTATCATGAAGTTTGCATTCATCATATATAAGTTTCAAATATCACTCATTTATTTATGCAGTGACAGTAGTGAATATGAATTCACCTATTTTTTTCTTTGCCTTTATTGGGAAAGTTTAGCACTTGTTCATCATTTTTCATATCCAGTGTGACATGTGATATATGCAGTATTGTATAAGAATGGCACTTCTTGTGTAGCACTTTGAATATATCTGTGTATTCATGGCTTTATTGTAATTTGCACTGGCTTATATTACAGATATTGACTAGTAGGGTGTGTAATGTAACAATTTTGGACCGATGAAGGGGGTTATATTTCCTCCTGTAATAATGATCACAAGGAAAAATATAACTCCCTTGCGGTCCATTAAAAGTATATTACACCCCATCCAGTTATTTATATCAGATAGCCTTGATTAGAACTTGTTATAAAGTTCAGGGAAATCGTGATCTCATGCCTTTTTTTTTCTTGAGCAGCAATGATAGCGCGTTAAATGTATAAGGCTAACACATTGCAAACAATGGGTACACGCTTGTGCGCGTAGGGTTACTTGGATATGGGAAGACGAAAAAATATATATTCATTTGACTGGTTAGTCAATTCAACCATCGAAAATTACATGGCCTGAAATATGCTAATTAAGATCCCCACAATGGATATCACATGATGAGCTCTGGACCAATCATGCCTTTGTATCTGTAAGAGCTACTTAATATTTTGATATATTGCATATTCTTACTACATGAGGAATTTTGTTTTTGTAATTCAATCTAGAATTGCAGTGTAATAGTTGTAAATAATAATAACGATAATAATGGGTTCTTGTATAGCGCTCTTGTCAGTCAGATTTGGCGCTTCTGATTATTACCCTAGGTTTAGCATGGCTGCTATACGGCGCTTTAGCATTTCAAGGAATAAATTCCTACCAGGTACCCATTTACTTCACCTGGGTGGAGTGTGGCAAATGTACATGTAGATCAATGTCTTGCCAAAGGACATTAGTGCACATACTGTACATGTAGCTATCTCATTGCTATTTGATTATTACTACCTCTTTTTTTGTAACCTGCACATGACTCTTTATCATCCTCCTAGTTGTTGCTGACCTCGTGTCAGACGAAGAAGGCGCGGCCGCGTCCATTCGCAGCAGCCAATCCCGGTCAAGATCCGTGCCAAGGTCCTCCAGGTCAACCCAACAAAATGGCCACCGCACTCCACACAACGAGAGTGTCAACAACAACAATAACTCACGAAACAACGGGAAGTTTTCCCCGCCCATGTCCACGTCCGGTGGCGGCTTCGCCTACTCCACTCCGCTGACCAACCGGAGGGAGTCAGACGAGATAGGGAGCTTGGATGCTTACCAGGATGGCAGGCAGCGCTCCCACTCAAGAAATCGGCAGCATCATCACCAAGACAATAACTGGTCCTTTCCAGATGTGCAGGTAAATTAAGAACCTTTTGTAAGGTGGGGAGGGAAGGGGCAAAAGGGGATCTGCTAGGGGGGGGGGGGATGTCCTTTGGCAAGACATTGATCTACATTTGCCACTCTCCACGCAGGTGTCGAATGGGTACCTGGTAGGAGGCCAATATTTATACCGGTATTTCATTTTTTCTCAAAAGCAGAAGTGTTTTAGGAGCTAAATGTTCTAGTGCTTATAGTGCATCCACAGGGGCATCCAAATTATCAAAATTGTAACAAATCACTATCCACCTATTTTCAAAATTTCCAAAAACATGTTTCCATGTTTTGTATCATATTTCTGTTCTTTGTAAACTTTGAGCCTTTATTTTACAGTGGGCAAGCCAAATATTCATGTTGAATGTTTCAAGTGCAATCATAATCACTTCCTGAGTATTCATGAAGTATTATATTCCTATCTTTATTATTTTTATCTATTTATTTATTTGAGATCTGCTGCATTGGGGGGGGGGGGGGGGGGGGGGCTTAGTATTCATCCATACAGGGAAATGCATTTTTGTTGCATTTTGATCAATCTTCACGTTCATGTACAATTTGACATGGGATCTACCTTTCTTTGTGTTTCAGACAATACCGAATTCCAGTCCTGGTGAACACAACCACTCAAACCGCAGTTCCGTAAGCCACGCCTCTAGCCCGCCCCTCTCGGAGAAGAGCATCCAGGAGCGTATGGATGAGCTGATAAGAAGCACCCATGAGAGTCAGCCACGCCCTGTCCCGCCCCCTGTCATGCCCCACCCCCAGGAAGAAGAACACAATGGATCGCTGGAGTCTACCATGATCAATGGCGATGATGAAGAAGAAGGTTTGTGGATAGAGGGATAGATTGATGGATAGAAAGAAGAATTTTAAGATAGTGGAACATATAAGTGTAAAATTGAAGTAGGCTCTTTAAATTAGATTCAGTCAGTCTACAATGTTCAGTGAGGAGGATGCTACCACTGAAACAGAATTGTGGTATGACGGATGGATGGAAGGAAAGAAAGATAAGTCTTCCGGGAATAATGGTATGAGATGACACCAATTATTACGGTCCTACAGAAACTAAGATCAGATGGAGAGATGATGTAGGATGGAAAACTAATTTAAAAGAGAAAAGTAAAAGGGGTAGCCAAATAAATATGTTTTTACTATAATCAATAGCGATGAGAAGGGTTTGTGGATAGAGGGGTACAGATAGAGAGGTAATGGAATATTGATTTATAGAAAAGAAAAGAAGGAACTGAATTTCATTGAATATGATATATGTATTCTGCATACACAATTTTATTATTTACATGTACATGTATTTTTTTCAATCCCAATATTTACAAACCTTTGTCTCCGTGAATCAATTTCCAGTGATTCATATGTGTCATATACTAAGGCTTTATTTGACTAACAATAGTTAAATCAACAGTACGTGTACCCAAAGAGACCTGCATCGTGTACTTGTTTTACTAACATGTTTGCCATAATCAGCCTGAAGCTTACTATACTCTGCATGACTAAACATCAAAATGATTTCATAAGTGGCTATTAAACGAACATGTAACTCATGGACTGTGATATCACAAAGAAAATCTAGCTTTCATGTCAGATTTTTAGTAGGAATATATTTGTTTAAATCCCAGTACCGTATCTGATTATCTGAATGCATTGATTTTTTTTTCATGGAGTTTGAATATTGCAAATCTGAAATATCCTCATAAGTTGTTATAAGTAGCTCTATGATTGGATAATTTAAAGATTCATACATGTATGTCTAAAGTGACAATATTAAACATAATGTAGTATGTCGATTTATGCGTACAAAAAATGTTCAGATTAAAAAAAAAAAAAATCAAAATTCTTTTTCAACTTACGAAACTTTATCTGTTTAACCTGTCCAATACAAAGCCAAAGAGAAGTCTTGAGTTAATCCATTGGCTGTGTACATTTACGTCAAATGAGAATCAAACTATCCCTGCTGATTTAGTGATACATTTTCAAACCATTGAACCCTCAAGTTATCATAGCCTGAAACGAATGTTTTTTTGCAACTGATGTCTCATTAAAAAAAAGTTGTTATGCTTTGTTAACTTCCTTCTCTTTTTTCCTCGTGCAGTTGGCTCATCCTCACATGGAAGCATGGAAGGCCAATACCCCATCTCCATGGTACCTCCGCCCCCACCCCCACCACCCCCTCCCCCCGTCCCTCCTCCTCCCCCTCCCATACCGGGGGAGATGAATAACAACTGGTCGAGTGAAGCCAAGATGTCCGTCAAGAGGCTCAATTGGGAGAAGCTGCAGGATACAGAGAACACCGTCTGGAGTGGGGTGAGTCAAGGTTTTATATTTCATCTAAAGAACTATGGATAATGTTCGACATTTTTAAGTGGTACAGTCAAACCTGTCTATAGCGACCACCCAGGAGAAATACAAAAAGTGGCCTTTGTAGACAGGTGGTCTTTGTAGACAGGTTACTTTAGTACATGTTTCAATGAGAAACCATTTTCAACGGAAACAAAAAATGTGGTCTTTGTAGACAGGTGGTCACTAAAGCAGGTTGGACTAGCATCATGTACTTTTATTGGTTACTTACAAATGAAAAGGCACTGTTTACTGATAATAATAATGATATTACATATCTTTAATAAAGTGCACATATCCACCATGCAAGGTGCTCCAATAATACCCTGGTTCTGCTACACTACCAATTTTGGTGCTCGCACCCTTGAAGGAATTCCTTACCACTGGATGGAGAGTTGCAAATGTAGATTAATGTCTAGCCAAAGGGCATTCATGCTGCAGCACTGCATAACAACAGTTTAAATGATTAGCTAAATTCTCTGTCTCTTATGCTTTGTCCCTCCCTCTCCATTTTGATCATCTTTCTCTCATCTTGTATGTCTCTGATTGACTCTTCATGTACATGTATATCTGTTGTACTTACACAGCTTGGTGATGAGGTTGGCTACTTTGATGATGTCATCAAGCACCTCGAGCTCGAGGAGAAGTTCAGCACAGTCAGCAAGGGCAAAGGTCAGAGTTCGTTCATATTTTCATTCTTTATGGAACCATAACATTTATTTTCCTTCACAGATTTAAAGTCGTGTTAGGAATCAAAGAATGTTTATGAAAATATGAATGAAGTCTTGTTCATCCAGAATAGCATTAGTTCCTGTATTGTAACAAAGAGTGAACTTCGTTCTGGTATTTAACAGGTAGTACTGTTTGATCTGTAGTGAGTTCTGATTCACAATGCAGAATTCCTTGATAACATTCAAATCCTTTAGGTGCTACAAGTGACTGAGACTTTGTGCATTTTTCTCAAAAAATGAACTGAAGTCATTAAGGGTTCTAATTTTATGATTTCTTGATACATGTTTGTGTACATGTACAGCTGTATCAATTTACTAAAATTACTATCTATTGCATTTGCGATGTTTTACTTAAAGAGAAGTGTATTATGTTTATTTATTTTTTTAATCATAACTCGGTTCTTTCACAGATGGAAAACCTGGAAAAGGAGGTAAGCTAGGTCAGAATATATGATGTGATATACTTGTTGTTGTTAGAGAAATTGCACTTCACAGATGTTGGCATATTTCATTTTTGTTCTAGCAGAATCGCTGTTTTGTCCCGTCACTGTGTTTATGATGCTGATTTCATGTGGCCACTGCAGGAATATGTAGAATTTCATTCATCAATGCATTTCACCTCACTTTGTACTTGTCGTTTCTAAATTGTTTCCTGAAATGTTTTTTGCAGTCTTAAATTCATCACAAATATTTTTGTATGAAGTTGTGTTTTTTTTGTATAGGAGTGGATTTATTTTTATTAAATTTTGCTACAGAAGGCAGTAACATGATGGAGGTTAAAATGAATACTAAGATTTTGACTATCACTTTTTATTTGGGGTGGGGCAGGGGGTTAGGTAAAGGAGATATGACAGTTATAAAGTTGTTTCATATAAGCCAAATTAAGTAGTTTAGTAAAAAAAGAAAAATCAATTCAAAAGACCCATTCATACTTCATGTTTTATCACAGTATACCCCCAACACTTTTAACAGTATGTAGAGCTGGTTTTGTGTTTGATTAGGGGTCTAGGCATTTTTTTAATTGATGTCTTTTATATGTGTGATATACATGCACAGTATAGGTAAGGTACATGTATATGTGTTTATGTGCAATTTGGGTTATTTCAGCTGAAAATTAGTCAGCTCATTCTCATGTAGTTTGCTAAATGTGTCTTTAAATGAGTTCACATAATGATAACAAAGTCCAGGGAACTGAAAATTAGGCAATCAAATTATGATGTCCTCCCAAAGAAGCTGCTGCATAGGTTTGAAAAAGGTCCATATTATCAATCACAAATCATTAAATTTTCATCTTTTACATTTCCATTTCTTCATAATTTCATATCACATGTAAGTTATGTATTTATTACAATGGCAGTCGGTGGATTAATTCACTTTCAATCTTCTCATCAATCTAATAAATTATTTACCTGTTGTACGCTGGATGCCATACATGTACATCTATGCAAAACACAGGCAGGTGCGGCAGTGAATTAACTGTAAGGGATTGTTGACATTTGGAAGTAAAATCAGATTAACAATGCTTACATGTATTTTTTATGGATCTTTTTTTTTTTTGGGGGGGGGGGTATCACATTTGTGTAATTATTTCTTTAGCTTCAAAAGTGCAACAAGATCAATGTACAATATGTTTCTCCAAAAAATAGAGCTGTGGCTTTATGTTTGCATTTAGCTACAATTAGGCGCCAAGTCTCAGATTAACATGTAACTATTATGCTCTCATAACCAAAAAAAAGGACAACTTTCAGCTTAAATATAAAATATGTATTTATATCACTGCATGTTTTGTCATTAGAATATCCTTTATTTGATATTAGGACCTTTGGAAAATCTTATGAAAGTGACTTTACTTTAAATATAATACATGGGAAAGAGGATCAAAATCTTACTTCCACGAACATACCGAGTGGCTCTATATTTTTGTTTATAATCTACAACTTAATACTTGCCTCTCACAATTTTCATGAATTTACTCTTTAATGTGATAAACTTACTCATGCATGTTTAATTATTTGATATACAAGTAGAAATAAGGTCACCAAGATTTAGCTAGATCACTAAAATAAAAACCAATTTCCACCTGTCCAAAAACTGTTGTCAAAAAACTAAAAGCCGAAAATTAGGGGGAAAATGCTCCTGCTATCATTGTAATGCACTGTCATCTTTAATTTCTTTGTGAGTAATTTAATTAGGCAACAACAAATATTTTTTATTGTTGTTGTTGGCGTTGAGCTTATGATGTTGCCTTACATATAAGAAGAGAAAAGTCTTGTCACTCTCTTGGGCTAATGATCTAACTTTGTTTTTGTTTTTTTATTTCCATACAGGCTTGTCCACCCCAAGAGACAGGAAGAACCAGATATTTGTAATCAACCACAAGAAAGCACACAACACAGGTAAAATTAAAGCCTATGTATAGTTCTAATTGAGCCCCCCCCCCCCCCCGAAAAAAATATAAAAAAAGTTAGTTGTAATCTTTTTTTTCTTATGAGAACGCAAGATGCTTATTAAATTTAGATTTTACATGTTTTTACAAATTCAGACAAACTAAGCCACACAGATTTTATATGTTACAAATTCAGACAAACTTAGCTATTCATGTACAGTATTATGAAATACACTTAAGGGTCTTCATGAAATAAATTGTGTATACCGGTAGTTTTTTGGTGTTGTTGCTGTTGCTCATCAGTGAGGTTTGTCGTGCATTAGTTTAGTTGCTAAAAATGTGTGTAGCTTTATCTCAAAAATGAAAAATAAAAAAACTTTTTTTGCTGGTTTATACAGACTTTTAAAGAAAAGAAAAGTATGCCCCTTTTTTCGACCAATATCTTGAATCCACCTCTGACTTTGAGTCTATGTAACATATATGAGTAGGGTACATGGATTATGTACATGTACATGTATTATTACTATCTGTTTTCTCTTTCTTTTGTATAGCCATCTTGCTTGGTCACCTACGGACACCTGTGGAGGAGCTAAAGAAAGATATTCTTACCATGGAATGTAGACGACTCTCTGTAGCTCACATCCAACAGCTTGCTCAGTATGCCCCTGACACTGATGAGGTAAGTGTTTATCTAAATTCTGTTGTAAAAATAGTCTAATATTGCCTTAAGGTCACCAAGCGATTGGGTAACTTTGTCTCTGAAACAAAATCCTGGATTTAGCTCATGCCGCAATGATAATTATAAACCTTTAGGTCAGTCAGGAACCCCATGATTTTTACAAGCCGATCGCTTGTCTGATTATCAAGATATTTATGATTGGAAATTGAAAACAAATTATGCGTTTTCCTAACAGTTTTCATAACACTACAGTCTATCAGGGAAATTAAGTATGGTAAAACCTGTCACTCAAAGATTTTTACTTTTTTTGAGGCACTTCCTGATCATTTTGAAGCGCAATTTTTTTTTTTAGGGCTTCAATATTACACCATCTCACAGACACTGATGACACGTAGGGCCATCTATCTCAGATTTAACATTGTTAAACGATACCTTTAATAAAGAACTTGTCAAGAAAGGCTACTTTCCTTGATTTCAATCCCTTTGGTAGCTTCCAACATCCTTGTTCACAAAAATTTCAAAAATCTATCTAAATTGCATTTGCATTTTCATTTTCAGGTTGACAGCTTAGCACGTTATGCTGGCCAGACATCGCAGCTCAGTGAACCGGACAAATTTGCTTTTGAGGTAAGACCAATTCCAGTTCTAAAGTTACATGTTATCCAGTCTCTAGTCTGATGAAATATTGTTACATGTCTATGTATGAAGTGGTGTCTGTTCACATTTAAAAAATGTCCTAATGTCTGACAATCTAATTCATTAAGATTATGATTTATTACAATACACAGTCAAACCTGCTTTAGTGACCACCTGTATAGAATGCACCTAGCTGTCTACAAAGACCACATTTTTTGTTTCCCCTGAAAATGGTTTCTCACTGAAACATGTACTAATATAAAGGAACCTGTACATAAAGACCACCTGCCTATAAAGACCACTTTTCTTATTTCTCTTGTAGACAGGTTTCACTGTATAAAGAAATTACACATGAGATGTTTCTGTCTCTTTGACCATCGCAGTTGTCTATACATTTCATTTTAAGAAGTAAATGACTGTATTTTTTAGAATAAGTTACTTTGCATAAAACTTCACTCTGTATTTGATAAATTTGATACTTTAAAATTTATCTTTAGATTGTTTTGCTTAAAATAAAAATACATCTACATAGTACATTACAATACAATAAAGTAATTTCTATAGCGCTCTTACAAACTGACTTTTGTTTCACAGCGCTTTACATACAAATTATCAAAGAAGTTGTTGATCATGGTCAAAGAGGAGAGTTTTGAGACATTTTCGGAAGACATCCAGCGAAGGTGATAAAACGAATTACATATTGATTAAGGGCTCCACAGTTATCATTCTTTCTATTTTCTCTCATTTTCTCTGCAGATAAGTCGAGTGCCAGGCTTCAAGCTTCGTCTCAGAGCGCTGATGTTGAAAGCTGGATTTCATGAGAAGGTGGATGAGTTGGTGGGTTATCTAAACATGATACAGCAAGCCTCCTCGGAGCTCAGGCAAAGCCAGAAACTAGCCAAAGCTCTTGAAGTAAGTTGTATGTAATGATGAACAATTATGGTTAATGAGGGCATGAACCCTCTGTTACATATTGTCCATAGATCACATGTTTTTCATGTTTTAGTTACAGTACATTGAACCATTCTTCTCAATGACATCATGTACAGTAAGTATGCTCAGTATGCACTGAAATGGATAAATCGCTTCTTTCAAATGATTTTGAAAATGAGGACCCACATATACATACATATGTATTTATATTGAAGAATACAACAACAAAAACATTTAGCAGTATATGTATTTTGATCAATATCATAGTTCTTTTACCAATGTTTATACCAGGTTTACATGCTGAGTGTGTTTTTTAGTTATTCATATTATATTTGAAAAAATTATTTTAGCATTTGCAAATTATACATGTAATTTGAAAAGATGTATACGAAAATACAGTACTGTGCCATTCATAACATTGTTTATAAGTGACACCAGTTAGTAGCAAGATAATAAAATTTGTGTTATTGTTCTTTTCAGCTTGTTCTTGCCATGGGCAACTACATGAACCAGGGCAATCAGAGGGTTGCCGGGGCAACAGGATTCAAGATCAGCTTCCTAAATGAGGTAAGGAGTGATCGTCAAGATTGTTCTCTCTCTTTCAAATGTACCATGCATTCTCCAGAGGGTTGTTTGACACTTACTTAGGGGGAAGGTTTCAATAATTTTGGTTAACCCTATGTTAACTGGGGTCAATTTGACCCCCCCCCCCTTCCCCCCGTAGTATTTAGGTGACTACTCCGGAACCGCGGGAGATATAAAGTTTTCCTTTTGTGACTTGTTGTTTTCGAGTCTTGCACATCTTTTAAACCATTTTTTTTGAAAATCAGACGTATAGTTACAAAGTCACATGACCTTTTGTCTTTGCATGTCAGCCCGAAAACCGCTCATTTTTGTGATTTGTGTACAAAACATATGGAAATATCATTTTTCCTAAAAAGAGATAAAACATTGGTTATTTGGTCTTGTTTAAAGTTTAGGTGTTTGTTTTGGGGTCAAAGTAGTTGAAAAGTAGTTACAAATGAAACAAAACAGTTAAAAAAGTTTTAAAAAACAATGAAATACATAAGAAATTATCAAAACAAGAGATAACATAAGGAATAACCTGGCTTTTCCATTTTTTGTTGTCGTATTATTATTTCAAATGGTCTAACGTATATATGTAGTGAAAAAGAATGCTTAGATATGAATAATATATGGTTTATGGGTAAAGATGTGAATTTTATGACCTTATTTGCATGAATTACCATAAATATGCAAATGAGTGAATTTCCCCAAAAATTGAAATTACTTTCGTATTCTGTACACTTCACTTGACATGCATGCCAATTTTCACGGCGATCGACTGTGAAATGACCAAGATCTTAGGGGGGTCAAATTGACCGCGCCCCCCCCCCCCCCAGTAAAAAGCTGGTCTGTTAGCCAAGTTAAAATAGGGATAAGGGTCAGGGTTAGGGTTACGTTTGGCTTAGGGCTATTGTTAAGGTTGATATTAATTGTGTGGTGGGGTGTTCTTCAATTGTTTCCCAACATGTATAACCAAAGAATTCATTTATCCTCTTGTTCTTTTTGCAATTTAGTTGGACACAACAAAAACGTCAGACAACAAAGCCACTTTCCTCCATGTAGTGGCCAAGGCCGTCCACTCCAACGTTCCTGAAGTGATCAACTTCCGAGATGAGATTCCATCGGTGCCGAAGGCCGTTAAGATGTCTCTCAAGGCAGTCAAGGATGAGCTTACTCAGCTTACGGACCAACTCAATGTAAGATGAATTAAAATATGCTGCTGATTGTAATGGTGGTGGTGATGGTGATGGTGATAGTGATGATGATGATGATGATGATGATGGGGGTAGTGGTAATGATGATGATGATAGTGATGAGGGTGAGGGTGATGATGATGGTTATGACGATGATGGTAAGATGGGCTAATATCTTACCCAGTGACATTAATGCTATGTAGCAATATGATTTCACAGGGCAGTAGAAAATTGGCAAGGACAATGGCTTTCTGTAATAATGGTGATCCTTACAGGTTCCAATTCTCTTATAAGGTGAACAGTGGCATATGCAGATAGATTTCAAAACATCTCTGAGCCGTTTTGCATACATAGTCTTCTTATACTGGTTTGGAGATGTACATGTGTCATTACGACAGATGAAACTGGTTGATAGATCATGGGAGTGTTTCACAAAGACTTAACTATGGCAGGCAATTCAGGCCACTGCTTGGTCTCTCAAGGGACGTACAAATTATGGTCACAAATCTACAGAATTTATATTTGTTGATAATTCATTGAAGGAAAAAATATCTAAAGATCATAATGGTAAAAGCAACCAGTGGCATGAATGGCCTGTCATAGTGAAGTACAACTTAAAGTGGATCTTAGGCTTTCTGCAACACCCCTCACCCCCCCCCCCCCTGTATATTCTGACACATTTTCACACTCGTCTCCATTTGGTCATTCAGGACATGGATCGTGAGGTGGAGCGGTTCAACCAGGAGGAGATCATCATTGATGAGGACGATCGTTTCTCCGAGGTCATGGCCGTCTTCCTCAAGGAGGCTTCGGAGCACCTCTCCAGGATCCATGAGCAATACGCTCTTTGCTGTGATGACTTCTACAAGACGGCACAGTTCTTTGGAGAGGACCCCCGCAGCATGGAGAGCGCAACCTTCTTCAGCATTTTCTCCCTCTTCATCACTAAGTTTGCTGTAAGTTCATTTCATTTCATTTATTGACCATTAAAAGACAACAAAATATACAAACATCAATACAATACATGTAGAAGAAGAATATTAAATAACAACAACATAAAAAGTAATAATGGCCAGGGCCCCTGAGAATCAGGACCCTCCATATAAGTACATTATAATAGAAATATAAATTCAATGCACACACACATAACCACGCACACACATACACTCATACACACCCGACAGGATAGAGCAAAGGTATAAGAGGAAGGAAAAAATACATTATAACACGATTATTTCAAGATTTGAAGTTAAGTCATCAAACGTTGTCTCTTTCTGAATCATTCTAGATTTGATTGATTGATTATATTTATAAACAGATATATAAATAATTTCTTTACTCTTATAAAACTCATACAGAAACATACATTTCTAATTTACGGAAAAGAATACATGTGGCTACTGAATTGGACCCGAAAAATTGCATACAGTGTATGTACTTATCCAGAATGCCCCTTCTAACAATATGTTGAATTAGTAAGAAAATGTGCGAGATACAATACCATCGGAAGACAGTGAGTTGCATATTCATTATGTAATGTATAATTAAGTTTCATAATGGTTCTTGATTTTATAATGAGTATTTGTATTGATTTAATTTATTTTATTGATTTAATTGATTTACAGAAAGCTCATGCCGACAACATGCAGAGGCCGTCATGACAACGAAACATATCTGCCTTCAGCAAGTTACATGTACAGGTACCAACATCAACATGATCAATGGAATTACAGGCTGCAGAGTAACTACATGTATTTAAATCCAGTATTCCAGTTCACAGATACATACCACATTGGGGAGAGTTCTTCCCAAGTTGGTATTTGTGTTGAAGTTTTGCATTCATGTGTTACAAATTATTGTATTTTAGTAGCCAGCATTCATTGTTGCTATGTCAGAATTCATGTGTACAGGTGCAGACATTAATTGTGCCATGTCAGACAGGCCCCATGCAAGCTGAAGCACATCAACAAAAACCATCGTGTAGAGGTGTCCCGCCCCCCCCCCCCCCACTAAGTGTTAATTAGGGTACGCATATGCATGTCCCCCCCCCCCCATAAGTCTGCTGTGTAAAGTCAATACAGGCAGATCTTTTTCTGTGTTACGAGCCGGAGATTTTGGGAGCATGAATGCGGTCCCTCCATTCCCGGATTGGGGGGGGGGGGGGCGGGGGAGAGGTGTGCTTGAAATTTGAAATAGCTGGTGTATTCTTAAAAGATAAATCTGTGTGCTTTAATAGGAGAGATACATGGAATGCTCTTCATCACAACAGTTATACAACATGAATCTACTATGTTGATAAAGACTTTATGTACATTATCATTGACAACAATTTATGGATTTGCATTGTAAAGACATGCCAATCAGTTTTTTATTGAGAAGCATACATTTTAAAGGTACTATGTCCCATTTGCAGGCCAAAAAAATGAAAAAGTTAAATTCCAACTGCATTTGAAAGATAATATTAATTTAGAACTTCCCTAAAAAAAGGTGGGGCTTGAAAATGTCTTCAAGTGGGAAAATAACAACTATTAGTTGTCAAATCGACTTTAGGGCTATAGAGCCCAAAAGTAATAGTCTTGATTTTCAGACAATTGTACCGAATGGTCATACGTTTTGTGCTGCGCAAAGATTCAATCAGTTTAATCTTGGCCATCACAAGAAGTGGGTTATTGATGTAGACAAATGCTCATATACCCTTTACAACTCTTTTCATGTATGTTATTACCAGAGAAGAAAAAAAGCCAGTCAGTCACTCAATAGTGTCTGACAGTGAAGTCTAGCAAGTAAACGGGTTTCCTTGCATAATTTGAATATGAGACACTGCTAACGTTTAAATTTCACAGATAGGACATACATGACATATTCATAATTCCTGCAAAGTTCTACAGCATTTGAGGTTGGCTGCAAAAGGGACATAATACCTTTAAGTGTTTGGAAGGCTTTTGAGAAATAATGTTGCCTGTGTGTGTCTTGTTTCTTGAGCAATATTGTATATTGGATTCTGAAGTGGAAATGTGTTTTATATTTGATGGGTGATGCTTAGTTGTGCGTTTAATGTACATTCAAATGCATCTATAAACAATGATTACACTTACGGTTGTACAGTTACACATATAGATATGCTGGACTTGCTTGCATGTGAAAATTAAGTTTTTGTGTTTTATTTGTTGTGAAAGGTGATTGATTGTTCTTTTCATGTTATTTTCGGGTTGGACTACAAGCACCATCTTGAATTTTGGATGGTTTCTTTGTTAATTTAAGTCCATTTAGATGAGATAATAGATGAGGATTAATTTGCTTTTAAAATGCTGCTATCTAAACATTTCATTACCAGAGTGCATCTTGAATTTCATTTGCTTTGAGTTTATATTTATTTACATGTATTTAAAAAAAACAGTAAAATTAAACTCAACTCTGACCTGTATGGAAGCCATTTTTGTAAACATTCCATTTGTAAGTGTGACTATTTTATTTCATATTTCTCGGTAACGAGAATACATAAGAGCCCGCCCGCAACGCTACAATCAATACGTTCGTCGCGCTTACATCGTATGATATACGAAATCTTCGAGCTGCAAAAATCTGTTTATATTTTTGCAATCCTTCGTTTCCGGCAGAGTTTTTTGCCGAAATCCACTCGTAGAAAAGTTTCTGACACTTTTGAAACGGGTTTTGTTCTGAAATGGACAAATCTTGGGACTCTAAAAACAATTTTGAAATCCCATCTTCTGCTCGGTGCCTGCCGGGCACGAGCAAGTCACCATCGGAATCTGCAATCACGGGGACGGGTACTAACCCGCAGGCAGCCGGGACTATAATGCCTACCTTACCCGGTGCTTCTCCCCCGACGAGTAAGGCAAAGCCGAGCTCGGGCATCGCTGTGGGTACTCCCAAATGCAAAATTAGTAGCAAGGCAAAGCCGAGCGAGCAAGAAAATACTAAATCGTCTAAGACGAAAGTCAAATCCTCTGACAATAAATATGTTGGTAAGGCTAAGCCGAACCGCGAGGTTGACAACACGAGCAAGGCTAAGCCGCGCTCGGACTCAAAATCGAAGTCTGTGGATTCACGCATTGATAAGCTGGAAGACATGCTTTCTGTGTTAATGGAGAGAATCCCTGCCCCGGCACAGCCGGCTCTGGCCCCACAGACATTCTCCTCTCCGGTTGATAAAAACACGGAGCCCCTCTCGGTAGGAAGATTGACCTCTGGGGAAGGCCTTTTGGCCGATGATTTTTATGATGGAAGTGAATCGCCAGGTAGCGAACTTCTTTATGATACCGACGATGTCGGAAGCATGGGCAGAGCTGTTGGTAGTGTGCCTACTACTGCCGGCAAGGGACAAGATACAATTCCCATGATCGCCGCAAAATTTGCCATGCCCTCGGGGATTGGTGCCCCCTTACATGACGACATAGCTCAATCTATGACTTATTTGATGAGCAACAAACTGGAAGAAAAATCTCTGGATGAGGCGGCTGAGAAATATCTTTCCCCCGAAAACTGTGAATTGCTTGACACTCCAAGAGTGAACACAATTATTTGGGAAAACTTGCGTTCAGCAACTAGAAATAAAGATCTGAAAATTCAGTACATCCAGAAGTCATTAACCAAAGGCTTGTGTGCTTTCGCACGATCTCTGAACCCGGCTACGATGACCGAGGAGCAGCATGATGCATTGGCGCTGCTGTGTAATGCCAATTACGGCCTAAATTCCATGAGGAAGAATTTGATCAAACCGGATCTCAACCCTCTTTTTCATCATCTGTGCCGGCCAACTTACCCAGTTACCAAACACTTGTTTGGCGAGGATCTGGGGCGCCAGGTTAAAGAACTGCAAGAACAGCAAAAAGCCACGGCAGGTGTTATGAACACGAGAAACCAGCCTCAAGACAGGCATCAACGCTCATATCATCCTTATCGCAAGGTTACAGACTATGCCAAGCACACCATGAAACGAGCTGGCTGGTTCCCCAATCGAGATCAAGGCAATTCGTCATCCCGTATGTATGGGAACTCAGAGCGCCCTTTTTTAGGGCAGCGCCAGAATTCCAACTTCAAGAAAGGGAATTCAAAACAGCAGGCATCACACACCTACACCCCAACAGCAGCCAACAGGGGCAAACAATCGTACCATCGCAAGAAGTAGTCGAGGGAAATTCCCCTTCAGGCTCAAGCACTCAAGAGGTTAGTGTTTGTAATGAAGCCGTGTCTGATATGGTCGGAGGTCGACTGAAGCCATTTTATGAAAATTGGTGCAAAATTACTTCAGATCCATTCTTACTTCAAGCTATTCAAGGCTACAAATTGGAATTTGATCCAGACAAATTCCCCCCCATACAAGACAAGCCCCTCCACACTTACAAGCGAAATGCTATGGAGATGGCTAAGATCCATGAGGAGTTGAATACTCTAGAAAATAAAAACGTCATTGAGCGTTGCTCACACGTCAATGGTGAATTCATTTCACACATTTTCACAAGACCAAAAAGAATGGAGGAGTTAGACTAATTCTGGATTTGTCCAAACTTAATAAATACATTACTTATTACCATTTCAAAATGGACAACATTTTCACTGCTGTCTCCCTCTTGTCTGAGGGAGACTTCATGGCTTCAGTCGACCTTCGCGATGCATACTACACGGTACCCATTCATACAGAATCTAGAAAGTACCTTCGCTTTGTGTGGCAGGGACAATTATGGCAATTTAAAACCCTGCCAAATGGGCTTAGCTCTGCCCCCAGGCTATTTACTAAGCTTCTCAAACCTGTGTTTGCCTGTCTTAGACAATCCAAACACAAAGTTGTTGGATATTTGGATGACACTATAATTATTGGTAAAACCAAGTCTAGAACACTAGAATCCGTGACAGCCACTACAATGTTACTGAGTAGACTGGGATTCATAATTCATCCAATAAAGTCGGTGCTTGAACCGACTCAAGAAATTGAATTTCTTGGATTCAGACTTAATACAATTAGAATGGAAATTACACTGCCTGTTAACAAAGGCAAAGACGTAAGAGAGGCATGCATTGGGTTGCTAGAGAAGAAAGCCCCCTCCATAAGGGAAGTTGCGAAGATAATTGGGAAAATAGTAGCAACATTTCCAGCTTCTCAGTATGGGCCACTGCATTACAGGGCACTAGAGAAAAAGAAAATAGCAGCATTAAGGTGCAATAAAGGGCACTTTGACAGGCCCATGGTACTTTCACCTAAATCTAAAGATGAAATAAACTGGTGGGTTTCTAATGTTACTTCAGTTAAGTGCCCTATGCATCATGGGAAATTCATGATGGAATTGCGCACCGATGCCAGTGGAAAAGGCTGGGGTGCTACAGATCTAAAATCACAAACAGGGGGCAGATGGAACAGCCAAGAATTAGCTAGGGCTCACAATAATGAAATAAATTATCTTGAGACCCTTGCAGCAGGCCTCGGGTTGAAAGCTTACTGTTCTAACATGAGAAATACACATGTTCTGATTAGGCTTGATAATATGACAGCAACTGCGTACCTCAATAATATGGGAGGTATTAGATCACACTCCTGCAATGAAATTGCCAGTCAAATTTGGGAGTGGTGTAAGGATAGAAATATTTGGTTAACGGCTGCTCATCTCCCAGGTACTCTAAACGTCGAAGCAGACCGCATGTCTAGGAAATTTAATGACAACATTGAATGGATGCTCGATAGGGCTATGTTCAAGTCAATAGTGGGTAGATATGGTCTGCCAGAGGTAGATTTGTTTGCAACTAGACTCAACGCTCAGCTACCAAAGTATATTTCGTGGATGCCAGACCCTAATGCTTGGGCAGTGGATGCATTCACCGTAGACTGGGGTACTCTCAATTTTTATGCCTTCCCACCTTTCAACATAATTCCAAGGTGCCTACAGAAGATTAAAGTAGACAATGCACGAGGCTTATTGGTGGTACCAAACTGGCCTACACAAGCCTGGTTCCCCATTCTTGAAGAAATGTTGCTTGAAGAGCCCATGCTTTTGCCATGGAACATTTCACTTCTCACTCAGCCAGTGTCTGGCAGTCCTCACCCTCTCACTAATCTTGATCTCCTTTGTTGCAGGCTTGGCGTGCACACTGTGACCTACATGGATTAACAGAGAGAACTACAGACATTATTGGTGCATCATGGAGAGAATCAACAAAGAAACAATACAACATTTACATCTCCAAGTGGAAAATTTTCTGCGAACAGCACAAACTTCCATGGATGCAGGCTAAAGCTAAGGATATTTTAGAGTTTTTCAGTGACCTTTTTTACAGACATAATGCTAGCTATAGTGCTATCAATACAGCAAGGAGTGCCCTGGCATCAGTCATGAGTTTGGATGATAGCAACTATACGATTGGTTCACATCCTATCATAAGCAAGTACATGAAAGGTGTTTTCCAGCTAAGAACTCCAACCCCACGCTATGCTCAGGTTTGGGACGTCAGTATTGTATTGGATTACCTTCGTCTTCAACCAGCTAATGATAAGCTTCCTTTGTGTAAATTGACTCAAAAATTGAGCATGTTACTTGCGCTTACTTCAGCACAAAGAGTACAAACTCTTTGGAACCTTAATTTGGACAAGATGTGTTTGAAGACGGACTCGGTGGAATTCCACGTTGATAGCCTGCTTAAGCAGAGTAAACCAGGAAATGTTGGTATAATGGTGAAGATATCAGCATTCCCAGAGGATGAACGGCTTTGTGCCGTACATTGCATTGAACAATATATAAAACTGACAAAAGAAATAAGGAAGTCAGAGAGACACCTGTTCATCTCGTTTCGGAAGCCACACAAAAGGGCATCCTCGCAAACAATTTCGAGATGGATCAGAGTTGTGATGAAAATTTCTGGCATCGATACGGACCAGTACAAGTCTCACTCTACAAGGGCAGCATCTACTTCAATAGCCAAGAAGATGCACATCCCAATGGATGTGATTCTCAAGCATGCCGGTTGGGCCAATGAGAAAACTTTTGAAAAATACTACAACAAACCAGTGAATACGGGACATTCTACTTTCACTCAAGCAGTCCTACATCACTGATTCTGATTTCTACCAGGACCAGGTTAGCTATTCCTGATATTTGTTGACAAATTATTGTCGCATATGTGACTACTGAGCTTTGAAGTCTCATGTATTCTCGTTACCGAGAAATATGAAATAAAATAGGAGGATTAAACGAGAACTTACAGTTTGAAGTTTGATCCTTATTTTATGAGTATTAGGAGGTTAGAGAATACATGCCCTACCTCTCCCTCCCTTGCTCAGGATCATTAGTATGTTCTCATCAGTCCTATTTTATTTATTTATTTTATTTGTTCATCAGTAGTCACAGTTGCTTTGAAGATTGATTGTAGCGTTGCGGGCGGGCTCTTATGTATTCTCTAACCTCCTAATACTCATAAAATAAGGATCAAACTTCAAACTGTAAGTTCTCGTTTAATCCTCCTATTAATTTTGATAGTTTTGACCTGTAGTGGAATGATTTTATTAGATTAATTTTTTGTTGAGTCAATTTTTATAGCAGTTTGTATAAACTTAAGATCTAAATGTAAGTGAACTTTAGGAATAGACCATTTTGTTTGGACAGGTTAATTTGAGGTTTAAACTTTATGGCAGATATCTGGTGTGTCTTTAATTTACATAAAATACAACAAATAACATTAATGTAATAGTACAATCCAAAAGAGAGAAATAAACAGAGGAATATCTCAATATCATTAGAAATCATACCAGCACATGTAATGTAATTTAGAATTGTGTATCATTGAAATTGGTTTGATATATTTTTGTTGTTGTTGGAATCTGTTCATTTTGTGTGTTCAACTGTAGCCTTTGATTTTTATAATTTGCATGTATTGATTGTGAGTTAAATTGTACATATGAACATGGAGTTACTAGCCTAGTAACTCCATGATATGAACCAGCAAACATTATTCAACAGTGCCCTGTATATTGCATTCCAATTTGTTATATGTATGTATTTGTTTGTGTTATGATGTGCTGCAATAAAACTGTGAACCTTGAAGTCTGGATTCATTAACAGCTCCATTTTATATGGGAGACGCGAAAAAATAAAATCCATCTGAAAATGTCTGTACAAAAAATGCATGATTATACAGGTTTGTTTAAGATAACAGTTAACATTTTTTTTTTACTTACTTCTCATATACATGTACAATGTAAAGCGCTTAGAAACCTGGTATTAGCTAGCGCCATACAAACATGACTACCGGTATTCATAGTAGTATCATTATTATGTACAACTACACATACTAATGTTTGACTTTAAATATTTCACATTCTTTATATAAAGGTTAACCAAGGTTTTTTTTTCTTCTTCAAAATACCAATTTATATCCAAGAAATAAGAACTCTTTCTAAAGGGATGATTTATTCAATACGTTCAAGTATTAAGTGTACTTTTTCTTCTTGCTTGTATGTACACACAGGCTGCGCTCAGAAATGTGGACAAAATTCTTCTTGATTATTGATAGTCATGTATATGTGTCTTAGTTACATGTTTGGTAATATGGTATCTAGTGTTTTAAAATTTAAATTGGAATGTAAAGAGCAGAAATAGAACATATGTAATATAATAGAAGGAACTCTCAAATGACATTCATTCCAGGTATTCATTTTCTTGGTTTGAAAATTTGGAAATATTGGGGCTGTTTTTTATTTTCCTCAAAGTAGAAATGTATTCAGGCTCCAATTTTGTTGGAACTTCCACATGTGTATGTAATGGAACATTTTTATGTGCCCATTGTAGAATTGAATGTAAAACAAGACTGTAAATATGTGTGCTGCCAATTCATTCTGTTTCATTACTACGATATTCCATGTATGTGAAAATAAGTTTGTTCCTGTATATGACCTAATTTTCGTTTTCCTTTCTCTCCAACTCTGTTAAATCTACCAGAAACTGTAAAACAAAGACATTGTCAGATTTATCATGCATTAGATGTGGAGATCAGTTGTAAACTCTCTTTTATGCGTTGAAATAATGCATGCTTAACGTCATGGTTATCAGGGTAAACATGTTTTATTACTTCTGAATTTCTAGTCCATAGTCCAGCTTTGTACCTTGTTTGCAGTTGTATTTTTTTCCTCAAGACTATTAGACTAAAAGACTACATTTTCGATCATTTCACCAGGCAAACACAATGAACATCAAAGTAATTTTTAAATGCAGAAATAAGAGCAAACAATAATAGAATTCAAGTTATGGGACGCCTGGCAAATTTCTATTCATTAATTCTAATGTTTTTATGGCATAGTGCATTTGCATGGTCAGCATCTAAGGGTTCGCCATCAAAGAGTTTTGCGAGACAAAAAATTTTGACTTAAATTTGCAAATGTTATTATTAAACAGATTTCTTGTTCATGCTTCAACAGGGTTAATAAATAAAATGTTTTTAGAAAAAAAATCAAGGTATTTTAGAAAAATTGATGGAAAGCAAAAATGGACCAATTTTTACATGGAAGTGCAAGATTATGTAAAAGATGAGTACCAGGTAATTAATTTAATGCATAATTCAGTTTTAATATATGTGTGTTTCTTTTTATAATGCAAGGGAAAACTGCATGATCTTCCAGCGCACCAAGTATCGTCATGATTTTTTTCAGGTTATGTTTAACACCTTGATTCAATATTTATTGAAAGCCTTGAAATAGTAAAATTGAAAAAAAAAAAAAATGACTTGCTGCCCTTCATAGATCTTTCTCTGTACCAAACGGTGCCCTATTCTTGATAGAGAACTTTTTATTAGTCATTGTGATGTCATTCAGTAATGTATTATATATATTTCTTATGTGTATTATAATAGTCATGAAACAGAGGCTTTCTCATAGTATTTGTTACCAGGAGTGAAATATGTTTTTTGGGCTGACTGTATTTCTGTATATATTTCCTATAGCTTACACATGTACACCTTGACTTTTGAATAATGTACAGCAAAATCTTATTTACTAAAGTATGTGATAATAAAAAGTGTGCAAACTCATGTAAACTGAACAAAAATGTTGTGTTGTATATTTTGTTGTATTTATTTCTGGATTAGTATCTGTATTTTAGGTCTGTGCAATACATTGAGGCCAGCCCAAGTTATCTGGTCATTTGGTGTCCCATACTTAACCAAAATTGTGGAGTTACAGCAAAGAAAGAATCATTTTGGTTTAATTTTTTGGTGTGTTCCAAACTGTAGTAATGTTATTAACTCGATTTAATAATCAGAAAGAAAAAAAAACATATACTGCTGTATATCAAAATTTTGGATGTGTTCAGTAATGTACAGGACAAAATAGCTTGGACTTGCCTGTTTATATCTTTATATTTTCTTTTGAGTTATTTCATGGAGACAAGAAGGAGCATTGACAAATTGATTGATGTAATAGCATTTTATTAAGTACGTTCTCTACAATTTACAAATGTTTTCTAAATTTTACATACATACATATACAATATACATCAGAGTACATTTTTAAAAACATTTTCTCTTCATATTATAATATCTCTTACTGGACCTTTGTTAGGCCGCTTGGTTAAATGTAGTGGCACGAAAAGATGTGTCCGGAACGCAACATGCATAATGCATAATTTTATCACACAGAAGTAGCAACACTTGGTTAGGATATGGCGCAGGTAAATGCACATACCCTCTCAGTGAGGCTTAATGTTAGCTTAACTTTTTTTGAGATATATAAAAACAGAATTTTAATGAACTTACATCTTTTTCATTACGGATGCCTCTTGTCGTGCCACTACATTTAAATAGCTAAGCTACTTCACTGACAATTCTTTAAAAACACTGGGACACAATGTATGCAGATGCTCAACAACACATACATATTAATGGTGCTTTTTTCTCTTGTAAGGAACTTTTTTGGTGCTGAGTTTGTATGATATATTTTTTTGCTTCTAAGCAAATGAGCAATTATTAAAGCTGAACACGGTTTGATCTCATTTGCATCAATCCAGACTCGATGACCAAGTAAATACAAATGTACCAACATACATAGTGTCATTGGGGAGATACTTTTCCAGCATTCTCTTGCAAGTTGGATACAATAACAGAATGACACAAAATAATATTTTTTGTAGAGCTTTTGGCCAATGGCCTTACTCCAGGAATGAAATAGATCAAATATTTGACAGGTTCGTTACTCCTAAAGTGCCAGGGTCAGTGGCGTACCTGGGGTACTCCGTCAGGGGGGGCAAGCGACCGAAACAAACAAAAAAGGCGATGCTAATTTTCACTTCTGGCGAGCGAGCGAGCGAGCAAAAAAAAATCTTTAAGTAACGTTTGGCATATAAACTGGTATTGTTGCAAGTTGGGGGTGGGAACATTCACTTGTTAGCGACGTTAATTTCATTTTTTTGCAAACTAGTGTAGCGAGCAAGAAAAAAATCACTTCTGTTTTAATAATTGCCACTTAAACTTGGTTCAATTGTCCCATGCAGGGCGCGGGAACAATATTGTGTTTAGGGTGATTTTATACCCATTTTAGCTAGCGAGCGAAAATACATCTTTCTCTCAATGAATTGCTATATAAAATTTGTTTCATTGTTGCAGGTAGGGGGCGGGCACAATCGTGTTTAAGGCAATGTCAATCCCATTTTGGCGGGCAGGCAACCCCCTACATTTTTCTTTTTAATGATATTGTAGCAGGTTAGTGGTGGGCACATAATTCCACGAGCTAGCGAGCGTAGCGAGCGAAAAAAAAAATCACTTTTCTTTTATAGGGAAAATATGGTACATAAAACTTGGGTTCATTGTTCCATGTCAGGGACGTGATTATTAAAAGCGGTGTTAATTCTATTTTGGCGAGCGAGCAAAAAAAAATCCCTTCTCTTTATAGGGAAAATATGGTATATAAACTTGGTTTAATTGTTCCATGTCAGGGACGTGATTATTAAAAGCGGTGTTATTTCTATTTTGGCGAGCGAGCGTAGCGAGCGAGCAAATTTTTTGTAATGATAATTGGTTCATAAATTTCAGATTTTTTTGTTGCAGAACAGGGCTTACACAATCATGTCTAAGGTGATGTTAATTCCGTTTTGGCGAGCACGAGCACACCAAAACTTCTTTGAATAACGTTTCGTACATAATTATTAACTGGTTGTTGCAGGTTGGGGCGGGCACGTTAGCGGTGTCAATTCCATTTTGGCGAGCGAGCATAGCGAGCAAGCAAAAAAAATTAATTCTCTTTTAATAGAAATTAATAAATAAACTTGTTTTTATTGGTGCAGGTCAGGATGGACGCAATCGCGTTTAACGCGATTCAATTCCTTTTTGGCGAGAGGGCGAAAAACTCTTACATTTTTAATGATATTGTTGCAGGTCAAGGGTGGGCACAATTGTTTCCAAAGCAATGTCTATTCATTTTATTCGCGAGCGAGTGTAGCGAGCGAGAAAAATGAATTAGTCTCTTTTAGTAACATTTGGTACATATATTGTGTGTTATTGTTGCCATGGTTGCAGGTCGGGGCCCGTCGGGGCAGGCACAATTGTATTCTAGGCAATACTAATCCTTTTCTTTTTTCAGGGGGACGAGGAAGTGAAAACATTTAATACAAAATAGGCTAGCAAGCAGTTCGCGCCAGCGAAGAGTTTCAAATTTGTTATATCACTTATATTTTCCTATTTTCATTTGTTTTAATTTTTCAGGGCCGTATGCGGAATATTTTTCTGATGGGGAAGGGGGAAAGATGCGTTAAAAGTTTTCGAAGAATCTCAAAAGCAAAAGGAGTGAAGGGAGTTCGAGCGACCGAACTGGTCATGAGGGTACTTTTGCATTTTCAAAAGTAGAATTGAAGGATTTGGTATAGGCCTACACTACATTTTCAGGAAAAAAACTGTACGATTTCAAAATATCTGGGGTCAACTGCCCCCCCCCCCCCTGGTGCTTACGGCCATGTTCTTTATTTTTTTTTCCCATTTTTATTCCTTTCCTTTTCTTTTCCCTTTTTCTTCCTTTTCTCTTCTTCTTCCTTTTTTCTTTCCTTTTTTTCCTTTTTTCTCTTTCTTTCCTTTTTTCTTTCCTTTTCCTTTTTTCTTTTTCTTTCCTTTCCCTTTCTTTTCTTTTCTTTCCCCTTTTTCTTTTTTTCCCCTGGAGCCCGTCAGGGGGGGCACTCTGCCCCCCCTGCCCCCCCCCATAGGTACGCCAGTGGCCAGGGTAGAGTGAGTTCTACCATTTCAAAATGATGAACCTTCAGAATCATGAGCCCTATTTCATTTTCAGCATTACAAAAACAAACCCTATTTCATTTTCGGAATGATGAACCCTGCAGGTACTTCATTTCGGAATCCAAACTTATGGAATAATGAACCTTTGCAATAATGTACCATTGGAGTGAAAAACCTTCAGAATTTGAACCTTTACAATAACGAACCTTAGGTGACAAATATATAATCAAAAGAATACATGTATAAAACACATACTAGATACATTTATGGATGATCTTTCAAATCCAATATCAGTCCATGGATATTGCACTGTTCAATCTGGAATATGACCAAGTTTTGTTTCCTGTACTATACATGACTTCTTGTTCATATTGCACTTGCTTCTTGAGGGGGTAGTGCTATCTGCTCCAAGACTAGGTGGAGTATGTGATTCTGTTCTGCTGATAAGTGACACCTGAGAGAGGGAGAGAACGAGAACGAGAGAGAGAGAGAGAGAGAGAGAGAGAAAGAGAGAGAGAGAGAGAGAGAGAGAGAGAGAGAGGGAGGAGAGACACATAGAAGAGACACAGAGAAAGAGGGAGTGAGAGAAACAGAGAGAGAGAGAGAGAGACACACACACACACATAGAAATATGGAAAGAGATAGAGACAAAGAGATAGAGAGAGAGAGAGAGAGAGAGAGATTGAGGGAGGGGAGTGATTCAAATAAAAGTTAAATACAGTAAAAGTCCAATATATAAAGAGTGCTTACTTACAACTTCAGAATAAACGGTATCACAAAATGCTCAATTAATTTTTGATAAATGCCCTGGAATTAAATTGATATACACACAATCTTTGAAAGGAGGTCATAAAGTTCATGACTTTTCATTGAACTCATTGACCAGTAGAGGCATTTGGATCACCTGATATAAAGTAGTTCATTTCAGAATATACATGCATGGTATTTCCTGTCTTACAAGCAACATAATGGAATAAAACACTCTGGGTATGTTGTCTGACATTCTCATCTATTCATAGATTTGTAAATGTACATTTCAGGCAGGATCTGAAATCAACATCCACAGGTGTTGCATTCCTCCTTGTTTACAGAAAGGGATTTCATCTTCTAGTTAAGTAGGTCAAAGTTCTTCCCAATTTCCGGATGGACTCAAGTTTGTTTAACCTTTTAGCAACTAAACCGCCCGAAACTGCCCCTCCTTTTACTCACTGAATACGGTAAACCATTTCTAGCCAAACTTCACATTTCCTGCATCTTGAACACAAACTTAACGATAAGAGAGTATCATAAGGCCTTTGTTCCATGCAGTTTTTTTTTTTAATCCCCATTGCCATATATTTACACATAAAACAGTTTCTTCTTTTTTGTTTTGAGTGTTTGAGGCATTTTACTTTGTCATATGTAAATGGGCCATTATATGGTAGAAAAACTGTTTAGGAAACAGGATTCTATAAATGTAGGATCTTTAGAATAGTAAAGCATTATATGTCAGCTGTATAGCTCACCATAGATCGGCCTGTAGTTTCTTCAATGATTCAGCGTCTTTAGACTGGCAAGCCATCTAAGAAAGAAAGAAAGAGGCAAAAATAGTATAAAGATGTTATATTCTAAAGATCAGTATTGCTATTATGTTATTGCTAGCAAATCATGGAATTTTAATGACTGAAAAGCAATTTTTGAGCACATTTAAGTTAACATAAAAAAAATCTTTGATTTTGGTCTAATATACAATGTTACATGCTAGACAGGTATCATATTTTCATATTATCTTTAATTATCTAATATTCACAGTTATGTATATCTCTAGTAGTGTTGTTTCATCTCTATCTAGCACTATGATTTATTATTTCATCCAACTTGTTTTTCTCTATGTGCAGTTCATGTAACTTGTATTTCAAATCTGGTATCACCTGATATTTGTACAGTACATGTAAATACAGTATACATGTACCGGTATATGCAATTCAGATTAGCCTACGCAACATATGATCTTATAAACTATTTCTTTAATTGAATTGACTTGGGAAAATAGAAACTCTTTATAGATTTCAGAAAATATATTCTTACCACAACTGATTGGAGCAGGAGAAAGACTTCTTCAGTGATGCATTCAGTAGCTGAAATGGAAAAGGAGCGTTGCACTAATGACAAATGGGAAAGGAACAGGTGCTCACAAACTAGTCATACAGTTGCCAATTGGTGTGTAATCGATGACATATTTTAAAATTCATAACTTTATCACACAAATTTTGATTTTCTTGAAACTTTTACTTATCTGTTTCTCGTATTGATATGCTTTTAATTAAGCTGGCTTGATGCCAGAGTGGACTTCTTAAAAGATGACATCGAGTTATGGGACCCGTTTCACAAAGCCTTTTTTCAATGATAATGACAAAAATCAGTGACAAATCTGCTAATAACCAAACAGAAGCAAGGATTTCACTAGCTTATAACAAAAACTGTCATTTGTCACTGATGACAAGTTTTGTGAAATGGATCCCTGGTTATGCGATTACACTGTGAAAAACTACCTCAAAGTAATTGGAAATGGTTAATTATATAAGAATTTGTGTGCAGGTATACTGTGAGGTTCCTGAATCATCAAAACTGAAAGAGATTTAGATGTCCTGCACACAGGAATGTGTATACATGGGGCTACACACACCCGTCACGGTGGCATGAAAGTTTGATCTACCGGTAAACTTTATAGCTATTTTTTTATGAGGGCATTTGAAAAACAATCCTTTAGCATAGATTATTCCTTCTATTCTTACAAATTGATATACAAAAAATGATAATGCTCACAAATATTCTTTCATCTTTACAAGAACTCCACCTTTTCCATTGACTGTTCTGTTTCTCTTATTTTTATGATCTTAATTAAAGCTAATTTCATACCATAGTGGACTTTCCCTTTAAGAATGAAAGTTTTTTTAAATTTTACCTGGGTTAGTTTCGTCACTTTCCCAGGTATACTTCTCTAACGTCTGTGCATGCTCTGGTCGTATACGCTGAGGTGTGGGCTAGAAGGGGGAAATACATGAACAAGAAAAAAAAGTACTGGTTTATTTTTATCTGACTACTAGAAAGCATGTGAATGCTTGTCAGTATGCAACCAAGGGACTAAACGCTTTTACACTTTGGTTGCTTACTTTGCCTCTCTGCATAGTTGCTCATTTGCCACACATGCAATTTTGCACAAACAATATGAACCAGTCGATGGAAGGATTGCATTGGGCAACACAATGGCTTTGTAAAACTACCATTTTTTTCTGTTGATTAGCACAATGCCAACCATTTTAATGTCGGTATAGATTAATCTTGTAAGGAACAGTTAAATGGTCTTGAATGAAGCCTTTGGTATATCTATCAGATAATAAATACAATGTGGCACAGGGAGATTATTTGTGTGGCATATAAAGAATTACATCCTCTCCAAGGGACTTGCTAATGAGAATTAATGCCTTCCAAACGGAACTAGCACATCTGAACAGTCAATATTTTTTTAAACTATCATACATGAAAGGGATAATGGTAATTATAATCATAATAATTAGATCAATTTTTATGGTGCAGCTACTATATAACCATACTGCGCTGTGATGGAAACAAATTAACAGTCCTAATTTACAGACACACAATTAAAAATAACAATATTCAAAAGTAATAATATTTAATACCTGTAATAGCATAAGAAGAAGTACTCTACTGATCTCACAGCTAGCTAGGATGTCTGAGAATGAGCCGATGGGTAGATTATTAGACCCTATGATACCCCTATCTCGTACCAGGTATTCCATCTCTGTCAACACCGCCAATGCACCATCAAAATCACCTGTGGAACAATTATCACAAATGAAACACTTATCAAAACATTTCTTAAAGAGGAAGTCCATCCTGATATTTATTTGGTTTTTAAATAAACACAGAAAAATGAAAGACATAGATTAGTGAACTTTGAGATAAAGTGAAAACATGATTTTTCTGTCCTTGATAAACTTGATATATGACTGAACTAACAAAATTGCAAATTAATACAAATCAATTATATGAATTAGTTATCAAATGATTTTGGAGATACATGTACATGTGATACAACTTGATTAATTAATTATTAATGTCTCTTTAATTACATAATGTTTTGCTCAGATATAGTACCTTTTAATATCACTTCAATACTTCATAAATATGATAAATCATACAAAGTTACAATATTTCTCATGAAATATGAATCACTTACCTATTTCAATTTTGCATGATGCAACTTTTCCTAATGAATGCAGACAATCCAATGGACACTGAAACAAAATCAGACACGAAGCAGGGAACAAAAAACAGCATATTACTGTATGTACTATGTACTAATGGACCGATACAAGGAGATTTGATAGAAACATACAAAATGTTCAATGTGTATGACCAAGAGGTAGTGCCAGACTTAGTAAAGGTTCAGGGGCCAACCAGAGGTTAAATCATAAAGCTGTATATTCTAAGGTCTGTCAGTGAGAAAATATTAAAAACTCTCTTTACATAAGAATGAGGGCCTATTTAAAACACCCTGTTTCTACAGCTTTGACAATTTTGTGAATACGTACTGGAGAAGTGAACCTATCAAGTTCAAATTCAACGCCGATCCACCTGGACATGATCCTGCCAACTTAAAACGGCGACAGAAAGTGTCCCATATGATAAAAGATTTTCAGCCCTTTCTATCATTCAAAAAATGAAAAACCCTTTGATATGATGACTTGAATAATGGTTCTTTTCGTATCTACCAATTTTCATTGGTCATGTCAAGATTATTTCTTTGGATAAAATAAAGGGATAAAAGTCACATGTTGTATGCGACACATTGCACAGAATTTCCCCAAAGAGGGCTTATGAATGATACCTGGTATTGAAGTTCTGCTGCCTTCTGATAATGCCCCATTGCATCTGCAGGTTTCTTTAATCTCTAAAAAACAAACACACAATAAACACTAGAATAGAAAGAGTTAAATTTCAGTACTGGTTACATAATTATATATTGTGTTGTGCTGCAAGTGGTGGAAGAAAACTACAAGTCACTAACCTGTGCAGTTAAAGATTCTTGTTAGGCACTATTACACATTGAAACTGACATAAAATATATAAAGATTACTTGAACTTAAATTATGAAATTAAATTAAGATCTAAAATTAGTCCAACATCTTCTACACTTGCTACAGGATGAGGTCCACTGTGCCAAACACACTGCAATATCCTCTTAGGAATTTAACTGTGAGGTAAACCAATTCAGATTTGGTAAAACCCACTTTAAACAAGGGATAACAAAAGGAGGGAGAATTTTCTTATTACACTTATTACAGTCTGAACCAGCTTAAACCGGAGACTATCGCCCACACTGACCCTGTCAATTTAAAAATAGCCCTGACACCCCCCCCCCCCCCCCAATCTTCAAATTCATCCACCTTATCCGCACCTCCAGTGAAAACTCAGACGAGTATTTTGGAGGACCAACAAACCAAGTAACAAGATGGTTTCAAGTTTTTTTTACAAATCTTAAAATAGAATTTCAGTTTTCTTACCCTGAGACTGTTCCCTAGTTGGAGGCAGAGTGTTGCTGACAGGGCTGGCTGCTTATGCTCAATACTCACCTAAAGTTTCAAGTGAAAAAAGAACAAGATATTTTCTAAATTACTTTGCTGTTACTTAATTCGTAATGGCCTAATGTGAAAGTATCCACTCCTTAGTTCATTTACCAAAAGCATCTTCATGTTACTTAAGTGTAAGTGAAGTCTTATGGATTGTTCACATAAGAATGACAAGATAATAATAATAATAATATTAATATACCGTTCTTGTATAAAGTGTTTCCAAGAAGTTTGGATTATCTTAGCTTTAGCTCTGGCAGCCATAATCACGGCACAGTGCATTTCACCCATCCAACACATGGGTGGAGAGTGGCAAATGTTGCTTAATTTCCCGCCAAAAGACACGAATGCCAAGGAAGAACACCAAAAAAAAAAAACCATGAGAACTACAGCCCAGTAATACGGCAATATCAGTTTTGGGACTTTTAAACCTAAGTTAGAGCCCCCCCCCCCCCTTCCCCCCCTCTGACCAACAACCTATGAGATTGACACTTTCTATCTTCCCCTATATATTTCTTTAAAGCCCGACTATACTACATGTACTTGTAGCTACTTGCTCCCTCTATATAGAAAACAATGCCTAATCGGTGACCACTGGTCCCTCATGATCCTCTTTTTCTAATGTTAATTAAGAGTTGAGTTGATGGGATAGCCACCTGTCAGGGAATACCCTGGGTGGTCTAATCCATCCTAGCCAAATTAGTACAGATGGCCTTTAAGTCCTTGGAAGACATACCCTGACAGCATGGTTGTAGCAATTGATGGCTGCACAGAGATTCTCTTCAAAGTTTGGGCAGTGCATGGACCTGTCGCTCCACTCAGCATCAAGGAACTCATGGGCCGCTTCCACCAGAGCATGGACTTCAGCTGGATGGTTTGCTAGGGTGTGTTCACATCTACATACGTGTAAAATAAAATAAAAATAAAATGTAAATTAAAGAGTTCAGTGAGATACAAAAATAATAATAATAATGGTGGCTTCTTTTGTAGTGCAAAGGTCCGTCACATCCCCAGTCAAAGCTGGTGACCACCTTCATGTGTGTAGGATGTAGCGCTCTGGTATTATCAGGTAATCATTTATACTTGGGTGTCAAAAGTGGATTAGTGTCTTGCTAAAGAATGTTAGTGCCGGGCTGGGATTCAAACCCTAGGATTGAGAGTGAAGTGAATTATTAAATCTATACCACAACACCTCCACAGATAAACAGTAATGCCTCATCACTCCAGTAATTAATAATCTCTTTATGAGAACAGAGGGAAGAAATACTTATCAAACCGGTATCTACTATTTGCTTAAAAGTGTTACCCTTACCATTAATATCATCCAAAAAATGAAACTATCTTGGTATGACGATGCCTTAATGTTTGTGCTACTGTAAGCCAATGGTCATATCATGATATTTTCATTTCTGAATGAAATGGATAGATAGATGTCATATGTTGAATAGGACACACTGCAAAGAATCTACCACTTCTAGTTTGTCCTTTTAAGCATATATATATATTTCCTAATCATTGATACAAAATGTAAAATGTGCATCTCATGTTAATCTCTACAATTAGTACTACTTACCTGGCCTTCGCTAGACTGAATAGAGCTGCATATGATGGACATTCTTGGTTATGTAAAACCTTGGCAAGATTTCCTATGAAAAACAAGGATAAGTTGTTTCATTCAGTAACAAAACCATCACTTTCACAATAAAAAAGCATGGAAAAGGTTTCAAAGTAAAAGTAATAAGACATCATGCACGAGTCAAATTATTCTTAATATTGTCAGCACTGCCAAGAACTGAGAATACTTATGATGCACATATGGTCATTGGGACAAGGATGATCAAATCTCAGTGGTTTATCCAATTTAAGGTGCTCACTTTGGCATGTTTGGACTCAAGTAAGACAAAAAATATTAGAGAGCACATTTCGAGAGAACAATAATAATAGAGTCAACATCAGACTTGCTCTAGACTTCATTATTTGGGCATATTTTCATCAGTGAACAAATGCTTAACTCTTCTTCTCAATGCAACTTTATCATCTTTAATAACTCCATTATACCAAGGTAAATTAACTGTAAAGTAAAATATACCAACACAGCAATTTTGTTAGGGTCTGTGGGCAACTGAACTTACTAGCCAGATAATGCAATGTTTTGAGAAATACTCCATTATTTTTCTCTGCTAAACCATTTAGGACTCATTTCATGAATTACCCCCCTAGGTTAGCATAAGAACTAGACATTAATCTTATAATGCAATAAGCAGGTAGGAACCCCATTAGAAATTATTCCTTATTTTCACAGAACTTACCAAACTCATCAGCTGCTTCAGCAACATTTGGCTTGCGTAAGAAACGCCTGATGAAAAAAAATGAGAAAGGTTTGAAAATGACACAAAATTATTGAGACATTTTTATTTTATTTTTACTCTAGACCCCGTACACAACTTTATAAGTTTATAGTTTTTTCAAATTAAATTATAAAGAACCTATTTCTATTTACTGAATAAAAGGAGAAAAGGGAAATAAGCAACAACAATAAATTAGACTGAGTAGAGTTTTGTCTAAATTTTAAAACCAGTTAAGTTCTCAACTAGCTAGTCAAGACGCAATTTTTTTAAAAAGTAGTCAATTGAAATGGGTTTGAGCAATATATAACACGAATGGAAAAGCTAGGCGTTGTGGCGTGCGCCTGTAATCCAGCTAAAAAATGGAAGTTACAAACTGATTCAGCCGAGGACACAGGTTCGAAACTGAGTCACGTCTTTCGGATGGTGACGTTTAAAGGTCGGTCCCAGACGTAATTATCTGATTGATTGATACATGTCTGTAAAAACCCAATACACACACACACACACACTAGTTCCACAGCATTTGAAAATATATACTATAGGGGCGAGGAGGGGCACGAGAACTCAAAGGCCCTACCCCTGCCTTGGATCCACTACTTAAGTTTTGATATTATTTCAACCAGAACCTAGTTTCACCGAGTGACATTAGGGCCTACACGAAAAGAAAGGGATGGGATAAGCGACCAGATTGTGCACGCCCATAAATGATAAAACTATGGAAAGTGGTCAGAAAATTCGGTGGATATATACAAAAAATGATTGTTTATTTTCAAAAGTAGTAGGTAATTCATGAATGTATACTTACTTCTTCAATTTGCCAGAAATAGCACGATATTTCCCTAGATAGTCGCTGTCTCTGTCCATTTTGATGTTTTGGAGTGACGCCCTCTCGTGTTCTCTGCTCGCAATTTAATCAATCGGAAAATTCAAGCGAAAAAGTAGTGGTGGGGCGAATTCCTCTTACCAGAGCCAACTGACTCCAAAAGGGGGCATGGGCATGGGGCCCCATGTAGCACTTGAAGGACGGCAATTGAAAACGCAAAAGAAAGAGAGAGAGAGAAAAAATGGGAAAAGTAAGAAAAGATAATGCCCTTAAAGGCATCACAGTATTATATGCGCTCCTATCCAGTGAAAATTGTTGGGCTTGATTAAATTACACAAACTTTTTCTAAGGCTGCACTTTTCTCCCTCATGTGTGTATTATGTGTGTATTTTTGAGCAACCCCCCCCCCCCCTTGTGTGTTTTTTTTTTATAATAATAACAACAACAACAAAAATATGCCATTGGTTGACCTAAAAAAAAGAGGTGACCTTAGACCCCCCCCCCCCCCTACGGAACAACTTATAAATGTCAAATTTTCAAATTTCGAGACTACAAAAAAAAAAAAAATTCCAACAAAAGGTTTTCCACGGGGCACTGAAAATTCATCACAACTATATCAAGTTCAAAATATAACATACAATCAAAGTAGCATACAGTAAATAAAATATTACACATTTTAAACAATTTCAATTATTTTTGTTCAGATATAAAACATAATACATATCAATAATGATGCGTGAAAGGATAGATATAGTATATATATATATATATATATATATATATATGTTTATACATTTAAAAATATAAAAGTATAATAATTTAGGCCCTGCTTTACCTGCATACTTTTTTTTAGAAATTTAAAGAATGATTTATGAGGTTTTATAAGCAGCTTGATAATTATTTACTTTTTATTGATTTACCCACTTGACAAAATGACTTATTATCTAATATACGAATAAGAGATCAATCATTTGATGATACAGCGTGAGAGCAGGGAGGGAGAAGTCTAGAATTTTCTGGAAGATCAAGAGGCCGCAGTTATTCTCTGACATTGTTCCCACTGAGAACATAATTTAGCTAGAAATCAAGTTCTCACGGGAATCCCACACCCCCCTCACAGCACTCTCGGAAAGGGGATCACAACGGCGGAGGGCGGATGGGTACCACAATATTTTATTAGATACTTATATTCTACGTAACCATAGTCCAGACTGTAGAAACATATATTGTTAGCATTATTAGGCTGTTTGGTTATGTACATATAATATATTTGATTATTATAAAATAAGAGAATAGGAAACTTGAAGATTAGGGGAGGGACTAACAGAGTGTTTGCCCTATAAAAAAAAAGGGACGGGTTATGACGAAAAAGAACAGAGCTCCATTTAATTATGAGAAAGCATAATGTGTACCAGTGTTTGGGTTCATTGCCATTGCCATTGGCTGAGAGGGGGCAAATCCATTTGAAAGATTTTTTTTAAAATCAATATTTTTCTTGTCTTTTCTTGTCTTTTTCCCCTTTCTTCAGTTCGTTTTTTCTTTCTTCCCCTTTTCTTTCTTTTGTGACCAGGGTATGTATCCCCTGTGCCCCAAAATCCGCTACTGAGTTGGGAAAGGTAAAGCTTAAACAAGGCGTGCTCCGGTGCCCCACTGATAAATATAGGCTATATAAACCAAACTATGTAGCTCGACTTTACAAGTGCGTCGTTCCAGCGAATCAGATCAGTGAACGCGCGGACACCCTCGTGCGCGCGCGCTCCGTGCAGTTTACAACAGGTGCATCATAAAGTTGCATCGTAAAGTTACTCACACTCGGAGTTTAGACCGTATCTGGAATTGACGTATAGGCCTAGTTGGAATAGTGCATTAGGATCAAACCGAACGTAAAAGCTTGGAGATACCTACACAAGACGGGAAGAATCTAATCGAAGGCTCTCGTCTAATTCTGTAAGTAAATCATTTTTCTCACTGTAAACTTGATACAAAATGTTTGTCGGATTTAGACATACATCCCTAAAAGTTAAAAACATTTTTTATTTTTATGAATTAATCTAAACATGTATTATTTTTTAAAGAATCGTATTGTATTGGCAAACTTAAGTAGAACAAAGATCTTTTTTTTAAATCGTAAATGTGCTAAGAAATGTTTATGGCAAGTATACATTTTTTCAAATATATACTTTTGTATATTTTTCGGTTTGCAATGCTGTGTGTGATTGTGGCCCCAAAGATTGCAATTTATTGAGGTAAACGTTTCAACGTATACATGAAATTTGTTAATATTTTCCAAGTTTGTTGTTTGTTTAATACTTCTTGGTCTATATACATGTAGACCTACATGCTTTTCTTTAAACTAGCATTAGTCCTATACACAACCACAGTATAACGAAATGACAAACTAAAATTGATGCCTCTATCTATTTCTTACTAAATTTAACATTGTGCATTATTATCATAGCGTGAGAGATATTTTATGCTGAGTATACCTACCTTAACAATCAATACCTGAAACTATATTGAAAAGCGTAAAACATTACATCCCCCACGTTCATTTTATATCAAGAGCAAGGCATGATTGCAAATGAACAGTATTTGCTTGGTCCAAAGGCTACTTTTGATGTCTGATTTGTTGTCATTTGATCATCTGCTATTGTTAACAATCGTTCGGTACGCAAGTAAAGCAAGATATATTTGAATGGGTCCTCCCCGCTTTCATTGTGCGTTTTTATGGTTGAGTAAATAGTTTCCAGTCGTATATAGAGTGTGGTTGCTGTTTCAAAGGCCTGAACAGTTCTTAGCTACGCCTACGGTACAATAACACCGCCTTTTATCGGTGACTAAGTCAACATTGCCCAATTGTCGATGGAATAATGTTGGAAGGGGAAATCCCATACGAAACGCTTCGCTCTGAAAGAAAAGCCCATTGATAAGCAATTTGGGTGTCGTTTCCAATTAATTAACATGGTTAAAGTCTAGAGCAGCACCTTCATACAATTTCTCGTTACAACTTCCGCTTTTGGTTTTACCTAAAGTGGATTATGTTTCTCGTGCAAGCTGTACACGCTGTAAACATGGACTTATAAAAAAAATTACTAGTAACATCATCCCGCCTGTGAGTAATGGATAACGGGTGTTAAGTCATTTAGAAGCAACTTAAATTATCTAGCGTTAATAGATGAGAGACAGAGACTTAGGAAGTATAACCCCCCCCCCCCCCCCATCTCTCTCTCTCTCGATCTCTCTGATTACTACAGTCTATACAATTATATACACAATGGATTTGTTTTATTTATGACGATCGACGTGCAGCAATGAACAGAAAGGTAAGGATATATTAAGCGTAGACGATGATCATGTGATATTACTGACATTTTTCGAAATAGAAGTAGCAACCACTTATTTATTCTTTTATTACAGTCATTCTTTTTTCCCTCTCTGTCTTTTTGTCAATTTTCTCTTAAAAATTTAGGCATTTACCCTTCGTTAAATACCACGTGCAGTTTTTAAATGTCGAATGTGAAAATAACTTTACTGATTCGTACGTTTGTGAATAAACATTAGCTTTAAGATGTTAATATTTTCTTACAATTTTCTTTCCATCCGACTTGCAGGTCCCTTCAACCGATGACGGGCTAAGCGATAAATATTTTGGAATTTTCAGTACGGCTTTGCAGCAGCTTATGTGGGCTGCAAGAGTGCTTAAAAACCCTCTGAAGAAGACATCTTACATGTGCATACATGAGCAGGAATGGACTAATTTGGAGATTCGTGCAATCAGCTCAACTACAGGCTATCGATACCTTACAACACCCTGTGTTGGTTACGCAGACGACATCATAATTTCGCGCCATTGAGTCATGAATCTGCAAATTTGTTGAAACTTTCACAATTTTTTTATCTTCGTCCGTCGAGTTAAAATCAGCCATGGATATGGGCAAAGAGCTGGAAACAGAGACCTATCGAGAAGGATATCTCCAAAGGAAAAAGGGGGTTGGTAAGGTAAGACGAGTATTTCGCTTATTTTCTCTCTTTTGACGTATACGTCAGAGAAAGTTTTCAGCGTGCGTTGATCAATGTGATTACATCAGGGAAATCCCTTGAGTGAGTGAGGTATCGCTCGCATCTGTCTTGACGTCATAAAGAACATTGCAATAGTTTGTTCTCTTCGGTGTAGTCTTTGTAAAGGTGGTTGATACCCAACTTGGAGGACTCACATTAATATTTAACAAATATAATCTGGATCAACATTACATGTGCGTACATGTCTGTCTCTATAGTGATATATTCTATTCTATATAAGTCCTTCCTTATAACAACCATTTGCTCTCTTATCTCAACTTGGCGTTTCTTTCCTTCTTTCTCTTCTCTCCCTCCTCTTTTCAATGTTGACCATATATACAGGGTATACATCTGCCTTTAATATCCGTCTGCATTAAAAACAAAACCCAAAACTAATTCTCTATTCATTTCTTTCTCGTTCATTTTAGAAGAAAAAAAAGGATGAAACATCGAAATTTCTATGTTCCATCCTTTTTCCCTTCTATTTTTTAAATCTATTATAGGCCATGTTGGACAGTTTCCATATCCAGGTGATGAATTCATTATTTACATGTAAAATATATATATTCAGGACGCATATAGGCCTTTACCACAGTGATACTCCAACGCGCAAACCATCTGTGTAAAAACATTAAATTATCATCAGCAAATGTAACATTAAATTTGGTAAAGCATGTAAAGCTATGTACTACGTCTTAGCATGCTTATTCGTTTAGATTAATTGTTTTTAAACAAGTTTCCAGTGAACGAGGTAGGTTGTCCTTTTGTATATAAAACGTACTTGTAAACATAATGTGGAAATTTCCGATTTTGTAAACATTTGTGAATGTGAATTGTAATTATCAAACACTCAAAGTGTTAAAAGTGATTTCACCTCAACACAGAATCCATGTTTAAATCGGACAGTTTTATCATTGTTAAACACGTATTACATAATTTACTTAAAAGCCATAATCTACTCATTATTTCTCTTTGAGAAAAAAAGAAGTTAAATCATGTTATAATGGAACACCGCGACAGTTGACAACTCTTTTGAGTTTTCTACTTTTGACCGTAAAAAAAAATAATTCTCATTTCTGATTAAACGTTTATCGTCTATTATAATTATTTTCTTATATTGCTGTTAAATCATCATTTTATATTTGTCATTTCATTTTAATATTTTATGTCCTGTCTTCCAATATTTTAATCATATTTTTGTTTATCCTCTTCTGCTTATATACTCCCCCTCTCCAATGGGTCATTTCTCTCATTAAATTAAATTCAATTTTATTTCATTCAGTCAACAAAAACACCATATTATAACAATCAGATTTATTACATAAAATAAACATTAAACACATATTGGCAACCTTAAAGGAAACATAATCCTTATAATATCTAAAGGTTGACCAATTTTCTACAATAAAAAGTATGAAATATTCATCTCACCATCAAATCTTGCATGCTGAAATCAAAGTTGTCAAAAAATGAGTCATTCATGAATCTATTTTAAAAATGAGAAGCTAACCAAGTTTGACAGGATCCGCTCCCCTATACCTACAAGAAATATATCTAATGCTTGTTTCGCCATCGTTTCCTATAACTTCTGATGAAAGTCGTGAATAATTCTTCGCTTTAATACTGGAAGTCATCGTTAGTCATATCGTTCAATAGAGATTTTTTGTTTCCTGAAACGTTGCTGGATTCTCATTTCGTTCCCCATCCCAGCCTCAAATGCAACCCCCTGTGCATTTAATAACCATGTAAAAACAATAGGCAGAGGCAGAAACAGGGTTCTCTGGCAGACAGGGAAGGGGAGGGGGAGGGGGCACAAGTCTAAAATATTCTGAATTATTTGTCATGCGGCAGATGGGTTGTTCAGACCAGCCTAAAGTAAAGAAACGAACCGAACATGTCTTTAAAAAGTTTAATCCATAAACATTCACCGAAAAACACAACTTTAGTCTTTACGAAAAACATGAGACCGTGAGTTAAATGCAAGTCGAAGTTAGTCAGAACAACTTGCTCGTAAATGTTATCTTTCGTTACACATTTCCCAAATCTTTTTATCGATATTTCATCTTTTTTAATTTTCATATATTCCTTTAAGCATGTTAATCTTTCAGTTTAATTTCCGCTTTGATTTATTTAACTTGACTAACTTGACAAAGTTTAGTCCAGCTTTAACCCCCTATTTAGTGGGTAAAGTTGTTCCAGTGCTTTATGGAATGTCGAAAGTTATTTTTCTTTCATGGAAATACATGTAACAAGATTCTGTAACTAAAGAGACAAACAAAAAGCAAGTCACATTGAAATTAATTCCTCAATTTAATTTTTAATTTGATTCATTTTGCCAACCGTTTTGTTGCAGACTTTCAGTAATTTATATGGGAGGAAAGGGTTGACTCTTGGCTCCCCCAAAAGTGTTCTAATTAAATTAGCAAGGTTAAACTTGTCTACCTTTGAAAACACTTGCCATTCTACAATCGAAGCCAAAAAAATTGCATGGGTTTTGTTTAGGTCTTTTTCCTTATGTATTGAAAATTTTGCCTCATTTTCTGAAGGATTTTTTTATTGACGAGAAATATGAATCATGGTTGCCCCTCACATAGGGGCAATGTCTGCATCGACAAGGGCGTCTCAAAAATATCTTAAATAAAGGGTGGGGGCAATACAGTTCGCCAACAGTTTTGCTGAAGATATTCAACAGCAATTTAAAAAAGACAAACATTACCTGCGTAATTCAGAGAGAGTTGTTACATGTATAAGGAAGGGAGAGTCAGTGACAGGCAACTTCATACCACAACCCGTTTTGGCAATGCTCTAATAATTGGTGACTTAACAGATTCATATCGGCCTTGAGTGGAGAGAAAGGTCAATTTATTATCGAGAGGAAACGCCTCTCAATTATTAAATTCTCTTCTTCTTCTTTTTTGGTTAGGGGGGGGGGGGGGTGCGGCCTCTCATCCCGCATCTCATGATTATTGAAATGTAACACCATAATGAAAAAAATAATGTGTAGTTTCCAGGGGCTTTATATTCATTGTCAAGTTTGATTGTTTTCAAGTTTTCACATGATTAGGCCAATCTTTTTCGCCGCCAGCTTAGTGACACATCGCGATTGTCACCAACAAGCACATTCAATTATTGCATGGAATTATAGTCATGTACACAAAATGACGGGATTGAAACAAAAGGAATACATGTTCTCCTTCACGTTTTTCTCACTTAAGACTTAGAGGAAAGTTATGAAACATTCTTACTATTATATTGTTTAAATAAAAAGCATGGATTGTTTTACATTTGGCTCGGCTGGTGTTCTTATTGTTTTCGTGGTCCTTTATACAGCGTTGTGGAGCAAACTGTGCAGTGCTCTGTAACTGCAAGAAAATTTAAAATTTGCTATTGCAAAACCAATTACCAAATGGTTATGATTGAATATTAATTAACAGAGCAACATTACAGAATCGACGATAATAATATCATATACAAGTTCTCGACTCAATCCAAGGGTGTCTCGAATCCCATGCAGCCCCGGCCGGCACTAACGTCCCTTAGCATACTCTCCACCCAGGTGTAAATGGGTATCGGGCTGGGATAATACTAATTGCGAGGCCTTCTGGAAGAACAGCATTGAAGCCGATAAGACTTTCATGGTAAAAATAAATATCATCATTATTATTATTATTATTATTACTGTTATTATCGTTATTGTTATTATTATTATCATGATTTTTTTTCTTCCTGTTATTCTATACATGTAGGCCTACATCATAGACTTATAGTTTGTCTCTTCGGTCTGAAAGATTGACCTGTACATTCCATATATGATTTATCATACTTCCTTGAAATCCATGACTTTTTCATTGACTCGTATTATGACAAAACAAAAGGACTACACTGACATTAAAGCAAAATGGGTGTGTTTCTGTTTCGTATTCCTTGAAATAATACTACAGTATTTTTTTTACGATGCCCTTGGAAAGGACAAATATGGAGTGTTTGCAAGAGTGCGCCAACTCGAAAGCAAGTGGTTTAATTCAAGATAGAAACTGCACTTAGTCGTTTGTTTAAACTTATAACTGGAACAAAATCATGGCAGCGAATTTGATATGTTTACATCAATGTAAAAAGGGCTTCACGTAGATACATATAATGTGTGACATATTGTTTTGTTTTTTAAATTCGCCGTATGCCCTTTAATAATGCATGCAAGGTTTTGTACAGCAGAAAAAGAATCATGGCAACGATTATGATATGTAACAAAATATAAATACACCGATGATGAGGTAATATACAAATAATCTACTGCAGGATAAACAATTAATGCAGAATAAATTATAGTCATGTTATCTCGACATACGATTCCCATACCAAAGCTCAAAATAGTCTTGCAATCAGCAGTTATACGGTCTCACATAGAAGTAGTTATTATGGTTAAACAAAAAAAAAGTATCAATATCATTTGGGGATTATAATTGAAGAGCATTTCAATGAGTACAATTTATAATTACGAATATTTTTCATATCATTCATATATATTTCACATCCTCAACAGAAACACTATATGTCGTTAATAAGGATATTAAATAAATATATTCAATGTAACAAACCCAACATGCTGAGCATGTTAAGTAATGTTATCGGTGTCTCTCAGCTTTTGATTTTGTTTCCTGCTAGAAATTAAATATTCTTTTACGGCAGGAAATACTTGAACAATCCTTGAATAATGAAACATCCTGTCGCAATTAGATTAAAATTACCATGATTACGTGTGGAAATATGAATAATGATTATTTCCCGGAACGGTGACGTAATCATGCTGTTCCGGGGAAATCCCCATATAATACACTAGGTATATCCCATCAGCATTGTGTGGCGGAAAATCTCAATAGATATAATGTAGACTGTTACCCATAACGTGGAAATAAAGTTGTCTTATCTCTTTTCATGAAGTG